TGTGTTATCATCGCTGTATCTTTAAAAAATAATGCAAATGTTAAAAACAAACGCAGGTTGCAATAGGATTCATTCACTTCACTGACAAATATTGTAAGATTAAAAAAAATTAAGAAGCGCTTGTGGTCTTATGGTTCTCACCGCATTACATAACAACTGCATCAAAGTTAAAAGTGTTTTTAAGTAATCAATACAATAGTTTTTAACACATATGGAATGGATTAAATTTACATTATTGTTTAACTTTATAAATATAGGTAATTATGAATCACACATCAACAGTGTATTAAGTTATTGAGAGTACACTTGAAATAAATGTGCTAAAAATAATATAAAATAAATAGAACCTCTTATGGATGATTGATAACTGCCGAAAAATTTGAGACTTTAAAAATATTATCTTATAGTTATGATTTTTTAACCGTAACTGATACATTTTCCTCTTTTTATAGTTCACCATTTTACTGCGAATATCTAATATTTTTCAGCACATTTATTTAATAATTATAATCCTAGCGACGGTAGTTACACTTGCGTACAATTGTACTTAATTAATTAAGATGATGGGTATAATAATCGCACAGCGTTTATATAATCAAACCTTTTTTTATTTTCAGTTTGATCGATATGTAATTAAGTTGGTTTAACAACATTGAAAACATACAATAACTCGTCAACTACTCATCAACGCGAAAAGTTAACAGTTTTTTTTTTCGCTCGAAAGTTTTGCTCGAAAAAGAAAAAAAAAGGTAGCCAGTGTTTGTTTTTTTTTTTTCATAAGCGAACCCATAAGGATTTGGCCACGGGTTTTTTGCCTCGTCCGTTATACACTTAATATCATTTATCATTATACTGCCGTGTTGGAGGATCAGCGAGGCAGAGTAAAAGGATCTGCTAACGACAAATGGAAAACTGAGCAAATGAGATTTTGAAGACTGACTAAAAAAAAAACCTAAACTGCCCGTCCCAAACAAACTGCGAGACAATGCTTAACACTGTGGAAACCTGAGAAGACTGCCGCGCACAAAGGTTATTATGTACTTAGGCAATAAGGTTTAAAACCAAAAAAAAAAACAGCAACAATATATAATAATAAACAATAGTCTTTACTCGTGTTCTGCGACCGAGTAAAACAACAAATCAATATTTTTTACGGTTTTGTAATGAATGACATTCGGATGGTAATTTAAAACAACACTTTTCTTATAATTTCTATTTTTACTTTTGTGTAGGTATACGGTTATGAATTATGATACTTAGTTATACATAGTTTTATAACAGTTTTAATGTATTTATATCAATACGGCAGATTGGGTTTACAAAGATAACTTTTGGCGATACCCAAGAAGTTAGAACTGGTTTTAAGACAATAATTAACAGAATGTTTTGATTATATGAAAGTAATTAGACATGTTTGATCTATAGCCAATGCCTATCATGCATTATTGTTATAGTTGTATAGTTTTATACATTCCACTTCAATGTCGTTGGCTTATATTAAAATAAGTCTACACATAACTATTTATGGAACACATTCAACCCGTAGATAAGTATGTAAATCATAAATTTCACTTGTAACACGTTAACTAAAGGAAAACCATGACTACACAAAAAATGTTATGTCGGAAATAAAATTTCACTTGAACCCAATTAGTCGAGTACAATCATTGGAGGGCAATATAGTAAATTGACGGCGCCCGTTATTTCTCATGTCCTATTACACGGGATTTGAAAGAAACATGCAGAGCTGCTTCGAGCCCAGTTTATCTATTGTCTGCATCTATGTACTCGATACAAAAATAAAAATACCATAAAAACTCACTGTAGATTAAATGTTCGTTTCGCATGGACAACATGAAAATTACACTCCATTAAATTTTGCTCCAACCGTGCAAGTTTTAGTTAATCATACATATATATATCAAGCAAACAAAAAAAAATAGTATAAAGAATAACATAAATAAAACAAAAATATATATCATATCGTGTGTTCGTTTTGTCTAAATGGTTTTTTTTTATCAGAAATCAAATTATTTTCATAAGCGCCCATACCATTAGCAAGCGCTCACCTCAACAGAACTTCTGTATGCACTGTTGTATGGTTCATATTTCACATTCGTAGCTACATTTATATATAAAACGCCAACTGCAGTAGTTGTGATAATTTGGTAGCAGGCGTTACCAGTGGAAAATCCTTTCGCCATTTCACAGCTGGTTATAAACCGCCAGTCAAAAGGGACGCCTCAATCTAAATCATTATCGTTTAGATGTGTTGGACTAAATCGAAAGACGTTAGTCGCTTATGGGTACGTGTTACTTAGCAAACAACTGCTGCTACACATTGTACAAGAAACACCCCCCCCCCCCGTTTGGGCAATCCTAGTTTCCGTGTTTAATTTAAAACCAAATCGTGTAAATTTGCATAGAGAACATACGGCGACAATGAGTGACAATTCTAATTTTTAGATTTTATTTTCCTTTTCACTTTCCTTTTCAAGGATTCACAAGACAAAAATAACTGTCTACATTAAAAATATTAAAAAAAAATATATATATATATATATATAAACAATCAACCGGCAAACCTATACAATGTAAATACTTGCACTGCGTTTTGCTATTTTCTTGAATTTATTTTTCAAACGATATTGCGATAACCGGTAATAAATTATGAAACCATTTTTACGATACACAACACTATATCAACTCGTTTACATGGTTTATATATGGAAATTAATTACTCATAACTAAAAGTGTAATTAAACCGCCGTAATGCTGGTAACGTGTAAAAAGGGGAAAATAATATAATGGTTCGCGGACACGATTCAAAACCAAAATTAATGTCAAATCTTTTTTGCGTTTATGAACAGCAATAATATTGTTGTACAACAACAACTAGAATTAACGATAAACAATAAAGTAAATTTTAGTTAAAAAAAAATAATAAAAATCCCTCAGTTAAATTGTTAATAATTGTTTGTAATATGAAATTGCATTTCAATTGCATAGGACGGGCTTGTCGACACTCAAACATCAATTATCGCTTTATTAAATGAAATTTAATTTATTTATACCTTTTTTTTTTTACATATATTAACTTTTACACATAAGCAATTATGTCTCCTGACGGCAGCAATTGGAGTGGGTTTATTTATTGAAAGTTTTTCACTGTCATTATTATATTATTAACAAGAACGGAAATGTGTTCTCCTCGGTTGGTAAACACTAATTTATGGATATCAAAAATTCATCGTCCCGTATTATACAAATTATACAAGTCGCAAACGTACGAAACTAAATGTTGTTTGCGCACTATATTTATTAATTTATAAATCGATTAATCCTATACATGTATTATATATTCGTTAGGGATGCACTTTCTATTTCCACGCATTAAAGGTTTAAAATATTAGTATAAAGTCAAAAGTTTTATTTTTTTTTGGATAATTAATGGACGTCTTTGTCGTCGAAATTAAAACTAATTTAGTTAACTCAAAACATAAAAAACGCCACACTCATAATATATTCAAAATTTAAAAAAAAAATCATCACAATAAAGTTTTTTCTGCATTTATCATTGTTGAACTCTCTATTGTCTCACGTTATTATTGTATTTTATAAAATAATTTATCATTTAAATAGAAAAAAATATAAATTTATTCAGTCTTATACAAGGAATTTTGTATTATTATTAGAACTTTGTAAACGTTATAATAATTAAGTTTAATCTACTTGTTTCAGAATTTTATGACTTGTTAAAATATGAAATAAGATGATACATTGTATATACCTAAAAATTACATAGTTCAAATGATTAAAGTAGAAATGATTTCATACTGGACTGAAATTTAAGCTAAATGGTTCAATCTTAAATATCAGACATCTTATGTTTTTAAAACACTGAAACTCCATAAAAAAAATATTTAGGCATTTTTGTTTTAATACAGAACCAATGAGGGGGAACTGTTTTCCACATGACTTCCCCTTTATTACATTCCCCTTTATTAGGCATTACATTTGTATATATGACTATGAACACAAAATATTGGTAATTGTTCTACAGCCCCATTTTTTTAAAAAATAAGTTAACATAATAACACTTAACTAATCGGTTACTATAAATAGTTTGGACCTCAGCTGTATACTATATATGCGATGGATATAAATTATTTTTACATCAATTGATCTAAGAGCCGTTATGAATATGCTAACCAATTTAAGGGTAAATGAGTATTAAGTTTTCCTAGGTACCTCTAAAGTTTTTTTTCTCCAAGTAAACTAAAAAATTATTACTGTTATAAACGTCACTTGTCTGGCGTGTCTATTCAAAGATTTAAATTGATTTTTTAAGCTTATTTACGATTTCGTTATTAGAAAATAACTTAGGATTTATTTGTTTAAAAAAAAAAAATTGGCTTCGGCATAAAGTAAATGTGAAACTGCATACTAGAAAAAGTAATTAAATCTGTTTGTTCGACACCTTGGAAAGTGACAGCATTTTAACCTTTGTTTGTATTCAATTTGTCACCTTCTGTTCCCTTTAACAGTGCAATAATTTTTTTAACGTAGCATAACTTTTTTACATAGTTCAATAATATTAGTACGTTTTTTTTTAACATCTCTCATATAGTGTTTAAACATTTAGTTGAATATTGTAATACCATAATTCATATTTAATTCCGTATGCATACATCACGATTAATTAATATTTTAACATGATAATTATATGATCCATTACGGGTATAGTAAACAAATATCTATGACGCGAAAATGTTAGATTGATCCCCAGTCTTAAGAACATATCCATGTTTATAATATTGATTGTTGCATAATTCATTTTCAACTTATATTGGCTTTTTCAATACACTGCCTCGTCTTATCTACCGCGAGCGATGAATGTCATCGATTATTCTTAAATAATTGTATTCTTACAAACAAAAGACCGCGTAGAACCTTTATAGAAAAATAAGTAAATGATATGTTATAAAAAGAAGACTCACCTCCTAAAGTCCCTGCTCCAACACGCGTAGATGACAGGATTCATGCCACTGTTAATCCAACCCAGCCAAGTGACGACGGAAGACAATAGTTGGTCCTTAAACATACAGTTTTCGTCGCAAAACCCTGACAGCAGGTTGACAACGAAAAAAGGAAGCCAACACACGATGAACACTCCCATCACTATCCCCAGCGTCTTTGCCGCCTTCTTCTCCCTGGATAGTTTGCTGAGCTTCCTGCTGAGAGAGAAGTTTTTCTGCAGCTGGTGCGCCCTGCTATAGCTCTGGGACGTGGCCGCACCGCCGCCGCCGCCCCGGTGGATACGCAACGTCAGTTCCATGCGGCCTGTGCTGTTACCGCCCGTCGCGCTGGACGACAGCACTTTGGTGCCCAGCCGCTGGCAGCGGGTCTGCGTCACCGCCGCCGTGTAGATCTTATAGTACGTGAACACCATGACCAACAACGGCACGTAAAACGATATGGTCGACGAGAAAATCAGATAGCCGGTGCTGTTGGTGAACGGACACGTGTAACTCGGCACAGGCTCGGTGCGCACCAGCCGCCACCAAATGATCGCCGGGAAGCTGATGACGCTACTGCACACCCACACCGCCGCTATCAAGTAGTACGCACGTTTCCTGCTCATTTTCATCGGGTACGTAAACGGGTCGGTGATGGCCCAGTATCTGTCCAACGATATCACGCACAGGTTCAGTATGGACGCCGTGCTGAACAGCACGTCCAACGACCGCCACACGTCGCACGCGTTTATGCCGAACGTCCAGTAATGGTCCAGGATCTCGTGCATGGCGCTCACCGGCATCACGACCAGCCCGACCAAGAAGTCGGCGAACGCCAACGACGTTATGAAGTAGTTGGTGGCGGTGTGCAGGTACCGTTCGCGGACCACCGCTATGATGACCAGACAATTCCCGAACACGGTGACCATGCAAAAGAACAGCAACAGCACGGTGAGTGGAAACCGATCGCCGAACATGGACTGCCAGTCGGCCGACGGGTCACCATCGCACTCAGTGCCGTTAGCCCGACAGTCCGTCGAGTTATTCATCCGAGTGCTTGTTCGTTAACTCATTTTTCGCGAACACTTCCGCCAACGTGACACTGTAAAACACACGAAATCGTTTGTTTTTCTTTTAATAATATTGTATTGCACAACCTGTATCATATAATATTTGTATTTAACCTCAGCCTGCAGTTCAACTAAAAACAGAAACAGTCATTTGTTATGGTGAACTGCCCGTATTAGGGGTTGAGTGTTAGGAGAAGTCAACTGATATAATCAACAGTTCCCCCTAAAAAAAAAACAAATTTAGATGCATGATAATGTTTTTAGGTCTTAATTTAAATAATAAATGAATCGAGGAAAAAAATAATTTAATTGAGTAAACGAGTAAATAAATCGATTGAACAAGTAAGTAAATTATCGTGACGCAAAACTGCCTCATTATCATGATAAAATCTGACAAGTAACATAAATGTTGAAATTACTACCCGATAAAAGTCAAATCAAAATAAATGAATACAGAAACATATTTTTACACATTTATTATATTATTTTATACGCAAATTTAATTGGTGTAATCGGTGATTTAAAAAAGATAAATATTAAAATCCTCGTTGAAAAGCGCTTAGACGCTTAAAAAGTAGCGACGAGCATTCATTTTTCAATGTTTTAAAGATTTTACATTTTTTTATGTCCATTCGCGAGATTTGGAAGTGTTTAAACTTTGTGATGGATACATTAATCAAATCAAAATTGATATATTAAAGGTTTGCGAAGAACGTTTACATTAAACTTTTAATCGCGACATCTACCAAAATAAGATGCAATTGTTTAGTTTATCCTTTTTTTTAAATAATTTTAAATCACAGCTGATTTTTACTACTAATTTTTAATTAAGATATAAGCAAAATGGTGTTTTTTGTAAAATTTTCATTTTACTTGTGGCTAAAAAAGATAAAAACTTTGTAATCGAAATGTGTCATTTGAGTTATCGACTGTAACGGCTAGTTACAGCAAGTCGAGCTTTGTGTGAAATAAAGGAGAACATAAGTAAAATCATTGAAATCCCTTCTAATATGAGCGATAAATGAAAAGTTTTACCATTTAACTCCTAGTTAGCACATCATACATTCAAGGTCTAATATTGCTCTTTGGTAACTACAAGCCTGGACAATCAAATGGAGTGTTTTGAGTAATTATGGCAGAGGTAGTATGGGGAGTTCTCCAAGACTTATCCCAAACATTTTTCTCCAAGATGAACCCTGCATAATATAAGTAAAAAGTAACGACAGAATTTCAAGGTTGGCACCCCAAAAATGAATTTAATTTATTTTATTTTATTTAATACTAATTATAATACAATCTGTAAACAATTTTTTTTACAAAAAGTATTAGATCTAAATGAATAATAATATAAATTAGCATGAGTGGAGAAGCCACCCAATAGTGGTACTCCATAGAATTGAATTTGATAAATAAATGTATTTAAATATGGTAACCTTATTTTATTTTAGTACTTGGAAAAGTCAAATTCTTAAACTAAATTATATTTTTAAAAAAATGCAATGAAAAATAACGTTAATGAAACAAACGTGTGGCCCAATCGGTGTACGACTTTTGAGTAGTGGAAATATTAATACAATTTAGTAAACAAGAATTTCACTTGGCTACAAGGCACGGTTTTAAATAAATTAACCAATTAGCATAGACTACGGCCAACTTCATTCAAAGCCTAATAGTTTTGTATCTGGAGCTTTTGGGCTTTGTAGGAGTTATCAGGGATCATTTTAACAATATGTTCCGTTTAATCTGTTGAATATGGTCGCAAAAAAAAAATATATATATATATATTCTAAAAACACACGAGCATCATTCTAACAAGTAACAAGTAACAAGTAACAAATAACAATACGGGATTAGGGAGGGTATTTGGATGTTATTTTAGTAAGTAAACTACCGACAGGCACGTTATTATGTGGCAAGAACAATGCCAGTCGAGAAAGACGCATCGCGTTATTAGGGGCGTTTACAAAGGAAACGTTTCCGGCCGGAACTGACGCGAAGGAGGACACGAAAAAAGTCACCAGTTCCGGTTTATATGGACCTGTATCGTTAAAATGTTAAAACTAGATACTATCTGAACAGGAACTCGGCGCAAAAGGTTCTATAACGGAGATATAAAGGCTGTCGGCATTTTTTTTTCTGTTTTCCCAAACCGTACATTTATTTACACATTATATCATCACTCGTTCTATGTGTACTTAGTAGCCTGGTTTTCAACAGCTATTACCAAAGAAAATGTTACACTTACTTACGATATGTTCCTCTGACACAATTTACAGCTACTGGTTATAGTAGCTACAGTTATTGCATGGTAACGTCACGTCGTAAATTGTATTATCCTTTAAAAAAAAAAACAACAAAAAAAATATTAATATACAATTGAAAAAATATATTTAATAATAATTTAATAACTTTAAAGTTTGCAGAAAAAGGTTTTTTTTTAATATATGTTTTTAAGCAGTTTTAGCTTATTAGATATTATCGTACTACCTACAATATTATCTTAAGGGGATTAAAAGTGGTATGTTTATTGGACTTTTTAGACCTAAAAGCCAGACAAAAGTATGCCTAATTAAAAAAATATTTTAAAAATTTCTAATTTAGTTTATTTAGCTACAAGAAACTGAATTTTTTCTTATGAAAATTGGCTTCCCACATAACATATTAAAGTAGCAAAAGAACTAGAATCTCTTTACAGAATTAATATCGGACTGCCCTACACGCTACAAACTTCTATTTTGTTACATTTGTTAACATAAAGTCTCTAGTTTTATTTGCTCCGAAAACAAAAAAAAAACTATATGTAGGACAAATTTATTGATACGTTGAAAAAAAATTTTTATGAAATTGGAGAATTAAAAAAATGCTAACATTTTAAATCATCACCTAGTTTATTTTTTCAAAAAAATATGAATGCCCATTAAAGCTTAGATTTATAACAATTAATATGAAATTAAAAATAATATAATCTATAAAATAAGATTTCGTAGGTAGTAGATTTAAAAAAAACAATTGTGATAACTTAAAAATAAAATATTTTATTAAAACATTAGTGTTATTGCAATTTGATTGTTACTCCTGTTAAAAAATAATTAATTTAGTAATTGAGTAGGTATTTTTATTGATCTGAACGACAATGCTTTTACGGACAATCAAACTTTTAAAATAGCCAACGGGTGATTTATATTTAAAAATAATTAAATAAACTTTTAGCCACAAAAATCATACTTTACAGCGTATTTCTGTAGCAATGTTACCATCTTTAGCGCATAATACAACAGACTGTGCTGCTTAAGTTTTTTTAGATATATTTTGATCATTTTTCTTAATGTTAATTTTTTGTAAATTAAGTGTCAAATGTACGCTGTTAAATGTCGTGAAAAAGAAATACAATGTATATATTGATGAGTTTTTCTATTGGAGGATATTCCTTAAAAATAGTTTAGTTTTTACTAATCAGTATTAAAATTATATAATGTAAAAATATATACAGGGTGATCCAACTAACGTAAGACACATCCTTTTAAGCCAAATAAGGGCAATTTTTTAAATGGCAACACTTGTTTTTAATTACATAAATTTGTAGAAAAAAAATTAAAAAATATGTTAGCGTTAAAATATTTTATTTTTATTAATCTGTTCATTAGTCATGACTTTGTTAAGATACTACATTTCCTCTTAATAATAATCATATTTCTTTGGTTTGTCCAAAACCGGTAGCACATCAAATTTATATTTATGTTCGCATTGTCCAATTGGTGATAACATTTTAACAACTAGCAATTCACTATAAAAGACTTCACTAAAATTCGCTAAAAAATCAAATCTTTATAAAGTCATAACAAATGAACAATTAAATGAAAATTCAAAATTCAAACGCTAACATAATTTTTAATTTTTTGTCTACAAACTTATGTAATTAAAAACATATGTTGCCATTAAAAAAAAAAAATCCCCCTTATTAGCTTATAAGGATTGGTGATAAAAATTTTCAAAATATTGAAAAATGTAGTAAAATATGTACCTAAGAGTTTAGGAAAAAAATTGTTTTCAAAATATTTATATTTTCAGTGAAAATGAGTGTCTTACGTTAGTTGGATCACCCTATATATAATATAAAAATGTATTCATGCATCGATAAAGGATAATATAAGAATATTTATGAATTTTGGATAAAACAATATTAACAACTTATTATAGTTTTTTTTAAAATAAGTAACGCCTAATTTAAATTAAATGTGTTTTAAATTTATAAAGTAACTATTTTATTTTTTTTAATTTATTTAAATAAAGAGTATATAAATAATTCAAAAAATATAATTTAATAGTAATCTTATAAATAATCAGTTCTCCAAAACCCGAATGGCCAAATTCCAAAGATCCTCGTGTCATATGGGCCCCAAGGTTTAGTTAGAAAAAGATTTTATCGTTAACAGTTTAGAATGCATTTTTTTCTTTATTAGGAGATTACGGGGGCTATCCGTACCCATAGATTTTTTTCCCCCATCGACAAATATAAAAAAAAAATGTTTAATCCAAACTAATTTTTTATATTTTTATTATATTTTCATTTGTCAATTATCAAAGATAATTAACATAATATTAAATATGAGTGTACAGACTTGAACTTAAGAGTAAAAATATAACGATTATAATCATTTCACAAAAAAAAATCGCTGAGGTAAACAAACAAAAGTCGGAACTGGTTATTAACACAGTATAATATTATGTTTATTTTATTTGTTTGCCAACACTAGTGGTATTATAGAAAACATTACAATGCTATTTTGTTACTAAAAAATTAATTTTTTTTTTTTACTTCTCTACCTTTTTTCAGCCGCGCCAGCAATCGTTTACAATATTGTATTGCCTACCTGTTGAAAGCACTAAAAAATACCACGGCAAATGCGATGGCCGAAGGATTTCGATTACGACAATATCACCGTTTACGAGATTACTCGTTATGTACTACACGTTTTCTTTATATTATATATGTATAATATATAAATTTGTAAACATAGGTAAATATTGTAAGTATTTGTTATTATTCGCGAGGGTTGTGGCCGGAACGCCGGTATGTGTAACAAGCGTAACGCGCACGGTTTGAAAGCACACTGCCACGGTGTTGGCGGTTCGGCCCAAGCGGCAGAGGCAAAGGTGCCGCACAAGGACACACGCGCTCAGGGGAGGTGCGCCGAGGGTGAAAAAAAGTAACTAATCACAAATATCTCGCCAAAGTCCTAGACAATAAGGGGGCCTGTCGAAAAAGAAAGAAATTTAAGCATGGCAGATTATAAAAAAAGCCAGCGAAGTGTCTAAACCACAACACAGTCTCAACTGAATAGGAGCACTCTAAATAGGTGTTGGTGAAAATATTGATACGACCCGATCGTTTTTTTTTGGGGGGGAGGGGTTTTTTATTAAAACTTTCAAAATTCTGAAAAAAAATACATTTTTTCCGCAATAAGAAAATAAAATCTTTACGCAAGATTTTTGTCCTACTAATTCCGACTATAGTTTTCAGCTTCAGTTGTCAGCTAAGTGCTGACTTGCGGCTAAAAAATATAAAAAAAGACTTCTACCCCATGTGGGGAGTGGTTTATCGCTATATGGGTTTGAGACTAAATTTTAGCTAAGCTTTAAAGACAAAAATATTATGCAATATTTATTAGCCAATACACCCGCTTTGGTCACTGATTGTTTAACTAAAAGGCGGTTAACAACAGCATATAGAGGGAGACTGTAGCTCTTTGCGTAAGACAACTATGAAGATCAAGCTGTAATCATTGTAATGTATCCCCAAATAACGAGTACAAAATTGGGAACAAAAATAAAAGAACAAAGACTAATTTTAAATTCTCTGTAGGACGGCGCATTTGATAGGCAATCTTGCTACATTCATGTTAAAAATACGTTTCTATCGGAAATTGATATTAATAAAGTTTGGAAAGGTAATCTTAATTTCACACTCTGTAAGATTGTTTTTCAGCACGATTTAATTAGTTTTTAATTCAAAAATAAAAATTTGATAGCTTATATAATGTTATAATTAATCTCATGTGTTAATACGGTTTCAAAATTGTCATCACTTTGTTAACAAAGTAAACTGAGAAATAAATTCGGATGTATTGACGTTTTCTTGAATCTTTCAAAGCTTAACTTAATCTTAACTGACACTAGTCAATTTAAGGGTCCCTTGAGGATAAAAATTTAATTTTTAAGAAACCCTATCCACAATAAAATGTATTGTTACTATCGTCTATCATTTATAGTTATAGACTATTCGTGGTTACACTTGATTAGTTGATGACTCATTTATTTTTAAGAACAACTTTAGCATCCCTGTTTGTCTTTTATTGTGTTGTATAGTGTAACTTTTACTTTGTGCGAATAATTTTTTCTAAATGCAAATTGTTTTTTTTTTTATTATTATTCCGTCTTTGTTTAATTTTACAAGAATTGCATTGTTTTAAATCGTTGATTTTTATCTTATATAAATAGAGAATAATAAAAATAATAAAAAAAAAATGGTGTAATCAACAACAATAAAAATGCTAATATAAAACTCGTTCAGTTTCAAAGGGAAAGGAGTGTACATTACTTTTTTGTAATACAATAAACATGATAAATGTAATTTACATAATGAAATCAACAGGATAATTCATTAGTTATAAATTATAATATGAAAACAAAGCCAAAGTAGTATTGTATTTGTATAACTTGACTGCTAGACATATTTCATCTTGTTTTAATATTAATAGACATAAATACACAATATTTATAAGTGATCTTGGTTATCTAATTTTTGGTTTAATTATTACTTCTAGTTTACCGTTAATGTAGTATTTTCTAAGTAGACAGACCTAGTTGAAGATATGGATTTGGCGAATTAACATCACAGAAAATATTAAAATACAGTAGGTACACAAGTACAGTACGCAGTACACACACTAGAAACATACAAGAAAGCAATCAAAATATTAAATATATTTTTTAATATATTTTATTTTATTTTATTTATAATATACTTACTGATAGGACTGAAATCTGGTTTTTAAGGAATCCGGTTATTTAAATCAGGATTTGATGGTTTAATCGGATATTTTGTGGATTTTTTTTTTCAAGTTAAATATTAAAACTTGCTACAGAACATGAACAAGTTTATATTAAATTTTACAATATTTATTTAAAATTTGATATTTATACCTTTATTTTTTTTACAGGGGGACTTTTTTTATCATGGTTTTTTTATATAATGTGATTTTAATTTTCTATAAATTATTATATTTCTTCCCCTCTCCCAAACTATATTTTTTGATAGCAACTTTTGAAACCTAAATGGTAACATATATATTTTTTTAACTTTTTAAATTAAGATTATTTCACTAAAAATGTTGACTGGTTGATAACCAGTATTAGATCATTTTTTTTTTAAGTTATAAGAGTTTAAATGTTAGGACGGGAGAAGAAGTGCGCGTAGATGAAAATAATACTACACTCCACCTTTCCTCCTGCCCTAAACTTGAAACTTCAATAACTTCAAAAATAGTTATCCAAAACTGGTTATTGACCAGTCAACATTTTTAGTAGAATATTCTTAATTTAAAAAGTTTAAAAAATATATATATGTAATATACATAAGTTACCATTTAAGTTTCAAAAGTTACTATCAAAAAAACTAGTTTGGGGTATAAAAACATAATAATTTGTGGACAATTGAGATCACATTATATAAAAAAACTAAAAAAAAAAATCAATATTTAATTAAATTCTGTGAGATATTGAGTAGCTCGTGATAAAAAAAATTCACCCTTTACATTGGTTTTTTCTTGAATAGTTAGCGCCAGACTTAAGAATATCGTATTTGCTTTCGTTCTCTTATTTGTTCATATTTAGTTTTTGCTTAATCTTTAATGTTTTTCTACAATATTTTTTTAAAAATGTATCAAAATGTTTTATCAAAAAATATATTTTCTTTCGCTTACATTATAGCTAATAGGTGTCAACGAACCCTCTAAGGCCATCATGGAACTCATATCAAATTTTACTTTATTAATTTCTGGTAAAACGAAATTGTAAACCAAAAAAATACCACGAACCCTTTCCTATAGAAGGGGTAGAAACCAGTGGCGGTTCTGGCATTAAATTGTTGAGGAGGCAACAACTTTCTACCCTTATTGATAAAAAAAAGCGCAAAACCCCCGAGACCTAAAATTTCTTCATACTGGTATACTTTCCCTTTTTAACTGTAAGAGAAGAATTTTGCTTATTATCCTAGTTATTAGTTATAATCGCATTACCGGTCATCTATTAAAATAATTATCATTAAAATGTACGAACTTAAGATAAATGTATAATCATAAAAACATATGTAAATACAATTTACAAAAGATGAAATTATAATCGCAAACGATTTCCTGTATGAATGCTGCTTAATAACCACTATACTGTCATATACAGGATTCATTTTGAAAAAAAAATAAAGCTAATAAGTATAATAATATATTAACTAATAACTTAAGAAAACTAAATAAAACGCCAATTAGTAAACCGGTATCAGAATTAAGTAAAAAATATAGTGATATCAAAATTCAAATTGGGACTGCTGATAAATAATTTAGTGATAATGGGAAATGGCGTTTTGTTGTTGGCAGTGTCGGTGCTGATGTACATGCTGAATGTCTATGTCCCATTTCTTCCCCAAGATAAGAACGATCATCGGTCAGTTGCCCACAAAGGCAATATTTTTGTGTCGCCTCTCGCAGAGAATTGCGCATGCGCTATTCGTATTATTTTATGTATGTGTGTGTGTGTATGTTGTGAACACAACAACATAACGTGAGACATCACGACATGCCTCCGCCGGCTGCCCTTATTCCACGTGAGTAACAATAGGCAGCGGCCGGCGGCCGTTGCTTTCAGGCGGTCACCGCTGATAAGGAGAGACGTTATTTCAAATTCTTACATTTTTTTTTCGCTTTCAAAAATTATTGTTCATATACATTTTTTCCAATATTTTCGATTGAAAATATTTAATGTAAACCAAAATATCTCATCATAATAACAATATTAAGTACATAGTTTCCTCAATTTTCAAGGGAGGCACGCCTCCCTTGCCTCCCCGGGAAAACCGCCCCTGGTAGAAACTAGAAACTTTTTCTTTATGTCTCATTTTCAAGCAAGGTTTCAGGTCCTAATGTCTGAATATTACACTGAAGATAGATCTAGGGTTGGGCTATAACATATGCAGCTTTCTAATTATATTTGATTAAGGAAAAAACAAAAAAAAAGGGGAAAATTACACTTTGACGGTTACCATAGTACATTTCTAGGTTGCTGCATGAGAGTGAATCTACTGTCAACAGGTATGCGAAAAATAGTTTTATTATGTGGTTATTTACGATATATGTGGAACAACAGCAAACAATTATAATGGACAGACAATCCACCCTGATAATTAAAATACAGTTTTAAGAACATTACTGACAATGATTTTATCACTTTTAGTTAAAAAAAATCCTATAGACCTGTGACCTCTCTTATTCCAACAAGCTCCGTCCCCACTATGCTATCTTGAGCCCATTGTAATGGTTTTTTTTTTGTTTCATTTTTATTATAATAAAAAATAAGTAAATAGTTATTTTTTTTATTATTTGTAGGCAATAATCTGATAATTTTTTTTTTTTTTTAATGTATCAAGTAAAGTTATTGGAAGCAACACAGCAGGAATCCTGTATAGTATACACAATTAATAAATTGTAAGTTTAATGACAATAAACCTCAACTTTTTTTCTATATATTATATGAATACTATATACCTGGAGATACTAAGTTGTACGCTAATAGATTCGAAGTAGTTGTAATAAACATTTTGTTGAATGTCTAAATTTCTAGAGAAAAACATTTAATTTCACGGTTTTTATGAAATTTAATTGTTTAGATAATACAGCAACTACATAAATGATTAACGAATCGTATTTCTGCAATACCAGTATTTGACAATAACTATCGAGTATTAGCACACCAAATAACCAAATCAACTGTCAATTAGTATCTTAAGGAAGTCTTCCACTTTCAACAAATTGTTTATAAACTTAGACTGGGCAAATATTACACGTTTCCAAGTCTATGTCATTGCTAAAATAGTAAAAAATGAAAAATTGACTTCTTCCAACTTCTACATAAATATATTATTATAGCAAATAAAATATTTAGTGCAAACAGACCACTCACTGTAAATTATAGTTTTGAGAGTTAAATTCAAGAGTTAGTGTAATTACACTTAACAAAAACAAAAAAAACTAAGTTAAAAAAATGTATTTATTAAAAGCCTAAGACTTTTTTTTAGTTGTACAGTTTAAATAATCAATACGCAAAAAAAAAAAGTTTTTTTTAAAAAAAACTTCTTTGTCATTTAGACATTTAAAAAAAAATTCATTAACTGTTTAATAATTACGAACAAATAAAAATTTATAGCTACTTATACATAAATGATAAAAACTTAGGCAGTCTTTAAATTTTTTATTAGTGAAACAATATTTTTTAAATACTATGCAAAAGAAATTTCTGGGAACTCCATTAGAGGCAATGAAAGCAACGGCACTTCAATTTCAGGTTTTCCTGAAATAAATAAAATAATATTACTTTTAAGAACTAATAAATACATTACAACACGTCATGCAATTATTAGTTTATAATAATAGTTACCAAAATATTCAAATGTATTTTTAATTTTATCCTTCATGATTTTGTTATAATCTTCTAAAAACCAATCATCTTTATCATCATTAATGGTATTAGTATTGAAATAATCGCTTAACATGGCAATGTTACATGTCATACTTGAAGGCAAAGTATCTAAAAAAAACTCACTATAATAATTATTATAACCAATTGGTTTGTAACAATTTCTTAGTTTACATAAGTTATAACCCACCAAATCTATATTATATATTTTAGTGTACCACCAAGTAAAATAATAGTATCATGTTTAAAAGATAATTTGTAATGAATGCAATTTGATAGTGTTCTAATACTAAAAAGAAGTCTTGTCAGAGGAAGGAAGAAAAATACAACAAAGTGAATACATTGACATTTATCAATTCCATACAACATCAATCCTTTCCTTTCTTTTTTATTATATTAATTTAGTGTGTCTAATTTGGCACTTTGAAGATGGACTCTGCAATGAGTCCTAAACGTCAGCAAAAAACTGAAGATATGGATACAACTGAAAATTATCCACATAATATATCACTCCATGAAATTAGAATTTTAAACATAACTCAATAAAACATAAATTGATAGATATAATTTAATGGCATTATAGTTTTTATTTTCCAGTGTCCAATAAATAAGCAAATATTGAAAAGCACAATCGCTTATTAATTAGGTATACTTTAGCAATAAAATATTATAATATACCTTCACTCTGATGTGACATGCAACCAAAATGTGTTAATTCTTCATTTTGTTCATGTGTGAGAACTTGTAATGTAGAACTACATTGTACTTCCGGCACAAACTTTTGCATAGGTACAGTTTTCTGTATTTTTAATCCTTTGCCATTAGACTTTTTGCTTGATTGTACTGTATTGGTCAAAACTTTAAGAGCAGTATTTTTACGATTTTTAAGCTGATTATCCTCTATATAAACAAAAATTAAGTGTATTACAGCATAATTATGATGTGTATTATTTTTCAGTTTTACTCACTTATGTTTTTAATTGGATTTTCATTATTTATCGCTGTCTGTTTATGTACACGAAATGTGTTCGAAGACATTATTTAAACTTTGCTCTATTTGAAATTTAATTTAATAATTATACAACCATTAGATTAATAGAATAATATAAATCTTACTAGCCAAACACAAGTAAGTATTGCGATAAAAATAGTGTTTTATTTGGGAATCCGGATTCCGGACTATATTGCAGTGTAATATTCTGGCTGTTGGTTATATTATAGTATTGGCAACTGCCAACTGCTGACTATAGTCATTAGTCAGTTAAAGAGTACTTTAAACTTTTGTAGTTAATGCGATGCACTTCTGAGTTCTCACATTTACTTTTATTTTTAACGGTCGTTGAAATTATCAGTAAGAAATATGAATTACCAAATCGAATAGATATAATAGTAATATTATGTTCATGATCTCATTCTAGATTGTTAGTACAGTGTTGACAACTGAAATAACAAAGTAAACGTCTGGTATGTTAGCAACTTGTTTTATCCCGTAAGAAATACATGGCCGCCGGCAGCCATTTTGTAGTTTTTGCATCTTGTCAACATACCTTTTTTTTTGTCAGATTATTGTCAGTTTAGCTTATCATTTTTTATCGTCACAAATCAAAATGATAAGGTGAGTCTCAACAAACAAACTTAACTCAGAATTCAGAAATCAGAATGTAGTAAAATATGGAATATTTTGTATTGAATTTGTAACTAGATATCATGATAATTTATTTAATACATAAATAAACAGAATTATTGAACAGTTAATTAAGGACACTGAATACCTAGAAAATAATACAACTTAAAAAATGGACAACAAAATTAAATTTGAGGTAATTTTTACAAAAACCACTGACAATTTCCTTGTTTAATTTTTCACACTAAGTAATGATTATAAACACATTTAATTTATGTAATATATGATTATTTCTAAGAGAAATATATTTTCTGATGTTATAATAATTATGTAAAATTATTAGTTATTACATTTTCAAATAATAATGTAAATTTAAAATTGTATTATTTCAATATCAACTTGATTTTTTTTAACATGGTATTTCAACAGTATTAAAATTTATTCATTGAATTTGTATTTATTATAGATGATTATGTATTCAGTTTTATAAATATATTGAAAATTGAAATTTTTATTTTGTACAAAATTTTAGTTTAAATGCCTAGTTATTTTATTGTTAAAAATAATGTAACACCATTTATCATAGATTCTTAAATTCATAGATGTTTTCATTTTCATAAAAGGTACCTGGCGGTTTAGACTCAATTATGCCAAATATTAAAATTGATCTACTGAGTTACATCAATTGTATTGAAAATATACCATTATATAAAAGCGAATCGACTCTCCCAACAAGAGATATTAATATAAAATCTTTATACGCAAAGAGTAACGTAGATGTTATACCATTTGAATTAATTGTAAGTTTTCCATACTTATTTTTCGTATTCTTAAGAAAATATGTTTTACAAAAGTTTATTAATTATAGCCTGAAAGAGATCCCAAGACTGGTAAAATCTTGCATTTTGAAGAAATTATTAGTGATCCAAATGATAATGCTGATATAGATGCTATGCCCTGTGAAAAACTAAATAAAAATCAAAGTTCAGATGAATATTGTGGTGAAATAAATTTAGAATATGATTCTGGTATTATAGAAATTATATAATTACAATATTAGTTATTATTCCATATAATTTTTTAATATTTACTTTACCAATTTAATTGTTTAGATAATTTACCAGTTGCTCCTAGTATGTCTAAAAAGTTAGATGTGAAAAAAGGTAAAGAAAATATTACTATTAGTACAAGTGCGAGTGATACAGTATTAGACGACGATTGGATAGAAGATTTTGAAGGTGTTTGGGATGATGAAATACCAGAAGTAACTGTAGAACCAGAAATCGCTGATCCTATTCCAAAAGATGAAATTAATCATATTAAAGTAACGAAAGTTCAAATAATTCTATTATATCCAAAATTATTTATAACAACCATAATGGAATAGATATTAAAGTATGTATTTTAAATTAATTCTAAGAATGAAAATTTTGTATTGAAAATATCTGGAACATCTGAAAGGTCTTTGGTCAAATCTCAGTGGGTGGAGGAATTGGATATTTCTAAGCCTATTGATAATTTTGATGAACTTTTACCCGATCCCGCATATAAGTGGGAATTTGAACTAGATACGTTTCAAAAACAGGTAAATACCTAATGTAGTTCTTATCATTAAGAACAAGATGAACTACAGTTAATTAAACATTAAAAATGATTATATTGCATTTGTATTTAGGCAGTATTAAAACTGGAAGAAAAGAGTAGTGTTTTCGTTGCAGCTCATACGTCTGCTGGTAAAACTGTTATAGCTGAATATGCTATTGCACTTGCAAAAAAACAGCAATTAAGGTAAAAATAAAAAAAGTTAAATTAAAGTAAATTTTTTAATTATATTTTAACAACTTCAGATGTATTTACACATCTCCAATAAAAGCATTGTCCAATCAAAAATTTCGAGATTTTAAAAAAAAGTTCGGAGACGTTGGGCTAATAACTGGTGATTTTCAAGTTAAACCAGAAGCTCAATGTTTGATTGTGACGACAGAAATTTTATGCTCAATGTTGTATAGTGATTCAGATAAAATTAAAGAAACTGAATTTGTAGTTCTCGACGAAGTCCACTATGTTAATGATAGGGATGTAAGTATTCATTTACTTGATCATATTTAATAATTAATAATAAATATTGCTAAAGTATTTTGTCCTTACAGAGAGGACACATATGGGAACAAATTTTAATAATGCTTCCTAAACGTGTGAAGCTGGTAATGTTGAGTGCTACCGTGACAAATGTTATTGATTTTGCCGATTGGATTGGCCGAACTCGAGCTTCTAAAATTTATGTCGTGTTTACTTTATACAGACCAGTTCCTCTAGAACATTATCTCTATGTCGGTTCAAATACTAGTATGGATTTTCAAGAAAACATGCATTTAATACGGAAAGCTGATAGTGGTTTTCTTATGCACGGGTGAGTATAATTAATGATTATGCGATAGATGTATTTCAAATTTAATTTGTTCAATTTTGATGTTGGACAGTTATCGGAGAGCTTCAGAACAGTTTAAAAAAAATCATGAAGTAAAAAAATACCATGATTCAAAAAATTTCAAAGATCAAAAGCCCAAGTGGATAAACTTTTTAAAATTTCTTGATAAAAATAGTATGTTTCCGGCAGTAGTATTTATATTGTCCAGAAAAAAATGTGACCTGATGGCAGAATCGCTTAAAAATTCTGTCAATTTTCTTTTGACCAGTAAAGAATCACAAGCCAATGAATATTTTTTTAATAAAGCTATTCAAAAATTAAAACCTGAAGATCGAGCGTTACCTCAGGTATTTAATTTTAATAATCATTAATTAATGCATTGACAGCCTAAAAAAGCTGCCTAAAAAATAGGTTATCTATCACTAAGCTTTAGTCCGCCGGCTGCAGCAACACATTATTTTTAGAAGGCCGTACAGCCGCTGGTGGCCATATGTCCCATTTTAATATGAAATAATTATGATTGCTCTGTTGTAATATTTTATACAATTGTATCATGACGTTGATGAAAAAACAAGTATTCAAACCGTACATCATTTACATTAGTTTGATGTCGATTGTTAATTTTAGCTATTTAAACTTAAGTAAATATTTTTTTTTAACAACCAAATAAAAATTATGTTTTTATTATTTAAAAAAAATCTCAACAGATAAGTCAACATACTAGCGGCCATTTTTTGCATATTGTGATGACTCATATAATATGACTCCAAGAGGCTGCCAGCAGCTGTATGATTATTATTTTACGTTCTTAATGTCCGGATAATAACAAATATTTAGGTTTGGAACAGTATTTTTAGACCTATTTGTTCAGAAGATAACACTTAGTATGTTTCATGAAAATCAACAATATTTTATCGGCAGTAGTATAATAATAAACAACTGTACGACGGTCAATGTGTTAACAAAGATTTATATTTTATCAATTTATATTTTACTTGGTAGAAAATGGCTTGAAATCCAAAAGATATTTTTTTGGAGTTTTGTCTACTATTAAAGAGTAAAGTGTAGGTAATTTTGTGTTAAAATATAAAACGAAGCTAACATTTTTATAGTTTTATACATATGGTAAAAAAAAAATCCATTTTGATATTTAATAACTACTACAATTTTTAGCTATTTTTTACAATTACATGTCTCTTGAGATGCGTTTTTTAAGCAATTTTAACGTAAAAGTACATCAAAACATGATTATAATTTTTTTTATGATGTTAAAGTTAATTATTATTTTTCCATAGTTATAATAAAATTTTTTTTTTTTTTGTAGGTTGTTCTGATGAAAGAGTTACTGTGTCAAGGAATAGCAGTTCACCACAGCGGTATACTACCCATTCTAAAAGAAATAGTCGAAATGCAATTTCAACAAAGTTTAGTCAAAGTAAATAAATGACAATAGTTTTTATTTCTTGTTTTGCAGTATTTTAGGGTGTTTTACTACGTGTTATGTCATTAGCTGACATTTAGAACACTGCAATATGTTAAAATATAAGCTAATTATAAAATATGTAGACTTGAGTTGAAACATTGTAGAATATTTAATGTTTGTGAAACCTTTGTGAAGTCTAAGATATCTAGTGGTTAAGCTACATATTATTTTGTATGTACAGTGTTTGTTTGCCACCGAAACATTTGCCATTGGCATCAACATGCCAGCAAGAACAGTTGTCTTTGAGTCTATTACTAAATTTGACGGTATAGAAAAACGTAATCTGGCTCCTGCTGAATATACTCAAATGGCTGGACGGGCTGGTCGTCGTGGTCATGATAAAAGTGGCACAGTAATAATAATGGCAACTGAACAAGTAATTAATGACAGAGAACTGACCAACATGATGTTGGGTTAGTAAAAATTTTAAATTATAAAAATATTAGTCAAATACTGAACGCTATATGTGTAACGCTATTATGTTGTAATTTTTAAACAGGAAAATCAGCAAAACTAGAATCTCAATTTAAAGTTAGCTATTCCATTATATTGAATATGTTCAAGAAGAAAAATTGTGAAACACTAGAAGCAATTCTCGGTAGTAGCTTTATTGAAGCTGCTAGAGCAAAAAAAAAAGATGAATACACAGAAGAATTAAATTATTTGAAAATATTAGATGAAAAAGATCAATGGCAACCAACGGGACAACAAGAATTGATTATTAAAGAGTTTTATCTTGCTGCCAAAGAATATTTAGACTGCAGGAAAGAATATTGGGTAGGTCTTAGGTCTAACAGTCAAATGTTAGTATATTCTCATTAATCATTAAAAAAAGACGCTTTATTAGTCTAAAAAATAATAATAATTACTCACAAAGAATCCTCATTACTGCATTAATAAAATATGTAAACTTTTATTTTTAAAGAACATTAAATTAATTTGACTAAAGTAATAGATTTTGTCTGTGTTAATAACATTTGTCCTAGACTGAAAGTAAACATAGTAATGTATTGGGTTTTTATTTTATTGAGTATTGTTCTAGGATAACCTGTATGCTTCAGCTGACAAAAAGTTCAGTGAGGTCGGAAGGTTTGTCATCATAACACATCAACACCACATTGGACAATTAGCTATTATATTATCGAGTAATGTCAAAAAAGTTCCGAGAGAGTTTCGGTAAAAAGAGTAAATTATTTTATTAAAAAACGAGAAGTTAATAGTTTTTTAAAAAATGTTTTTAGTGTATTGGTATTAGAAAATAAAGAAACCAAAAACGAAGAGTCAGATAAACCAGATTCTTGGTACAAATTTATGTACTTGTCTCGAAAAAGAAGATTATGTGAATCACCTGATGTAATACACAACGACCATACTATACTGACTATACCATCAACTTCTATTATGGAAATTACAAAATTTTCGGAAAATTTTGATAGTAGTCTTATCATAAAAAATTGGGAAATGAGGCAGAATGAACGTTTCAAGTAAATTGTTTAGTTTTTTGTCATTAAATCAAATTAAAACATATTGACGACCATTATAAAAAATGATATGTTTTAATCACTTTGCAATAAAATGTATATTAAGTTTGCTACGAAAACAAGCATATTTTAATGCTTATTACGAAAATCGGTATACATACTTAATCTATCGTCACCGTAGGCAATGTTTGTGGGAATTATGAGTGTGCTAAACACATCTAGTTTTGAAATTAGCACCTCGCAACATGTAATGTACTCCATATCATAAGACGTATAAGGGGACGTAAGAGTAATATTTTCTGTGTCTTAACAACCCCACTTGTTTTATCGATTTTGCTTCTCTGAATGCCACAAGACACACGTTTATCAATTAATATTTCCAACGTAACAGACGAAAATATATTATTGTATATGTAATGGATGTCAATATATATTATATTACATAAGTACATCATTTCTTTTTACTTCTTGTTAAAAATTAAAAATTACCAAATAAGACATACATTAACATGTATAAAAAATATTTTGTGTAAATTAATATAAATAGGATTTATGATTTTATGTTCACAAAAAAATTGTAATAAACCATTGTTTAGAGATGCAGCCATTTCAAGTCCCTGTCAACGAGCTGTCAAAATGTTATCAGAAAACATTATATACTTAAATCGGTCCGAGTACAATAGTTCTGTGCTAAGTATAGGAGATTTAGGAATTGATTCATTTGAGTTGCATAATGCAAAACTACGTATGCATGCTTTAGAAAATCAATTATATAATATCGATTTGTCGGACATAATTGGGTTTGAAGAAATTGTAAGTACTTTCATTAATTAATATGATTTATAGTATTATTTTAATTAAAATAAAAATGTTTTAGAAAAATATTTTTTTATAGAAGTATATTTCTATGTAAAGCTCATCTTTATGTACACAAATTTACTTTACAAATTATGCTCCTTACAACTTGACATCATTTACATTTAATAGATATTAATATTCAATTAATTTGTTTTATTACTATTATTATTTAAATAACCTTATTCAATGTATAATAATAATAATAATAATAAAATATTAAGCTATGTAACTTTTTAATCCAAAAAAATAACATCAAAGCTAATATGTTTTATATATCTTTAACGATCATGAAGAACTTATTACAATGTTTCAGTTCCAAAGATTGTATAAATATCAAACACGGAAAGAAAAAATTGCAGAGTTAGAACATCAAACGTCAAATAAAGCATTACAACTCTATAATGAATATATCAACAAAGTAGAAGTACTTAAAAACCTTAAGTATTTGGATCCTCGTAATGAAATTAGTTAGCAATTTATTTTATTTATAATATTTATTTTAACACAGTTTCTTATATAAAGTGTACTTTAATAACGTTGATTATAACTTTAGCTACTCAAAAAGGAAGTGTAGCCAGTACTATGGGATCACATGAACTCTTAATTACCGAACTTCTTTTAAGTAATATGTTTGAAGAAATGAAGCCAGAAGAAATCGCTGCAGTTCTCTCGTGTCTAGTTTGTGAATCAAAATCAGATTTTGATGTTGAATCTATTAAAGAAGAAAACTTAATAAAAGTAAAAACATTTTAAAAAAATAATAATTATACCATTATATTTACTGTTGCTATTATTTTAAATGATTATTTGTGTTTTCATAAATTAAACATAGGGTATGAACATAATAAAAGAAAAACACAATGAAATTCAGTCAGTCGAGTCTATATATTTAAGCAATTTTGAACGTATTGACCTCAACTTTAATCTGGTCAAAGTGTTACATTTATGGGCCCAAGAAAAGGTATGCATATTAATCTACATTATATACCTGCTCATCTCCATTGATAACAATAATTACTTTTTTTTAGATCTTTGAATTGTAGAATAACTAATTTAATCAAATTATGATTTTCTATTGTTACTTGTCAACACTAAAATATGCATATTAAATAAAAAGTATCCAAACTGAATTTTATCGTAAATATTATTTGTTTTTAGCCTTTCTCTGAAATAATGGATATAACGGATATTCAAGAAGGAATTATAGTTCGCTGCATTGTTCAACTAAATGAAATATTAACAGTCATCAAAAATGCCGCAAAAACAATTGGAACGAATAAAATTAGCGAAAAAATGCAACTTGTGCTAGATAAAATTAAAAGAGATATTGTATTCACTCCCTCATTATACATGGAATAATCTTAATTGAATTCACATATTTTATATATATTTGATGACAATACTTTATATGATGTTATTATTTTATATAATATGAAGACTAACATTTTCATTGTTTTAATGAAAATCGCAAATTTATTAAGATATAATACCTAAAATTGTTACTTATTTTGTACGGTATATCAGAACATTGGTATCTATAATACCACAAATTTATCTTGATACATTTAACGTTGTTTTACATTTCCATATAGGGCATAACAAAATATGTTAATGAATCTATGGCTTCCAATTTTTTTTTACGCCTTTGCCCTTTAGATTCAACTTCCAAGCTTTCGCCGGAAACATGATTATTAATTAGTTATCCATACGTTGGTTATAGTCGAACAACCTTGATATTGGCAGTGCAAGCTGTAGTTGGTGACACTGCTTAGTACTACGTACCTGGCAGCTGCAGTTTCGCTTCTTGATAGTCGATAGATAACACAATTTTTCATAGCACTATTCGGTATTCTACTAATTTCTCTTCAGTGTGCCCTATCATTATACATATTATATATCAACGTTGTGCGCATTTAGATTTCAGTGTAGTTGGTTTCGTCTAACTGTGACGTTTTATTTGAGTTGTGACGAGACATCCATAATAACCCAAAGTTAAAGTTATGAGACTCACCGTAAACCATCTTTTGAAATTCTTCATTGATGATAGCAACTATAAAGTAAGTGAATTACATTGAAACGTTTAGCCAAAGTTCTATTTTGGCCTTCTTCCATCATGATAATCAAGGTCAATACAAAATAATAACAATGCTTGTATTTTATTCAAGCTTTGTATCTTAAAAGTTGTTGATTTTAATGTTTTTTTTTTCCAGTCTAACTGTGTCATAGCTAAAGCTTATTCATAACCAGAAACGATTAAGTTCCAAAGAACAATAATTGTTACTATTTAATATATATTGTGTATCTAGTCAGATAATTCTTACTATCATAATGAGTTCTACAGATCGTTCAATTTCATCAGGATTTCCTATTCCACAATGGATGAAATCAAGAACAAATGACAGGTGTGTTATAATTGATATACCTAAATAAAAACCCAATTAATTCAACTAAAAATGTACCATCTGTTGTTTATATGCTTTGGTTTATAGATACGACATGGATCAGTCAACATTTTCACCACAGACTTCAGATGACAGTTTCTTTTTAGTACGTTATTTAAAAACAGACACGGTTAATGAAAAACATGCAGACTCTCTAATCAGCAAAAGCAAATCGGCTAATGAAAATTTATCAGAAAAAAGTGCTAAACATTTCAGTAATATGCCTCCAGCTTTAATAGTAACTGAATCTGCTGAATACAAAGGACATCCTTTAGCTTGCCAACGTTTCATCACAAATGCATGTGCTGGTAAGCTAATTAACATTATTAAGTTAACAAATAATAACTATTATTCTATACAATAATAGAAAATATATTATTTGATATTTCTTAAATTAGCGAGTCAATTAACAATTTAAAAATCATTTACAAATAAACGTATACCTGTTACTTATAAGATTTAAGGGTCAAAATTTGACATAAATTGTTCTATGACAGTGTTTATTGTTATGTTAATTTGTTTAAAATAATCTGGCGCTGACTGGCCAAGAAACAGTTGCATTCTTTAACTTAAATGTATTTACTCCCTGTTTTTAATAAGAAAAAGTACTAACTGTTATTGATTAATTTCCTAGAAATTTAGTGTCTCATTTTAAATTGTATAATTTTACTATACAAATTTGAAGAACATAATCAATTTTTATTTTTCTTGTTTGTGTACGCTTGCTAAACTAAAATATTACCTTTATATCATGTAGCATACCACACTTAAAGATAATTATGGTTATTATGTATAGTTGGGTAATTATGATATTAGTTTGCATTTTGCACGTATCGATTTGTTTTTAATTATTTTTAGTAAATATTTTCTGTATAAGGAAAAAGACCAATAAAACGTTTTCAATCGCTAACATCTCAGTAATTTTTTCACACAAACTGTGTGGTGATAGATGTATATAAGTTTATTATTTTCAATTAATATTTTTAGAAGATTATATGTGAAAGAGCTTTGTAAAATGTGATTTATTTTATACTAACTCGTTTTATTTATTTTCTAATTAAATTAATTAGTTTATCAGAAATCAGACTGTTAGTTTTGTTGCATTTTAATAAGGAATCAACTGCAAAAACCAGAAGTTATATATTTAGTATCATTTTTGTAAAGAAACATGACATCCCCCATGTCCGCTTGATATTTATATTGTAGTACATTAGTTTTTTAATAGTTAAAAATCTAGATGTGAGATCCTATTTTGCACAAGTGTATCAAAATACTCTTGTAACTGCTATTGATCAGAAATTTTTTGCGGAAAGAATTTATTAAAAAATTAGAAGAAATTATAATAGTAAATCGAATAAACATCATAAATGCTGTTTTTATGATTTTCGTAACTTTGTTAATAAACTGTCAATTAGTTACAACAACTAAGTAGGCGTTGAGGGTTTTTTTAACCCTCCGTTAGTTGTGTGAAATTTTGTGACGTCAGTTTTGCGCGGGACACAATATTGTACCCCAGCATTTTTTATTCTAAATCATTAAATTTATTTTTAAAAATTATTTTTTTATTTTAAAATGTATGCCTTAAAACACCAGTCAATTTATATTAAATAAAATCTATTATATTGTACAATGAAATCATAATTTTTAAAAACTGTAGCTACTATGTATATAGTGAAAACATTTTAAAACCGAACAAAATAACTCTTCAGTTATATAATTAATTATAAAAAAAAAAAATTTCATTAAACCTTATCTAATTTAACATGGGAGCAAAAAGTTACACAGATAGTCGCACGGGGTACATGTGTCTGGCGACTGGCACTATTGACAATTGTAACAGAATATAAAAAACACCTAATTCACTGTTTTTTCTAACACAACTTAAAAGATTAGACTTGGGTTAAGTTTTAAATTAGCTTCGAATATTCTACCGACAATACAATACAGTTAAATTGTAATTAGTAGAAGATAAGAATCTTAATTAGTTATTACCTATTAAAATGTTCAATAGCAAGATTATTTATAAATAGGGTGACGTTCTCTCGAAGGTAAAACGCATGCCAGAATTTTAATTAAAAACTGAATATTGTATGATTTCTGGGATTTCCCATACTAAATGCTATTTTTATATTGGTTATTCCCCTACGGCTTACCGAGCTATTACTATAATATAGTTTCACGAATAATATGCATGTCTATGAGCTCGGCTATCGTTCGAGTTCGGTCATTACCAAGGTCAGTTTTATTTATATTAATATATAAACTCGCCCACAAATTGTCTATTTCGTTTCCTTCCTTTTTGATCACGACTTACTCTCGCGAATTGCCCAATTAAAGTGGTTTAAACCCTATTCGCTGATGATGTCTATATAATATAATATATCTTACAATACACTTTTAAAAATTACCTATCACAATGTATTCATTCATTGTCGTCATATTAGAAGTCTCACTGTGTATTATATAATACGGTCTGTGGTCTAGTGTATGAAAACGAATTTCATGTTCGGCTGAGTATTTAAATAGCTCCGTTTTACTACGTCTATATTAATTGAAACAATGACGTATCTCGGGACGTCCTCCCATAGTACTATATTGTTGTAAAAAAAAAAAAAAAATTAAGAAAAGTAGTAATAGGACGACTGATGCGTTTTGCTGAATAACCATAGTATAAAATAATAATAATAATTGTCAAACAAGGCCATACATGTGTTGTTAGTCATAAAATGTATGCCAAAACATATATATCACCTCAGATACTCGTGTGGATACCTATAGTACCTACGTAATATATTTAGGACAGAGTTCTATGACGTAGGTGTACTCGGGTGTTCCATGTCTATGCGCGACTGAATTTAGCTTATTGTACTTTGGGTATATTCTGTATAATATTAAACAATTAACGCTCGATGGTAATATAGTACACTACTACTAGTAATAATATATTTTTTATGTAAAACATTTATGGTATTAATCCACATTGTAAATGTCTATGATTCGTAAAAATTGATTACCAAAATTAATAGATTATTTCTAACAATGCAATATTTTTAAAACGCGTTTAATGTCAGTGGCCAGAAAGCGTTATGAAAAATGTAAGCATAGCTAGTAATATTATGTAGTATGTATCTTCTATAAAAATTTACTTGGGGTATTGGGTATCCGCTGTTGAAGGGGGCAATTAACTATGTATAAAATACAGTTATTGAGTTAGGAATACGTATAAAACAATGTGGAGTATAACAATACAACAATTCATACCGGTTTAGAAATACCGAAAATGTTGACCAATGATTTACGCCACTGAACAAATTATTATTGTATTATAATTTATAATAGAGAAACTAGTTTAGCGTATTAGTTTCAGTATGAGATTAAAAAGTTGGAACTCGAATTGACTATACTTACTAGTTATGCTGATTGAGGTTTTAAGGATATTATTATAGTATAATATCAGAAATGGTATACTTAGTACATATTAATATACTTTATCCAGTAATTCATCTGTCAACTTGTAAACAATTTTTTTTTTCACTTTTAAAATCATCTACACAGTTTTAGTTATTGTTAATAGTCATTGTTTATTTGTTTAACGTATAATTTATTTTCATTACAGATGAGGTCGCTGCCGTAAGTTTGGGCAGCAAGGTAGGTGATCCACCAAAATCATTAGGCGTAGATGATGGTTTTAAAAGCGGTGCAGCTGAATGTGGTAAATCCATTGTAGCTATGGCACACCAAATGGTATCTGGTCGACGGATGTACAAAGGACGTGCCTCAGGCCCTCAAAATATACTTGTCTCGGGACCGCCACCATCTTCTTTAGCAAAACGACGCAACAGCAAATCCCTTCCAGCAAGTCCAATGTGTACCCCTCCAGGATCACCACATTCTCCTCGCAAAAACCCATATTTCACTGCACCATTTCAAGAAGAGTCTGGAGACAAACATGGGTCTTCATGGATACTATCAAATTTATTTTCACACAGGGCCGAATCACAAGAAGAATTGATAGAAAAAGATTACAAACGTCTACCTAAGCCATCGTCTTCAAGTAATTTGTGTGTGAAACCTAAACCAACTGAACTTAGGGAAATGAACTTTTGGTCTCCTACATCGATGTAAAAATTAAGGTTTAATTTAAATTCACTTTTATAATTGTTCTGCGCTCTGAAAATATTTTTTTTTTAATTTTAAATGGATTCCCTATTTTCTTAAAAATCTCCACAATCCTGTACCTGTAATTATATTTTTATTTATATTGTTATTTTTAAGATAATTTTATAAAGTAAATACAGTTAAGTATTTGTAATTGATGGCAAAACTTTTTTTTTATTTATCGTGTACAAATCACATAATTGATTTACTTTAGAGTTTTTGCCTAAAAACAACCATTAATAATACTGTAATGTTACATTCTTATTATAATAATATGCAAGATATTAAAACTGCATCATAATAAGTATACAGTGTTTTTTTGGACTTACTGTATCTATAAATAGAAACTATTTTTTTAAAAATCATGACGCCCTATAATATAGATTAAGTTATTATATTATATAATTGTACATTTTAATAAATAGTGTGTGAAAAATGTACACTATTTAATATAAACAAACAAATGTAAGTGTTTTATGTAACACACATTTGTTTATACTTTATTTTAATATATATACATACTTCATGAAAATGTTGAAGATTTTTCATCTCTATCGACGTAGACTAAATAAATTGATTAAATTATGTTTCATGTGTAAAAATAAACCTATAAGATAACTCACTCTTAAGAGGTTAAAATCACCACAATTATATCGGCAATTAAACCAATTAACAACAAATTTTAAATTATTGTGTAACATTAATAGGAATATTATTCAAGAAGTTGTTTACGCTTACAGTCGTCACCCTGGCCATGACTCTAGAATTAATTATTAATTACCTACATGTACTCTAAAATCTAGATACAAGTTGTCATATATTTTACTTATACCTAATCAGCTCGGCTCTGCGATATAATTTTTATGAGATTATATTATAAATGTTTGTTTTATTCAACAAAACAAACATTTTCTGATTAAAAACATTGATTAGCGATAAATATTAGTATAGTACATGCATGTAGGTACAGTTATTTTTTTTTCTTCTATTTTTACACTTTATAATGGTAAATATAATTTATTATATATAAAGTCGTCCTACAAATTTTTTCTTAAACATTAAACACTGTGTGCTTGTTTTAAGCTAATATGCCAAAAAACGAGACTACAGTATAAACAAAACAAATACAGGTCTTCAGAATTTCACAATTCAATATTATATTGTCTATATAATAAAATAATTATTTTAGTTTTAAAAGTTTCATTTACAACAGCATTATTGTATTATAATATATAAAATAAAATATTTTTGAGGATAACTTGTAAAAATAAAATTAAAGTAAACTATACAATATACACACATAGGTATGCAAATTACATATTACAACAATAATCCCTGGCCGATGGCAAATTTTGAATAAATACTTTTTGATTTATTAGAACTTGAAGCTACAGCTTAATTGGCAAAAAAAAATTGAATATTATTACAATTTTTTTTTTCAATATTAATAAAATGTTTAAACAACATTTTGTAAACGGTATAGGCATTACGATTCAGCCAAAATAATGATTATAAAATATTATGTTTATAATATTAAACAATTTTTGAAAATGGTTTTTGCCAACAGACGAGTAGGGAAGGGCGATTGACTGCAACTGACATTTTTTATTTAGCTGTAATAAAGACTGGTACATTTTTAACAATAAAAGATACGTTTAATTATTAACCATAATTTAATCAACAAACCCGCAATAACCTTACACAATAAAATGTAGCTTGCTTTTTTATTTTTAGTCTACACGATTGTCATTATTCTGATGAGCTTATGTACCGAGTATGTATAGTGCGCCTGTGTTTGCATAATAACCGTATCAGTTGGGTAATAGGGCAATTACCTCTTAAATAAAGACTGAAGTATGAACTGATCGTTACCAATATTTTAACAGAAAACGATTTATGAGAAATCTGCTTCTACCCTTTTCTAATAATAACTGTTATTTGTAATGTATAATAATTTATATAAATATTCAAACTTATTTTGAACATAATGCTAAAACATTTAACGAAATCGATGATTGTCTTTTAAAGAAAACATATATTTACTATTTTATTGCTTGACTGAAGTATGTAGCTGTATGACGCACGACACATACCTACTCGAGTTTTTCATAATTACAACTAATTTATTTGTAAAAGATAATCTCAAGCAAATTTCATAATATTATTGTTATTATTTATAATACCTATGCTTATTTAAAGTATAATTTTGCCTACAAATGATCACTGCTATAAGGTGGTATTCGTGGAAATAAAAATAATATTTATAGAAAGAGGTACACAGTACACTAAATAATTACTGACGCTATACATGATAACATCAACTATTATATCATCATAATATAATTATTTTTATTAATCGTTCATGCATCCAAATTATGATAATTGATCAAACATAAATAGTTGAGTACGCAACTTATGATGATCCATAAAAAATACCACGTGGTCAATAAATGTAATCGATGCTAAATACCCAACATGTAATAATATTTATATCATTCAACTGGTTTTTTTGTTTTTATAGGTAAGGTAACCTTACTATGGGTGTTTAATATGTACTCTAGTTAACGATCACGTGAACTTATATTAATACAGTATCTACTATAATATTATATAAACATTTTTGAATAGTACTGTAAGACACAGTAGGTAACCTCACCAATAAATAATTTTTAACAGCTTAATTTTATCATACCTTTTGAAAGGTTTTATAATAATATTCGTTGAGTGGTGTATATTATAATATATTACATATTATTTACAATTTTAGAATACCTAGTTGTAGTAGTTAAAAAAATATTAACCCTCTTAAAATAACAATCATGTTTTCAAATTATTTACTTAGTGGGTGCTAATTAGGTAATTAGTTAACTGCTAGTTGCTACTGTAACACTTATTTCAAGTGTTTTGTATTGAGTTGTAGAACCAAATAAAAACAGAAAACACACATATATATTATACGCGAGTATATATTATGGAAAACTTTACCTCGTTACAGTCCGACTTTGAAATTGGGTTAGAGAGTTCATACTTCAAATTTGAGATATATAGATAGAAAGAGACAGTTTAATTTTGGTAAATTATCATTAGGTATTATATAATAAATTATAAATATTGTTTTACATACTTTTTTTTGTAAATTTCAACAATAAAAACCGATTTGAGTGAAACTTAAATAAAAAAGTTACAGTCTACTTAAAGCCTAACGGCTAAAATTATAAAACATTGAACATACTTAAGCCTCCTGACTCCTGAATAGTGATTCTTAAATACTAAATTTGAAAAGAATTCAACAACGTACTTAAATATAATGTTAATAAGTTATTAGGTACCTTGGTATCCCTAGTAAATCCCTCACAAATCTGCATTTAAATTTTAAAAAATTAACTAGGTATTGTAAAATCAATACCTTTTCAGTTTCTCTTTCAAGTTTTACCTAATATGTATTAAATTAAAAAAAAAACACAGTGTATAATAATAATACAAATAGTATCTGCTTCCAAGTTCCATTACCTCAATCTACAGCTGTGCGTAAGCAATTGTCTTTAGTAGGTAAGGACTTACTAGATTGTTTGGAGCTATGTTACTTAATGTATTATTTATACAAATAATAAACTATCAAATAAAAATGTGTGAAATAAATTAAATATCGACTTAAATATAATTATTTGTTGTGTTAATGTATTATGAGTACTTACAAATTTAGCTTAAATGTGAAATTTTTATGACAAATTGCCTATACAATGCGCCGTTAAGATAAAAATTGCTAGCGTAAAGGCCCCTAAGGGCATTGAAAGCGATTGGTTTTTTGACGTTTTAGACCTAAAAGCCTGACAAAATTACTTCTACTTAGGATGGTTTATTTCAGTTCTGTAAAAATATTTGAGTTTATTGGCCTTTTTACTAGGTAATACTGAGAGTAGATTTTTGATATTTCAATTAAAATTGTGTTTAAATCCTATTTGAATTTCTCAAATTTGTAGACCTTCTCATTATTGGGTTTTTAAGTAAACGAAACAGTTATTCAAAATTCGAATTCCTCAATATCGTGGGATAAAAGTCGATGAGTTTAAATATTTACAAAACTAAAATGCGATTATTCTAAAAAGGCGTAATTTTGTGAGGCTTTTAGGTCTAAATTGTTTTCTTGTAGGAATAAAGTGTCTCGTAGACTCATAGACCAATTAATACCGATTTACTTTCATCCTATTCGTCAAGGGACAGTTTTTTCTTTGGGATAGCGTTTTAATTTTTTCGATATCTATACTTAATATTTTATATAAACAAAAAAACGTCATATCCTTTCGAGTTTTTAATTATAAATACTCAAACATACTCCTCTACCAATAAGAAATAGCTTACAAGGAAACCGCTTTAAGGGGCCTCTATACTAGCAATTTTGACTGAAATTTAACGTTAAGCGAACATTCGTAAATATATATTTACTAATACAGGAAAGAGATAACTCTTTTAATATTTCATATATTTTTTTAACTTAATAACTATTTTCTGTTTGTGTACAAAAACATGTGTCTACTTCGAACAATACGGTTTTAAAAATATTCCGATTTAAGTTTTGAAAACAAATTTAGATTCTTCATACCATTTACAAGGTATCGATCATAGGAAAATTTTAAAATGATTTCTAGTTAATTAATATCTATGTGCAAAATTGCAAATTTTAAAGATTTTCAATGATTTTTACACTAACATTAAAATTAAAAAAATGTACTTTGATCGACACATTAAGCAAGTGATGAAACATCTATAATATTGTATATAATCTATACAATATTATGTAAATTGTCGGATCACGCGATTTAGAATACGGTTAAAATTAGAATAAGTTGTTTTCGATAAAAAAAAATAAGCAGGTGTAGCCACATCATACATGTATAACGACCCATATGCATTTGATTTGATATGTTTAAATATGTTATAAGTAGATTTTTAAGAGCCCAGTAACTATAGATCATTACTTATATTGTATGATTTAGGTGGTTGTAAAAATATGTCGGCAATCAAGGATGTGGTTAATCGAAAAGAAAAATAAATTAAAGTATATTGTTAGGATACACTTCCAAAAACAACTAACAACAATAGGCTGTAACATATGAATACCTTTAAATTAGCTTCGGTGTTTTTTATTCAAATCAACCGCATGATGTGTGTTCTTTGATCCTTTTTCTAGGTAATAATCTCACCCAATCGTTGCATCATTATTCATAAATATGCTATTGTTAACTAACCGGTTTACAGTTATGTTTGAACGCAAAGTCTATATAATGACGTAGTACACAAGCAGCAAGCTATAATAAATTGAACTTTAATCTTAAACATTAACGTTCACAGGACTGTCGATTTGGATTTCGACACACTGTAAATTGTGCAACGCTTACCTATTTTAAGGGTTTGCACAAAAGAAGAGACTTTTTTTTGGGGTATTACATACTCATCAACTGCGCAAAAATAAATATTATTCGCCCAAATGTATTAAGTAGGAATACTAATTAAAAAAAAAAAAAAATTCTACAGCGCATATTTAGTAAACAAAGTAGTGTATGTTTGCTGTTATTACAGAAGCTGATTGATTATTAATAAGATATTTATTGGGCTAAAAAAAACTGAGATCAGATATTTAAAGCAATAATTACTGAAGCATTAAGTTTTTAAACGTATTCACATAAACTATTATAGATCTCCGGATGTTCTACAGCCAACAATAATATGTTAATTATTTTATAGAATACTATTTTTTATAAATTATTCATGAACTTACATCGCATCGCTTAGGTAAATAATTATTCATCAAACGGTGTTATTATAGTCTATGACATCAGATGTCTACAAAGATATCAAAACAACAATATAATTAACATTATTATTCATTTGCTACATAGAAAGAAGTACCTAAAAAGGAGGTTAAAGATAAACTTAACAGACTTGGGATTGGAATCAAAGTGTCTGGTATACTGATTCAATGATCCGCTTTGCAGACGACATTGTACTATTAGCAGAAACAGAACACGACCTTCAGAATATCAAATGCTATATGCGTATAATAAACTCTAGTAAAACAACATTTTTATTTTGTGCTTGAGAACCCACAAACAATACAAATATTTATTTAGGAAAACAACTTATAGCCCAAGTTTCCAGTTTCAAATACTTGGGTAGTTAATTAAAAGCAGACGGAAGAAGTACTCAGGAAATTAAACAAACAATCGGGCAAGCCAAGAAAGACTTTTGTAGTGTCACTGCTTTATATGGCTGAGAGAGATGGGTTATTAATAAAACCTAAAAAAAAGATCCTTTGAAGCTTTGCAAATGTGGTGTTTGAGAAAAATTTGTTAGTCCCAAGCGATTCCTTCTTGGCTAGGTTGTAATGTATTAGCTATTTAAATAAATGTTAAGAAAGACAGGGATGTTTCTTAAACTTGAAAGTTCAGGGTCAGGTCGTTAGTCCGTTACTGGGGAGCTCACGTCTGAGCGTCAAAACGGCCAAGTGTGCCCACATAACTGCTGCCCTAAGCCACTTGGCAATATAAAATGGATACTTTCAAGACCAGCATATTGTTTAACACCAACTTTAATCAATATAAATATATTTTCCATCAAATACGAAAATGTCAAAAAAAAAATATTGGCAAGTTTTCATAATATTTTTTACTCACATACTAAAATTATAACAAAAAAAAAACAAGTACATCATCTCACATAAAATACATGCCATAAAAATAAACTTAACAGATTACAATTAAAAACTTGTTGCAAAATGAAAATCACATTATATTTTTTACAGAGAGAAATACTTAAATTAAAATACAGTTTTAAAACTAATACCTACATAACATTAAAAATAGATTTAATAAATATTCACTTCAATCATATAAACTGTGACATAATTTAAATATCCATAATTTATGTTATAATACGTAAGAATATAATAATATATTATTGTAAAATCTAAAAAAAATAGTCAGAAAAAACAATTTATTTCGCAGAGTCCGATTTATCACATCCATACTGAACACAAAAATTACACAAACTTTTACATCTACTCGCTTAATAGTTCTTTAAATTGTTATTATGAACTTTATTTTTCTTATTTTAATGAGCATTTTTTTTTTTTAATCTGTAATTTTTAAATCATATACATCAAGTTGAATTGTTTGAATCATATTCGTATTTGAAAAATTGTTTTGTAAAACTAAATAGCAGTTCTAAATAAATAATACATGAACGGTTTACATAATATTTTTGTAATATACATTTTCCAAACTGTTATTATAAAATATATAAACAAACTTTTAAACATTTTTAAGTAGAAATTACACATTATAATAAGTAAAGCGCTCATCACCGAAAAAATTAGAACTGCTCAAAGCACAAAAGAGAAATAGATATTTATTTAGAGATTTATGTTAATTCTAGCACTTATCTTATATTTATCTATTGTAGAATTGTATGATAATGAGCAATTGTGTTTTATCACATTTTTCTGAGTAGGTAACTATATATTTTAAACAGAATCTAGTAACTTCAACCTTCATTAAAAATATGTACTTAAAAATTATGCAAAAATTATTATTCGTAAAATATAAATAATAATAAAAAAATAAACAATTATAACATATTAGCTGAAGATTTAACCGTTTACCAAAAAAACATGGAACAAACACGGTGATTTTTAAAAATAATGATAACATAGGTATAATATAATAAATTGATCATTGCATATTTTATAAATTTAATTTTTATAACAAAACAAAATTCTTTTTTAAAAAGTTTGTCAATTAAGTTTTAACAGAGCATTATAATTATTTAAGGCAATTTATTTTTATAAAAGAGATGAGAAATAATTTTAATCTACTCACGAAATAATTTCAAGATAACAATAATTAAATTATCATGATTATCAATATATTTTTACAATTTAGTTTCTTAATTAACGAGAATCAACACGTATTTTTTATTTTATTTATGTCGATAGTGGTTAAACTTTTTCAAAAATAAATGTAATGCTAATGTTATTTTCGTATATAAATGGCAAATATTAAAAATGGCAAATGGTAATTCCAAATAAATTACATGTAATTAATAAAAATAATTTATTCCTCACTAATGTCAAACACATTTGAAGCATAAAAAAATATATAATTTTCTTTTAATAATTCAAGTAAAAAAATCACAGTTAAAAATAATGAAAGTTTATTATTTTTCTCAATAGTTACTATTAGACTTAAAAATCAATATATTTTTTTAAATACTAAATTAATAAAACAGCCGTGTTAAAATGCAAAATTAAGTATGATATTAAAAATTTAATTAATATACTTAAATGTGTTTTGAGTTTATAGTTTGTCAAGCATAAAATAAGCGTAGTTTTAATATATATATATATAACCAAAAAAATATACTTCATATTGATAACTTAGCAATAATATTATACTCTCAAATGTATATAATTTACGTCATTTTACTTTAATAAAAGCTATTAGTAAAATTATGAGCTTAGCTTTTATGTGTATAAATATATATATTTAGTAAAATTCTATCCAAGATTAATTAGATTTATATATAAACGTAATTATAATTATTATAATAATAAAATGCATTCAATGGTCATTTGAATGATAAAATACTTTTGTAAAATGACTTTCTAAAATAATAATGTACATACACCACAAAGTATATAGCTTAAGTTTCAACCTACTAATAATAAAAAAAAAACATAAAAACCGGAACATAATAACAAGGTATTAGTAACTTAAATAAGAAAATATAAATGAACATATTCGTAACAAAACCAGATTCTATTTCAACTGATAACCGGAGAATCAATTAAACAATAATTATTTGCTTATATTTTTACAAAATATATAATATTAAATAATAATAATTAACATTATAACAATCAAATATTATAAAAAAATATATCGAAACATATGTGGAAACACATAATTGATATTATTGAGTAAGATATAGGGAATTTAGACAAAAGAAATAATAATAATGGCGTATTAATGACTCAACCGATAGTCAGATGCGATATACATTATATATTACTTACAAAAAGACTAGGTTAGGGGTACTTGACCTTTGGCGACTAAATCTCATCCAGGCCACCTCTGCGTGCACCTGATTTAGTTTTTTCGAGGACTTTGTTTACAAACTCAGTTGACTGCCCAGCAACTTTAAGTCCTGAAAAAAGTATTTAAATGTGATTGTGGAAGTCCAGCAAAACACACTATTTTCTTAAATGTAAATTAGCGACTTTTTTACAAGATTCAAAGTTCGGTTTCCTAGTTTAAGCAAAAAGCTTTTCTCGGTATGTTGGAAATAACCCCAAAAACTACAAATTGTATACTTAATTTGTTATTTATTTAGCTAAAAAAATAATTAAAAGCAAATGACGTTCTCAACTTCAGAACTCTATTAGCTATATAATTATGGTCATAAATGTGCTTGAAAAAATATAAATATCTGTTAAAAAGAAATGAAAATTTCTTACCAGCATAATTTCAATACAGTAAGAAAATCATTCATCTTATACTGAGTTAATTCAAAAGGAACCAAAAAAAAAATATAAAAAAATTGGAATACTTTTTATTAAAGTTACTCAGAAGTCTATTTAACGGAATGCGTTCAATGGGTTAAGAAAAATAAAATATTGATTAAATAGGGGTTTTTTTTATTATGTAAATAAGATATTGAGATAAATAATTGTGGGCTTAATTGGTATTTTATTGTATTATTAAATAAAAGAAAAAATTTGTTTCAAACAGTAGATGGTTAGTTGTTTGAGTAGTAAATATACTATTATAATAGTTAATAACTTACTGGTGGCATTTTTTGTAATTTTTTCACTAGCTTTAGTTAATTCTTGGTTTTCCTTTGGATAAGAATCACTTGTTGTTCTCGCTACTATCAACTGTTTGACTTGTGCTATAGCATTTATCAAACGCCCTAAAATATACATATTATTAAGTAATGCACATTTTATTTAGATACCTATAACGTGCCTGGTAATAATAATAATACTTTAACTAAAATAAAATAACTCACTGTGTTCGGTTTCTAAACCATAAAGTTTAATTTTGTTCGCTTCATGTTGGGCTTTTTTCTTTAAGCGGCAAGCTCTAAAAAAAAAAACATTGATTAAATACAATTTTTACTATCTATAAATGAATATTTATGAAATAAGTATTTTTAGCATTTAACTCTTTTACATAAGTGTAGTTGCTCCAATACTAAATATCTTAGTTTTGAAGAGGAAAGTTTAAGGGGATGTCACATGTCTAAAATAGTTATTAACATTAGCAACATTTTATAAAAAAAAATGCAATATTTTTTCTACTTGAACCCAATATACAAACATTTTGATGTTATGAAACAAAAAATATTTTACTCGTATTAATTAATAAATAATAAATAAGTTACCGAATAATTCTTCAAGTTTTAACTACTACGTAATAACTATTAATTTATCAATAAAAATAAATAGCATTTTGTTTTAAAATTTAAAGCCTAAAATCATAAATATTTAAAAAAACTCGCATGAAATAAAAATGTGGAAAACGAAACAAACAGAATTTGCACGCTAAAATCATCTAACTATAATTATATAAACTATACTATAACTATTGTTATAAATAACTATAACTATAATTGACAATTTAAACATATCTAAATAGTTTCTTAGACAAAAAGAAAATTTTAATGTGTTCGTAGTTCATATCGTATGGATTAAAAAATAACTGCACACATACATGCCATGTTCTAAAATAATTGTAGTAATTTGAAAATAATTATACATTTATTATTTGTTTAACATATTATTTTAAACACACATACCTGGATGCTAATTTGTTCTTTTCTTTACGAGTGTTTGGCCGAACGTTAAATGGCAACTCACTAACAGGCGTCATTTCATTTATACTCCTATTCAATTTATCCAATTCTCTACCTATGGACTGTAACTTTTTAGGATTTGGTGTTAAATCATTGCCATCACCTTTTCGGGCTTTTCCACTGAAAATTAAAAATATAAAACAATAAGGGCAATATTACTTTAAAATATTACTTTTAATAGGGCAATATTATTTTTAATAAATAAAAAAAATACCTATGTTTGATGCCTTGTATTGAGCAACTTGGACTAAATACAGGATCTGTCACTTCATTTAAACAATGAGGGTCTTCTAACTTGCTCTTTAAAACTAACCGTTGACCTTTTGGCCCTTTTGACTGGACATTGTACTGCCAAAAATATCTATCTTTGTGGGAAGATGATTTGGCAGATGTTCCACCACAGTCACTTTCACCGCCGGAATCTAATTAATGACATCAATAATCATATAGTAAAAAAATTTGATCATCACAAACTATTTTGTTTTTACCACCATCGGATGAGAAATCTTCTTCCTGTTCAGTGTCATCATCAGAGTCGTCTATGGCTTCATCTAGAAAAGAGTCATAAGCTTCTGGGCTCAAAACGCCTCCTAAAAAAAAAAAAGGAAATTTAGCTATAACGACAATTTTTTTTTATAATAAAGATTAAACCTGTAGAAAGTGAAGACGTCGATCCTGCTTCAACTAATGATCCAGTGGATAATAAATGTTGTCTAGGCTCTCTGCGCTGCCATATTTGCTCAAGACCGAGATGTGTAGGGGCTGAAGAAGATAGACTTGTTCTTGACCGGTTAGGTAAAAGATACCCCGACGATCCTGGAACACTTGTTCCAAAGGTGGGAGGAGACAAACAAGTTTGTGGTTTTGTTTCTTTTTTTAATAACTCTTGTAGTGTTATCGATGTTGTGGGTCCTGGAGAAAGTGATGAACGTGAACTGCAACTATTAGGTGAAAGTTGGAAGCCAGATTTTGAAGAGCTTGGTCGATTGATAGGACTGGTATTCACTACGTGATCGACTATATAAGAGTTCATTAGTGGAACGGTATCTGAGATTTCTGATTTAACCGAATCTGGTGGTAGCAGTAAATCGTCGAAATTGAGATCTTCTAATAACGATTCACCACCGTTGGCATTTAACTCGGCTAATGTCGGTCCTTGTAATAAATCAGATTGGTCTACCTGCATAAGTAAATCAGTAACTGTTAAATTTCCGTATTCAAAAAACATTTTGCATCAACAAAAATGTACACCAAAAAAAAGTAGAAGAAAAATCATATGTTCAATACAATAATATCTCAGGTCAACTAACTAGTGAATAAAAAAAATGTTAAAACAAAACAATTTGATTAAAGTTAATTGTAGAATAATAACTGACAAAGAAGTGTTAGGGTCATTTTAACCAAGTGATAAACCATCCCAATATAAAATGTGTAACCTAGTGATAAAATTAATACTTGTCCCATTTATCAATATATAGATGCCAAATTATATTGTAGAAGAAGTCAACTAGGTTATAAAAACACCTACATATGGGTTTCGTTCTTTCAAAAATTTAAGATATTTTGGTTTTGGTTAACTGAAATATATATATATATATTGGTAAGGTTTTATTAAGAAAGAAGAGTTTAGGTTATAGTGGTATAGGTTTTTGGAGTTTATATGGGTGAAGTTCCATTTGGGTTTAAAGCCCTGATTGTAACAATGATATTTTATTTCAAATGGATTAAGTGTATTTATTTTGTTTTAAAAAATTCTTAGTTAATTAACAAAAGTTAAGCAGTTTAAGTTAATATGCTTACTTGAAAAATATCTTCATCCATTTTTATAAACGACATGTCATCAGATTTTCCAATCCATCCAGTATCATTGGCTGTGAAAAAATGTTGATCCGCATTACCGACTACCATAGGATCTTGAATAAGAGCGTTAGACGTATCAAATAATTCAAATCCATAATCTTGTAATGTACTTAGATCACCATTTTTTCTTATTGGTATTGGTACTCCTAACGATGAGCTTTCAGTTGGATAATCAGCTTTTAATACTCGTTTAGTTTCCATAGTACCAAATAAATTTGTATAATCTTTATTATTCATTTTTACACTGTAATTTCTTTTTTTACACAGACAAGATAACTACTCTTTATAAGTTAATGTGTAATAAGAGTAAATGTGTAATTTCTGAATAAAACTCAATTTTTAACATCAATCTGAAAAATAAATGTTTTTAAAAATGATATTATTAAAATCTAAAATTTGTCATGATAAGAATTTTGTAATTATATATAATATGTTTTCAATTAATTAATTTTTTTTTTAATAACCTTTATTAATAAAAAATATTTGGTTCAACAATTAGACAGTAAAAAAATGTATTAATACAAATAAAAAAATGTTTGAAGTTTTTCTAGTTAAATTTTTTATAATGATATACATTTTGACCAGAACTTAACTTAAAAATGTATACAGAGTGATCAACTTAAAGGAAACCATTCATTTTATAAAAAAAAAGCAATATCACCTTTTTCTTGTTTAAATTTCAATATTATACAATTTTTGTACACTGGCCTAACTGGTTCTATTTTAACTGTAAAAAATAATCCGATAGTTTCAACTAGAATGGTAACCAGTAATAAATTACATATTACTTTTAATAATAAGCTGCGAGGGAATTACGGTTGAGTAGATAATGCACATAGATAAAAAAAAATTCCACACTGTATATTTTCTCTTGCCAAATTGCATAATCTATAATAACTTTTTATCGACCAGCCAACTTTTTCAGTAGATTTGTTTTAAGTTAATAAAACACATACATATTTATTTAGAGAACATTATAAACCTGGTTTTATTCTGTGAAAACATGACTACACAGAATGTTTTACTTGTTCTGTGATGGTTTTAGAGCAAAAACACCAGTTACTAAATTTAAAGAAAATGACATTTTGGAGGTAATGTCATATTTTTAAAAAAACTCTTTATTGCACATTATTATACTGACATATTTTATTAAAAATAAAATATTGTATTATTATCAGGTCAATAAAATTATACGTTATGTGTTATGTGTAACAACATTACAATTACATCAATAAATATAATTATCTATCTATAAAAATTAAAATTTCATAAAAAAGCATAGTATGATATATTATTTTTTATACATTTTAAGTAGTTTTATGATTTAAAATTAGAAGAATTATAAATAAATTATTTCTTATAAATAACTTATTTAATGATATCAATAAGAGTTTTTGCAAATTAGAATGAAGATAAACATAATTAAACGTGATTCGATATGATAATTAATATTTTAAAAATTGTTTATGAAGTCAGAAATGTGCATTTTATTTAAAATATTTGATTAGCAAATGAAATACTTGAAAGTGAGCGTTGATTTATTCAGCAATACAACAACATAGCTCAGTTTTGCATACCTTTATGTGGACAACAAAGAATAATATATTTTCGAACACTTTGTTGTTAAAACTTATCAGCTGTTTATAAATTTAATCAAAATAATAACACAATATTACTATGATATGATATAATAATATACTAATAAAATGTCAACTGAGAATTTATATATATTTCAAATAATAATATTATTATCCAAAATCTAATTAATTATTGAATATTACGATCAAATTTAGCAAACAAAGTATGTACAAGCGCGTACAGATTGATCCAATAAAAATCCCTACCAATATTTTTTCGTTAGACTACGGTAAATGAAAAAAATTTGCATAACTCGCATGGTTCAGTGCAACAAGTTTTGTTTGAATATTTTATCGGATCAACTCGTATCGTGGTCATTATACACATCGATATAACTGTAAACGAGTCGAAAGGCTATCTTAACATAAATAGGCTCATTGAATACAAAGCAATTTTATTTTTATGGCCCAAGGGTTATCAAGGACACATGATAACGATAAGGGGCCACGAGGATGGTAAATGATTATGAACGCTTTTGTTTATTTACCTTTCGCTAATAAGACGATTCCTTCAAACCTAGCGGTATCACGCGAATTGCAAAAAAAAACAATTATGGCACGAGCAGATCTTCTGGCTGTAGGCAAAGTCGAATAACATAACGATGGGTCGATGACAAAGAAACACGCGCGGCCATGACTTTCAATAACGAGCAGGTGGCCCCCGCGGAATCCGTAATCGATTTCGATGTTAATTTTTTTTTTTGTTGTTTAGTCGAAACTTAACGTTAACAACACACTTAAATTACATATTATAAACACAGACAAATAACATCGGGTATACCCACTTGTTGGTCCAATTCGAATGAAAACAATACGACGCGACGACAATTTAAAGTTAACCCGTACTAAAAAGTTTGTGCGAAAACCAACTGGCCAGTGTTTACATCACACTACACTAGCGCGCCACATTGGCCGTGAGTCGAAAGCAAAAATAATAACAAGCACTTAAAAACTATTTATAATAATAAACATATTGGTTTTTTTAGGCAAATGAAATCAAAGGTCACATGACGAAAACACGATCGATGGTACCTTGTTTACATTCAGTGGCCAATCAAAAGCGTTGAAATTCCACTCCGCGGGGTAGCTTTTCAATTTGCATTTGCACGAAGAATAAATTAAAACTAACAACTAAATGATTATAATTTTTTACGTTTAATAAAAAAAAAATTTGTGTTCGTCAGCATTTATTTATAAGCTGAATAAACATTTTTATTTTGTATACGATCCGATTGAATTAGCCAACAGTGCATACCGGTGTACAATAATATGTTTTATATCTCTTTACCATAGACATCTACACATAGTATAGGTTACAGTCTATACACCGTTCGCTGAGAATATAGGTAAGCGCAGAAATCAAAACGCATTACTCCTGTATGCGTGCCCGCACATGACAGTAAAGCGTTTTCGTTTCTGCGCACTTATCCTATGCTCTCGGCGAATTGAGTACATTATTATGCTTATTGCTCTTAACCTAACAAAAGTCCCTCGTTTTATTGAATGTTAGGTATATATTGATACCTGCTACTTCGTTCGAAAAGTACTACGATTATACCTACTTCTTCTAATAATTTTTAATTTTAAATTAAGTTTTTATTTCCAAACGCACCGTTTATATAAAACTTATAATAAATCAATCAATTAGAAAGCTTACAGTAGTAGTAGATTGACTACATTTATCCAAAATTTTTAATTAAAATTTAGTTTAAAAAAATGGAAGGTGATAAAGGTTACGTTAAACAAATAGATCCTATTAAAGTAAGTCTAATAATAAGAAAAATTATTCTGTGATTTTTATTATAAAATCTGCTGATCCTTCTGCAGAATCCATAAAATATTTGCAACTTGAATAAGAAGCAAATGGTATTTATCTTATTTTTACTTGTAACTGACATCAAATATAGTATGATCAGTAGCATCTCATTTATATAATTGTTATTGTTATAACAACGTCCTCAAATAATTTTTTGGTATTGCAGGAAAAACCTAATGAACTCTTTGATTGGGACCCTTGTATTGGACTACCCTATAATTTTATTAGAAACTTGTCAAAATATTCATAGGTAGGTAGGATTCTTTAACGGTGCAAGACATGTAATATACCTATTCTACCTGTGTGTATAAGTATAGGCTATCTTAACTCAAATTTTCATGATTGATATTAGCTAATACTTAAGACTTTGTTTTAGCCACCCTATCAGCATTACTGTTGGTAGACCATATTTTAATGTTTTAAAAATTTGTTAAACTAACATACATTATTTTCTTCAACATTGCTGTTTTGAAGGGTATAGTATGTGAATTTTCTTTAAAAAGTGGTAAAGCATCATAGGGAATAATGAGGAAATGTCTACCCACTTAGAAAACAGAAAAATAATTTGTTTTTATTTAATAAAAATAAATATTTTTGTAAAAACTTCAAGTACAATTTGTTTAAATTGTTTCCCTGACAACTATTTGTTTCATTACTATTGTAAGGGGAGTTACATTACATTTAAAAAGTGTATTTTTCAGGCTTAAACAACTTGTTTTTGGATTTGTTATGAACATAGTTTTTTCATACAATATTTCTTTTCATTAATTTGTATGACATATAAGTTAATTTAAGACATCCTTTTTTTCAGGGTAAATGTTTATTTGCAACTAAACACTTTGAGCCAGATGAATTGATTTTTGAAGAAACTCCATTTGTATCTTGTCAATTTTCTTGGAACCGTCTTTACGGTTATCGAGCATGCGACCATTGTTTAAGGTATTTTCAGTACAATCAGATTATTAATAAAACTAAATATTAATCATTTTATTATTTTATTTAGTCCTCTAGAAACTGTTAAGGAAAATATAGGCAGATTAACAAATTATGAAATTACAGAAGTTCCTTATGAGGAGTTTTGTCCCACAAAGGATAATGTGAAAAGTCATGTTCAGTGTGAATTTTGTAAAGTTAGTATTATCGGCATGATTTTCTTAATGCAGCATTAATTATACGTATAAAATTATTTAACATATATATACAAATTTGGACCCTTTTTACTAAATTTAATTTTTATTTGCTGTCAAAAATTAAGTTTATGAATAAAAAACTGTAAAATATTTTGAAAACTAATAATGTGATACAAATTATAATAAAACAATTTTCTTTAAGGTATATTATTGCAGTCATAAATGTTTAGAAAGTGCCTACAATCAATATCATCAGCTTCTTTGCAGGCCTGATAAAAGTGATCCATTGCATCAGTTGGAAGAATTATGGAGGTAAATCTAGATTTATGCTTTTATACAAGTGTTATTACTATCACACAACGGTATAACAATTTCCTAAAACTGAGCATATTTTATTTAGGACTATGCACTATCCCCCAGAAAGTCACAACATTATGCTGTTATGCCGTTTATTGGCTACAATAGAGTTATCGCCATCGCCTCAGCAAGCCAACGAAATAATTTCTAATGTATGTATTATCTTACAAAACTATTTTAAAAACAATACCTACGATAAAATATTTAGTTTTGTCATCGAACAGAAAATGAAAATGAGAGACTAGTGCATAAAATGTTGGGAGAGAAGTTTGCAGAACAAATTGAACAGCTACGTTATGGTGTTTTGAAATCTTTGTCAGTTAGAGAAACCAGTCATGTAAGACTTGAACATATTTAATTTATTAACCCATGCATACATATTAAATTGAAAAATGTATTGACTTAGTGGTTAACGCCTAATGGTTTTAAATCATTATTGGCTTTGATTGGTACAAACGGCCAAGGAGTTGGAACGAGTGCATTTCAGCGTTGGTCAAATGTTTGCAAGAAATCGCTTTCTCCTGAGCAGTTGGAAAACTTTGAACATTTTGAGGATAATGCATACAATGTGATGGAACAAGGTATTATACAGAATGTATTTTTTACTATGAAGGGTGACAAAGCAAAAGAGATTTAGTGCTTAGTACAAAATGATAATAAAATAAAAATTATTAAAAATGGACTTGTCTTCTTTTTGCAGTTAACGATTCATATTTTGTTGCTTCTCTTATTTTTTAATGATCTGTATATTAACATGCATGTAAAAAGTTGAAAATCATTAAATATTGGTAATAACAAATAATGTTAAAATAAACAAACTGCATAATAATAATGTAACACAAAAATTTGTATTAAAAAATAAGAATTAAAAATGTTAAAAAATTGTCTTGTTACCTTGTAATCAAAATAAGTTAAATAGAAGTCAACGACCCTGGTCGTTAAGCTGTAATTAAAAAACCATAAAAACTCTTTAAACTATGTCACCATCAATGTTAACTTTAATGTTACCTAACCATTAATTACTATATATATTACATATTGTTACAAAATAACGCTTGTGTTTTGTTGCATACAGCGGTGGGTATAGATTTTTTGGATAATGAAGGTTCAGCATTATTTCAAGAGCACAGCTCAATCAACCATAGTTGTTATCCTAATGCCGCAAGTGTTTTTAATGGAAATCATATTTTGCGGTTAGTTGCCGTACGCTCAATTGAACCAGGAGATGAAATTAATACTAGTTATATTGCTCCTTGCGAACTGGATCATAGTAGACACACCAGACAAAAATATTTACAGTAAGTTATTACATTTATATAATATAACTGATATACTTGTAGTAATAAATTTCACTATTTTTCCAAAGAGAAAATTATGTATTTACATGTCGATGTATGAAATGTGAAGAACAAGCAAACGACCCTGATGAAACTAGTGACGAAGATAAAGAAATGGATGAAGGTGAAGACTATGGCGTTTAAATATAAATAGTATATTGTTATTATTTTTGAAAATAAAAAAAAGTAACAAGAACTGAATAATAGTTATTTTCGATGTTTTATATTACTGAAGTAACTGATTTTTCTAAAACAATTAAGTTGTTACTATGCTCTGCCAATTCAGTTAATGATACCCGTCCGCGTTTTTTGATGAACGAAGCTACTGCATCAAGTTCATATTGTGATATAAATATGAATTTTCCACGATCATCGATTACCCCTAAAAAACATTAAAATCAGTGTCATTATTTTAGATCGTACAATAAGTAATTGGTAAATAAATATTTAAAATAAATTCAGTCTTTAACTCTAAAGAAACGTGTACATGTTTTTTTCCCTTGGTTATTTCCTAATGAAAACTATTGATATTTTAGACTAGTATATCAATGAATCAGAGCTGTATAACATCCAACTCTAAACTATTTCATCATTCAATACACTCTTCCTGTTTGCTGCTATTAGCACCACTCAAAACTCTTATTTGGTTAAACTCTATACACTAAATAAAATTTGTCGAATTGTACAATGGCCCCATATGCTAATAAACTTATAAAAAAAGATACCGTGCAACAAGTGCAATCGATTTTTTTTTGTTAAGTAACGCTCAACGTTATTGTGGTCATTGTCAGATTCTAGCAAAGTTGGTTTAAAGTGTATTATTGATTTTCCGAGAAACAATATATTTTATTTAGATTATTCATTAAATGTAATCAATATAAAATTTCATCCATTTTTTTAATTTACCTGTTAACGAACCGTTGTCTAGTAAATTTTGTATTCTATCAATAGCAACTTGTGTTTTTAATTTAAACTCCATAGCTAACTCATCAAGTATAATAACTTTATTTTCCTAAAAACAATTTAAAAAAAAAATACCTTTAGCAATGAATATGACTAAGTACAAAATAAAAATGTATTTTACTTTGATATAGTTAATAAACTGAGATAATGTAGCTCCTTCGTCATCCAAGGTTTCCTCAAATCCTTCTTCTTCTATGCTAAAAGTTTCTTTTAATTTCAAATACTCCTCATGTTCTCGTTTAGCTTTTTCTTCGGCTAATCTTTTTTCAACAGCTAACCGTTCTTGTTCCTGTCGTCGTTCATGATCCTCACGAGCTTTTCTTTCTGCTTCTTCAGCTTCTTGTTGTTTTTTACGATCTTCACGATCTTTTAACTCTGCCTAAACATATGTAAATTGATTATTATCATTTTGGTACATCTAACGCTGTCAGATTAATCAACCACAAAAAAAATAAAATACCAACAATTTTGTTTCAGACTTATTTTAGAAGATAAGATGCATTTTTATACTTAAAATATAACATATTTTTTAATTATATAAATTATTTAAATCCTAATTGATTACTTCTCGCTTAATTTTTTTCTCTGCTTTAGCTTCTAGTTTTGCACGTTTTTTTGTCCCTAATTTTGGATCAATAACTGTGGTATCTACTGGGGTTTCATCGTCATCATCTTCTACTATAGCATTATCATTCCTAGGTTCTATAAAATGAAATTAGAAATAAATAAATTATAATCACATAAACATAAAAATTACAGTCAGGGTTAGACTGGCCAGGACCACAAAAAACCGAAAATGTAGCAGGGGCTTCAGCCATGTTTGGGTCCCGGAAGAACATCTGTTTCCTTATTTCAAAACAATTTACTTTAAGTCTATGAAAGCCAATGTTATAATTGATAACACTTGGAAAACAAGAATGATCATAATGAGCATTAAAAACCACAATAAAATCTATAGAAATACTTTTAACAACAAATTAAATTTGGCTCATTTAAATATAATAAAGTCAAGATTTATTTATATAATAATATTTGAAAAAAGGGCAAAATGCAAAATATTTTTAATTAAAAAAAAAAAAATTCTATATTGATAACAATTCCACAAAAATTCGACATTACCTAAAATATTACGAGCGTTACGCCGAATTGCATTTCGATTTTGTCCACGAATTCCAGTCCTTGGTCTATTCACAGTTTCAACTTCAATATTTTTATCTAGTTCACCTAGTAAAAAACAATTTGGGTAATGTCCGAGTCAAAAAAATATATTTTATTATTTTAGCTATAAAAAACAAAAAAATAAATAAAAAGGTACTAAACAAGTTAACTGATTTTTATGTAAGCAGTAATTAATATTTAATACATACTTTTGAAAAATTTGTATCGAAATACAAAACCAAATAGTCCTACAATGACAGATGCAGAAAAAATAGCTAATAATACAGTAAGGTCCATACTAAAAAAAATTTAATTTAATTTATATAACGTGGATATTTTTAGTATTTTTTATAAGTGTGTATATTTTTAATTTTTACGAGTAATTGCAATTATAAATAAATATGAAACATTTGAAATAAAAATAAGTATATTTAATTAATAATTACCTACAGGTTACATTTTTTTTATTTCTCAAATCATATCAATAATCATTATCATAGCCACGATCATAAAAGATAATAGAAATTTTGGGTTGCAACCTTAGACCTTATACCATAGATTAAATTAAGCATAAAACATTAATAATATAATACTAATATTAAAATAAATAAAATATTAATAGTAAATATAATATTAAATATTAAATGAATATAATTAAATAATACATAATCTCATGACCACGGTTGTCTACTAGACAACCGTGCTCCTGACTAAATAGATAGGTATGATGTCAACTGTCGTGATCGGTGATACGCAGTATCAGCCATCTTGGTGGGAAATTAGAACCTTATCATGCAAGAATAATATATTATGTTTATAACAATCACATATATATATATATATATAATATTGATATAATAATATATACAGATGTATATTATATGCATTAATAACACACATAAATTCCACCAGAATGTCGGACCGTCGGCTTCAATTCTTATCGCCAGTTAGCAATCTAGTTTATTATATATATCTGTGATCACCACAGAACACAGGTATATATAATAAACTAGATTGCTAACTAGCGATAAGAATTGAAGCCGACGGTCCGCCATTCTGGTGGGATTTATGTGTGTTATCAATGCATATAAAATACATCTGTATATATTATTATATCAATATTATATATATATATATATGTGATTGTTATAAACATAATATATTATTCTTGCATGATAAGGTTCTAATTTCCACCGAAATGTCGGAAAGTGGCTGCTTCAATCTTCTCTTTTGGTGGCATGTACAGTTAGCAATCTAGTTTATTATATATATCTATGCCACAGAATCATAGACCTATAAAGATATGGACCGCGCCTCCCACACACCCCGCCTTTACTGCCGCGTTATTAACAACGTTAGAAAGAGATAGATGGTTGTTAGGTTGACCATGGAATAAAAATTGAAAAGACATTACAATTTCATTCAAATTTTATCAATGAACATTCTGTTTTACTTTTTATAAAACGTGTAAGTATGTTTTGAAAAATAGTTTTTCTTTACAAACTCAATAGACAATTTATTGAATCACAGATCTGCATCTAAGTTTAAACAAATTCACTAGGTTTTGTAAAATCACTACTTATTTGTTTCTTTTTCAAGTTACGACCAATATATAATAAATATAAAAAAAAATCACAAAGTTTAATAATAATACAAAAAATAATAATGGATAATAATAGTAATAATAAAATCGCAAAGTTTAATAACTATACAAAAAATAATGATAAATAATAATAGGTAATAATAATAAAAATATATAAAAAAAGGAACAATACATTTTACTGATTTTTGAAGTGAATAGTTTTTGTTAAGTGGGACCTAATTCGATTTTTCGGCTGACTTTCACTTAACGTATAATAATGGACCCGGACTCTAAAATAACTTTGAAATATTAGATGGATGAGTTGTAGTAGATGGTTATTTATTGGGTCTTGATTAAAAATATGTGTATTTAGGGATACGAAAATGTTGTTAAAATTAATTTGGGAGGTGGCTTTTATAATTAAAAAATTTATTTAATTATTTGGTATTGGCCAAAGTTTATTTTTGTACATTTTAAAAAAATTTTCACCAACTTTACATAAATATATAAGGTCCACTGATGGATATATTAATCCACCACGGGTTTTTATACTTATTAGTGATTCTGTTTCACTTTGACCTCTAACTAAAGTTGCAGTGCATTTATTACATATAATCTTTTTGCGTAGCTTTCGAGCAATGTAGCCAGCTATATATTCAACAACATCGTTATTTTTTTTCATGTAAAAATAAAACATCCACGAAGAGTACGAAAATTTCCCTTAAGGAGAAGTCACAATTAATTCTAGCGTTCAACTACAGGGTCCGGCAAAAAAACCTCCCTTATTTAGAAATGACACTGTGTGAGTTGTGGTGGTGGTACAACGGTGGAAGGGGTATCGATCGATAGCTGTATACATGCCAATTTCTTCTGACCTAATCTAAACCAATTGCTAGGAATCATGATGAGGGAGAAGTCTGGTTCCAACAAGACGGTGCCACAGGTTACACTTCGCGGCGCTCCCTAGCAAGGAGACATCACCTAACCGCCAAGGTCACTTGATTTATCCCCTTGTGGTTTTTTTCTTTGGGGACTTAAGAAGGCAATCAAACAGGCAGTGGCTGCCATTACACCGGAAATGACACGAAGAGCTATGGCCATTCTCGAAAGTTAAAAGTAAACGGCGCAAAGTGTAACCTGTGGCACCGTCTTGTTGGAACCAGACTTCTCCCTTATCATGGTTCCTAGCAAACTGGTTTAGGTAAGGTCAGAAGAAAATGGCATGTATACAGCTATCGATCGATACCCCCTCCACCGTTGTACCACCACCACAACTCACACAGTGTCATTTCTAAATAAGGGAGGTTTTTTTACCGGACCCTGTACATATGCTGAGCTCAATTTGAGCACGCATTGTCAACACTGTTATTTAAATTCTCATTCGTGTAATTTTCTGGAGTCATTAAATTCATAAAAACTAACATATCATACGTAAAATTACAATCAAGTTCTCGTTCAGTTCTTAATAGAATCTTTCTTACTTCATACAATACACCAAATTCCGTTATATCTATTTTGGGACTGGCAAAACTTCCTCTGTTGAGCGCTTGAATATAATTAAATTTTCTTCAGGTAAGTCCATTTCATTGTCTGTGGGTAATGCACTCGGTAAGCCAACGATTGGCAATATCATGACCATCCAAATAGAATTATTATAGTACGCCATTTTCAAACATATAAATCGTACTAATATTAGTTTATATTTTTTGGTTCTATTTTATGTAAAAGATATAGATTCGGTACAATAATTTTCAACTGTCGTTTCATTTTGTAAACACAACATTTGTCAGGTTATATTAGCCTATGTCTTACACTAAAACACATGGTTTGATTTTTTTTTTTAACTAATAGTTTTTTCAACTGTCAACTTTTGCTTTGCTATATCTTCGCGAAAAACGGCCGGAGCAAGTCGAAATTTCTATATAATATTGATAAAGCATGCATACATGACTTCTAACCCAAATTTTGACAACCCCGCTTCCTCCCGGGGTTGGGGTTGTAAGTTAAGATGCAATTTTAGGATTTAGACATCAAAAAAGTATAAAGTCGAACAAAGCCAACATCTAGTCGTCGGCGGCCAAAAAAAAATTCCAGTCTAAAAATGTGAATAATACATAATTAAATACGTTTTGAACCACTGAATTTATTTAATTTGGGACAGTTCATGCCTAATTAAGCTATCTGTAAAATATTGACTTATTATGAACTTACTAGCTAGAAATTTAAAATATATTTATTATAGCCTAATATATTGTCAAAAAATAAATTATTTTATCACCCTCTCTCTGGTATCAGTTTTTATAGTATTATAATAAATTTGAAATAGTGACCTCAAAATTCATACAATTTGGCCTATTTTCAAGCCTCTTATAGTTAACTATTTACTAAAGGTAAATTTAAATCATGAACTTTGTATTAAATCACAACTTATAACTCCAACATAAGCAAAACTAACTGAAAATGGAATTTTATTTTTATATAAACCATTAAATATCAACAACAAACAGTTATATATGAATAATAATTTCATCAAATAAGTATAAAAAAATAACAAAACTTGATCTTAAAAGTTGTACATTGATTTCTATTTGAACAAAACAAAAAAACTTATAACAAATTTTAGTAAAATAACTCTATTTCTAGGAATACATTATACAAGTATAACATGAATAATAATTATATTTATACCTTAAAGTCACATTTTAGAATAACAAAAAAAATATAATAAACAAACTTTGGTAAACCGTTGGAAGCTAACTTGCTTTGGTAATATGACTCGTTTGGGAAAACAAAATATAATAAAAACAACTTTAATTATTTAACTTTAAATATTTCCATAAGATCATTAAGCGATAATTTTGATGATGCTGCTTTGTTAGTTCCATGGAATAAATTTTCAGCAATTTCTAATTTTTTATTTTGAAGCGCTTGAATTGATGTTTCTATAGTGTCAGTACATATAAACTTATACACGTAAACAGGCTTTGTCTGACCTACTCTATAGATGCGGTCACAAGCTTGTGCCTCTAGCTGAGGATTCCAATGGATATCTACCAAAAACATGTGATTGGCAGAGACTAGATTGAGCCCAACGCCACCAGCAGTTAACGACAACAACAATATCTACATTGTGAAAAAATATAAATTTTGTTTTACAAACAATTTTTTTCAAAAGAAAAATGTAGTGCACTACCAATTGAAAAAATAAATTACCTTTGGTCCACCATTGGGATCGTTAAACCTATTCATTACTTTACTTCTAGCCATTATAGGAACGGCTCCAGTGTATAAATCCATTTCTACGTTATACAGCAACAACCGATTACGTACGAGATGTAACATACTTGGCCATTGAGAAACAATAATTGCTTTGTCATCAGTGCCCAATACTTTTTCCTTGACCAATTCACAAACGGCCTTAATCTAAAATAAACAAAATGTACCCTAGCCATTAGTTATTTCACAAGTACATTTCTCAAGATGAAATAATATTGTTTGAGATATATTAATTATTATATATTATGTAACAAGATGATCCGACAAAATTGCATGTAGCTTGTGTAAATCCAGTCAGGGTCATGTATAATATTAATAAACTGACTGAATATCATAATGAAAATATATAAGCAACTTCTATTTTTTATAAAAATGTTGAAACTGAAAAAAAACCTGAATATACTAATGGGTTGTAATATTAGTTCTTATAAAAAAATAAATTTTTAACAATCGAATATTGTCATTATCAAAATACATCTTTCTTGAAGCACACACTAATTATACATCATACAACAATAAGTTTACTAGGAGTAATAAAATGACTGAGGAAATAAATAAATTTAATGTTATTAATTTTTAATTTAATAATAATATTAGAGTTTAAATAGATTTGTTTTTATAAGTTAGTATTAAATAAAAACCCCAAATTACCATTCAGCAATTTCAGAATTACGCAACTGTCATAACAAATAACCGTATTATGGTACTTAACATATTATACTTATTAAGTAATCATGCTTTTCAAAACAAAAGTTGACATACCTTTGAACTAATCCAAGTTTCTTCAAAAATCTTACTTCCACTACATAATTTGTTGTCATCTTGCTCTTCGGATAAACTAAATTCATTTAAATCCTTAACATTTGAGTCAGTATCTGGACATTCACTCTTTATCAAATCATTTGATTCTACTTTCTAGATAAATATTAACCAACACATTAATTAATTTAACTTATCTGGAAAAAAGCTAAAATTATTTTAAAAAAATGCAAAATTCATATTTTCTTACACCTCTTGCAAACATAAAATAATTTGTATAAAAAGTAAAGAAAGGCTTGCTGAAAATGGATAAAATTGTTCACAAAATTAATATCTTCATTTTTTTGCATCGTAACACTGCATTGTATGTAACATATACATACTTATTTTTTAGTTGTTAACTTAATGGAAATTATAAAAATTTGTAATAATTGTATCATACTCCTTTTATTAAACATGGATGGCAACACATTTGTCGAAGACGTAGTAGCAAAACTATTATATGGAATGTCTGAACGGCTTCAATATTTTTAAGCTGTTGAAACAGTTTTTGGAGTTCTGGATAACCTTTAAATACATTACCCTTGCCCTGTTTCTGTTCTAAAACTACACAAAATAATTGGATTGAATTTTTGAACATTTCTATACTATTTACTATTTACCATCTAAATATTTTATGTTGTTATGAAGTTTAAAATCATAATCATAGACTGCATTTTCTTTTTGTGCCTTTTCAATAAGGTATTTTTCAAATAAATTACTAAAAGATAATCAGTGCTATTTTAATCAAAATTACACTATTTAAATTTTAGTAATTTAAATAACACACCTAGAAAATAATAATAATTGCTCATAGGCTTCCTTTTCTTCTTTACACAATTTTACTGGAACTACTTGAAAAGTTTTAGTAGGTAGATTAAATGATGTCAACTGTGAGAGTTCTTGTTTTGTTCTCCGTAACATTACTACGTTAGCTATTAACGCTAACCTTTCGCTTCCTATTCTATCATTGTTCCCAACCCAACGTTTCCAAATCTAAAATATTAATATTATATTTAATTTACAATTAAAAACGTGCATGTTCTAAAATATTGAATCTTGAGTGTCCGGACTCAATAATAGTGCTGTTGATATTATTTAAAGAGCAGATAGTTGCTCGTTTGGGAATAATAATGTGTGGTTTTCCCTCGACTTCTGCATAATGAGTAATATTGAGATATAATTGTCGTGTCTATTCAACCCCCAAACCTGGAGGGCCAGATCTTCCAGACCAATAATGTCGGAGAGGTGACTTCTATAGCATAATTTTCAGATTGCTGGCTGGGCACGTCATTTTACCTACGCCATAGATTAGGGTTTGCTAAGCCTGTAACATTAAGTGGCTCTTGGGTACATCCTTGGGGAATATATATTTCTAGGACATATTAAAACCTTCTAAAATTAAGTTAGAAATTCATAAAAAATAACTGACCATACTATAACTATATCCTGTTAAATCCAAACTATGTTATATCCAAAAAGTAAACTTAGCCTATTGATATTGATTTATGACTTACTGACCCCAGTGCCCATACTAGGGGATTTCCTCCTCGTGTTATACTTTGTAAAAATAAGTTTTAAAAAAATGCTTATTGAACAGATTGTATACTCAATAAAATATACTCAAGTAAAGTATACTCAATAAAATATTAAAAATAAAAAAACTTACTCCCCAGTCATCAAACGGTTTACACCCTATGAATTTTAATAGTGTATAAAAGTCAGCTTCCTTGTTATGAATCGGCGTACCGGTTATTGCCCAACGGAAAATACTTGACAAATTACAAATGGCGATTGAGGTACAACTCTTATTATTTCTTATAATGTGCGCCTCATCTAATATTATTCTTAGCCATTTTATTTTAAACAAAGGACTCTAAAATAAAAACAGATTGACATAAAAATATTATCCACAAAAAAAATAAAAATTATAACTAATTAAATTATATCACTAATTAAACTCACAGTAGTACTAAGTTTTTGGTCCCACATGACTGTTTGATAGGATGTTATTATGATGTTTTTTGCCAACAAATCCTCAACTGAATGCTTCCTCTTAGAGCCATAATATAGGCCAACGGTTATTAATTGAGATTCTAATTTAGAAAGAATCTCAACCTCCCATTGTTGTATCAAGCTGGCTGGGCAAACAATTAATGTGCCTCCAGTTGGTGCTAAAAAAATAGATATAAAAACGTTCATATAATATATATATATATATATGTATACACATTAAACATGCAAATAGTTAAAAAATACAAAAAAAAAAAAAAAAATAGCATAATGAATTTTTTTTATAAATTTTAAAATCAAGTGGTTACATTAAAAAATGTAATGTAATTGTTTGTTAAATAATTTTTTATCCAATTTGTTTAGCAATAAAAAAATAATTTATCGTACTCTATATTGTTTCAAATTATTTGTTATTAATTATTAAATTAAACAAATTTTTTACACTTTTTTGTTCATTATTTATTATTTTTTTAATGTCCAAAAGTGTATTTCATCGCTGTTTAATAATACTCTATTTTTTCTTTTACGGTCTTAAAAGAAAGTTTTGTAGTATTTTTTTTTTTCAACTTCTGTTATTACCTGAGTTTTTATTTATATGAAACATACTTTATTAGACTATTGCTTAACATCATAAATGCTACATCATTCAATACTATGAATACCTATTAATACCTTAATTTTTACTTATACATAATAGCTTACATCTCGCATTGGCATTTTTTTCATTCAGCATAATATTATCTTTCCCGGTTTCAGAAGCTTTTAATATCAATGAAATCATTGTTAGAGTTTTACCCAAACCCATGTCGTCAGCTATAAAGATACATTATAATATATAATAACAATAATATTAAAACTAATACTATATAACTACCTAGAATTCCACCGTGGGGTATTTGACTTTCCCTCCACATAAGCCACGCTATGGCATGTTTTTGGTGGAGCATAAGTGGTACATTTAACCCTAGCGGATCATCTAAATACACATTAGGAGATGGACGAGTTTCCAAAGATTTGTGCAAGATCTCCAACACGTCTAATGTCAGAGTCTGCTGTGTTCGATACGTTTCATATGCTGACATAATAATAAATTCATAATTAATTAAATATAAGATGTAATATATCATAAGCATTAATGAGTATACCTTTATCGCCCATTGCACCAACATTGATGTTAGAAGCAGCTTTCTTGAGAAGAGCTTTTTTAACATTTAAAGATTGTGCCAAAACTGGTATAAATGGAGACTTGAAATCACTTATAGCACACTTTTCATCAGGTACATCTGTAGTATAAATAATTTTAAGCAATTAATAAATTACTTACGTTTTTTATTAATTACAACTTTTGTACATTACAAAAAAAAAATACCTTTATTATCATTTTCGTAAATTGTGTACATATTATTTTTACTCAAATTTACTATATTGAGTTTGCTACTTGCATCCGATAAAACATTTTTATCACTTGCCAATTCTTTTGAAGTTTTTAAGGACGATTCAAAAGTTGTAGATCGAAATGCATTAAATCTATTTTTATTCATGTTTTTTTCAAACTGCTCATAATTTTCATCTTCATTATCAGTGGCCATCTGTAAATGACAAAATTAATATAGTATTAAAATTAAAACTAATCGATTCTAAGGCTATTTTTTTTTTTTTAACCAAATATAAGGTATTACCTCATTTCTGTGGTTCGTAGAATAGCCAACAGTTGAATGGAATGATGAAGAATTATTTGCTAATAACGATTGATTCATAGAATCATATAAAGTGTTATTGCTGCTAGAACTAGAATTATAATTAAATTATTAACTATTTATTAATAACTATAAATAATAAGGGGTATGCAGGTTTTTGACGTTTAAGCAGTCCAAAATTTTGAATTGTATTTGAGTATTCGATTATGCTCAAAAACTATAAAACTCGTAAAAAGTTATTTATTAGAGATCTGCACGGACTGGGCTTGGATAGGTAGGCATTCGACCTATCGTCGAGCTGGATTCAGCACAATCAATACCTTCATCAGACTGTGTTTTAAATTAATAACTAGTAAATATGAGTGCTACTAGTAAATTTTGTATAGCATTGCAGAAATGAGTGATACCAGTAGTACAAAGTTAGACGCTCTATACTACCATACCATATGCATCAATAAACACATTTTTCATAGTTTAGTATGTCGTTAGAAAATAACTAATTATTTATCGAACATTGTTATATTATATTATAACAAAAAATTGTACGTAAAAAATGTTCTTACAACTTTGTTTATTAAACCTTATAATAACTTAAGTAATAAGACAATTTTTTTTTTTTTTTTAATGAGATTGAAATTTAATTTGACGTTTACACCAAATAATCTTTTAAGTATAAATTGTCAATAGTTGAATATAATTAAAATTGTACATTTTTTTTTTTTTACTCACCTATTATTAATTGAATCAGGCGCAATACAATTATCGAGAAATGATAATACCCTATGATTATTATCTTCATCTGATACTTCGCCAACACTACTCAATTCACAATTAAACAAAGACTTATTATAACCATTGTCATAATCGTTTACAAAACGGCTGGAACTATCTTAAATATATTCTAGTATTAACTTAGTGCCAGTGAAAAAACAAAGATAACTAATTAAACAAGAAATATACCTTAAAATGTTTTTATTAGGTCTTTGTGGACTAGAACTGCAAAATCCACTATTAACTGAGTTTTTGTCACCTTTAGCTACAATGCTCTCATTGGATATATTTTTCATGACAGCTTCTGTTTCAACTTCATATTTTACTAAATCATTAAGCGAGGGTTTGAACAACAGTTCATCATCGTCTGATGAAAATGACATATCTTCAAAAGACTTGTAAAAAGATTCATAATCCTTTTTCTCCTAATTTTTTTAAAATACAATTTTAATTAAATAATTATTTTAAAAATTATTCAAACAATTAAATACTTACAACAACAGGTTCATTCACCAGTGTGCTACATAATCATTTAAACACAAAAATAATTCATTAAACCATTAATACTATTAATATAGTAGAAATTAAATGAAATAAATAATTAACTTACCTATCATCCAAGTTATTTAAAAAACTATTAGCTCTAGAATACTTTGGTACTAAAATAGCTATGTTTTCATGAAATTCTATTAGAGTGGGTTGGCCGATACTGTCATTACTTTTATTTAATTTGTCTTCTGTTAAGTCATCAATTTCTTCCATTTTATCTATGGGGTCAGACTCAAATACACTACATGAACTTTCGGGACTAAACAAAATCATCCAAAATTGGTTATTAAAACAAAATAATTCACATGAATGTTGTATACGTACATTTTAGATCCAAAATAAAAATTATTAGGAGCAATATTAGTTATATTGTCATTGTTTAGAAGAGTAAGGCTATTTCTCTCAGAATTATTTGCAATATTTTTTTCAGATCTAAAAATTCAATTAAATATTACACTCCTTAAAGTTTATTACATCAATATTTTAATGAAATCGTAGTATATACCCATTAGACGACAGTCTGGTCTCGTTTTGAGAAAAGGTATTATTTTTATCAATAGCTATTAAATTTGAAGTGTTTCCAAATGCAAGATCATCATAAATATCACAAACCACTATTGACTTGGATAGATCAAACTCTTTATTATCAGATTTACCTCTGAAAATAAATACATAAGATACATATTGGATAATTACAAAACAAAAATATAATTACACGTCAATATCATTTCTTGAAAGATTTGTTAAATCATCAACTGCAGTATTATTCTCATTTCTGTTACTGTAAACAAACGTCTTTATAAATTTAAGCGTTCTCTATAATTTAACAAATATGAATAATAAATTCTTAAAAGAAAAAACTTACATAGGAGTCCCGAAATAAAAACATGTTGGTAACAAAAGTTCATTTAATTGCTCTTTTTTATATGGGCTATTAGTTGATTGTTCAGGTGCGTTTGATGATATAAAAAGACACCTTTATTTAAGTAAATTATAATCAATAGAAATTTATTAAAACATCTTATTAAAGTAACATTAAAAAAAAAAAAACTGCTAGTGAACAATTAATATTATTTTACTTTTTATATTCTGTTTGATTGGACAAAATACAGTGTTGTGCATTAATTTCCTCTTCAGATTCTTTATCAATATTATACACATCTGTTCTAAACTTTATTGGGCTGAAATCAACACTGTCCTCGATATTTTCTTGAACTCTAAATGAAAATATGATATTTAGTTTTATAACACAATTATTTTTTGAAATTCATTTTACAAATTAGCTTCTTCATATTCAACGTCTATATCATTGTCACAATCATCATCGTTGTACAAATCTCCTCGAAATTTTATAGGCGATAGTATATCAAAACTATCATTCATAGATTTAAATCCTTGATTACTGCAATACATTTCAAATTATATTACATACACAATGTGCAGTCCAGTTCATAAATGCAAACATAGAAAAACAATAAATATTATGAGGTAGCCTCCTTACTGTATAGTAGAAGAATGTTCTATCTGTGTTGAAGAATGTTTTTTTAAATTGTTTTCAGCGTCGACTTCCATAAAAAAATCAGGATATACACAGATTTGACCATCCATTTTTGTAGTGTCAGCTTGTTCGTCACATTTTTTACTGAAAAATTAACCTTTTAAAGAGGACGCTACCCACTCATAATTTATCCGCAAACAAATTTTTTTTCAGGGGACAAGAATGTGAGGGCAGTATTTACAGTAACCGTATACAATTTTTACAATATCCAGCACAAAATACTTTTATACAATTTTATCTATACCCAAAATTATTTTTAAAACTAGTTATCTTTTTTATTTTAAAACTCTCACTCCCATCTAGCACCATTTTGTTATCCCATCTACATTTTGACTGTACATAGGCCTCATAATTTCCGTGTATTTAAAGCAGATATTACAGATATTAACTTACGGGTCTATCCAGTTAACAATATTATTTGGTGATGTATGAACACTAAACTTATTGTCATCCTTCATTTGATAATTGTCATTTCTATCATCAGATTTTATGATATTTGATTTATTAATATCTACATAACTTATTGTGCTCCTATTAAGAAGAAAACAAATAAATTTTACTATTAACATAAATATGATAAATGAAACTGAATTATGTAATTACATGTCAACAATGTGGCTGAAATTAAAATATTCAGTATCTTTTTCAATAATGACAATTATTTCATTTAAAATTTCTGAAATTTCACAAATAATTTTGTCAGTACCTTCAGCAAAATAGTTTTCGTTATTACTAAAAAAAAAAAATATATGAATATCATTATAATAACCAAACCATTTTTTACAAATTATTTGTAGCTTTTTTTTTTTGACAGTTTGCATGCTACATGAACAGTTTACTTAAATATTCCAGAAAATTTTGAAACTTTTTTTATGGTACAACTTATCATTACCATTTATGCTAATAAAAATTAAGTTCTTGATCACTATAATAAAATGGGCCCTGGAATTCATACTTACTATTCATTTGCATTAATGTATGTGAAGAGATAGATACATAATGTGAATTATCGAAAGATTGAATAGAATAAAATCATTATTACAATTTACCTGTTAACAAAATCAATACTTTCTTCAATTAATGAAAATCCAGAATTCTGATTTTCAAAACCAGAATCATCAGCCAAACGACAATGTTCACATTCAAAAACGCTGTTTTTCAAATCATTTTTGCTGAAACATTAAATCGTTATATTGGCATATCATACAAGAAGACTACCAATTGTTTAGATGCATGAAAACCCTTTTTTTTTATAGTTAGTAATTACCGCGTAGATGTAATTAATACTTTAGAACAACTAAAACTATTAAACCCAATGGATAATCTAATTTACCTTTGAACTGTAGACTGGCTATGTTTACAATAAGCAAATCTTTTCTTTACATGACAACTGCCCAAATCATCGTTTGAAGTCTGATTCAAAGGCCCCTGAAAAATTGTTATAAATAAGCAAATGCAACTAATGTAAGTTATTAAATAAAAAATTGTGTGTTTTCAAGTAATTACTCACTTCATGCTCTTCGTAAGAATCTGAAAATTTTCTTTTCATATTCGTTTCTTTGTGATTTGTATTAACAATCTGAAATAAATACATACTTATAAAAATTTGTACTTATAGGTTAACTTTTTTTTATCTATTTGTAGTATCTTACATTTCTGTCGTATCGATCATTTGATGAAGAACCGAAGTAAAATTCAATGTTCTCCATTATGTTACATAACAATATTTATAAATATAACATAAACAATTTTAAATCCTCCACTATATATTTAGAAAATATTCTTGACAACTTTGAATTAAAAGTTCGCTGAAATAAATTAGAATTTAGAAACAACATATGATTGGAATAGTTGATTAATAAGGTAATAAGATCTTTTATGTAGTACAGTAAGTTCAAATAATTAGAAAAAAAAATAATTTTGCTAGGTTTTAGCATAAATACCATACAAATATATTAAATTAATCAAATCTTTAAACCAAGACAAATTATATAAGAAATAAAAAAGGAAAGCGCATAAAAATAAATTTCATAAAAGAACAAAAACAGGATAGATATGTCAATTTATTGTGGTTTAAATTTATATCCAAATGTGATAGGAAAAAACTGAAAGACAAACAGATAGTCAAGTGAAAATAAAAAAAAGATCACATGGTAATATTGAAACACATATTTGCCCTTATAGAAATACAATGATCCATTTAAAGTTAAAATAAAAAGTTTTACTTGACTTTTTTTATATTTTTACTCAAGTTCTACACCTAAGCATAATATTTTAATATTTAATGGGAAAATTAAGAATTCAAACAGATTTATAATGCCTTTTTTTAAACATATTTCATCAAATTATGCACAACAAATATTAAGCTTTTTTGTATTTTTTTTTTATTTTTTATATAAAAAATATGCTTTTAACAAATTTAAATAGTAATTTCTAATAGTAAGCCAGGAGAACAAGAAGAGCAAACCAGTTATTACTCATGTTACATGTATAATAGATTTGCCTAACGAAAAGTTTTTTTTTTAAAATATACTACAATTTTAAATACACTCGAAAATCATCATAAGCAATCAGTACCATAAAACAAAAAAAATCCAAGTAACCAACACAAAACACTAATAAGTTATTAAATCTAATATTTTTTTGAATTTAAAATGTCCTTTTGTTTATTTTTTCAATTATAAAATAAAAACATTTATAAATAAAAGGGAAAACTGTAATACTTACACAGAAACGTAACCAAAATACAAAAGACGTGTCGGCGAAAACTGACTAATGTCAAGACTCAACTCTCAGTTTAAAGTATCATCAATCAATCGACACACGATGCGAATAAAGTAATACTTGACAAAATGAGCGGGAAAGTTTATTTTATTCTTTATACTGATAACAGTGTATGCACAATGAACCATACCGTTCAAGGTGGATTTATAAATCCACCTTGATACCGTTATAGTTTCGCGAATGAACCATTTATTTATAAACTCATGCGACCCGCAAACCGCACTCGACCACTAAAAAAAAAAATTGATAAAGATAATAAAATATGTCCATACAAGCTGGAACTATATTTAAGAATAGATCCAACAGTCAACCCAAAATTATTATTTTTTACAGATTTATTAGTTAATAAATTAAATAATTTGGACTTAATTAGACAATTAAAAAAAAGGATGAAGAACATGTAAATTATATGTGTGTTTATCTAGGTTTTAAATAGGAGGAAGTAAATTTGTTTAATTTTTGCCTAAATCCTTATAATGATACCTTTCGGGTACAGTTTCTGAACTATAGATTTGCTAAATGAAGAAATCAGTTCAACGGTTAGGTGGAAAATGTAAAAAAAATAACAATAGGTAAAAATTAATAAAAACTAATTATTGTAAAAGATATAGGCGGTGAACACCTACTTACTTACTACACAGTACACAAGTGACAATCGACAAGTCAAATATCATTATTTGAATAACATATGTAAGTCAAACTCAATGATAGTAGTCTAAGAAATTTGCAAAGTTATGTGTAATCAAGAGGGGGCAATTGCACCCCCCGTTCACAAAAAAAAGTATCAAATATTCCATTTGTATAATTAATTAATTGTGACTAAAATTTTGTTCATGCAAGTTATCGAGAGAGGGTCGTTATTGTATTTACCATGAACATTTATTATTTTTCTTTTGAAAATTGTCCATTTTTATTTTATTGAAATAGTGATCACGGCATCCGAGTCGCCACATTTTATCTACAACCGTTTATTTATGGGGTTTGACACAGTACACATACAAAGATATATGATATTACCTGCTATATTCTACGATTTTGCGATAATACCAGTCACCAAGTCGATCTATTTTTAAATTAATACGGCGTACTACAATGGCTTTACCGCTCCTCGCTGCTTGCCGCATTAGTTTTGTTTTGACAGTAGTTTAATTTATTTTATAAAACAAATAATATAAAGTTATTACATTATGGTTTAACTTTATTTGACAAGAATTAAAAAAAAAAAAAATATTGTAGACCAAGTTATCGCTATATTTGTTGGACCCCGTCTCACAAGTCGTGTTTGCGGTGACCAACATAAAATAAAACTGAATCATCTAAAATCAATCAAACCTAAAAAAATCATTAGTTAAATAGTTAATCTAGGCCTGATCAAAGCTTTTTTTTTTTTGAAAAATAAACAAAATGGTGACCTCTGATTATTTACTCGCCGATTTTCAAGGAAAAATGCACTATTATATTGTTTATAAAAAATATAATTTTTAATAAAAAAAAAACCTTCGATCAGGCACTAGTTTTTATGCTTTTAATAATCTGTGAAGTGGTTTTTGAATTATAGTTATCACCGACTTTGAAAAAATAGTTTCGAGAAAAACTCATTTTAAAAGTTTTATACTCGATTTATGTATAAAAAAATAAATTATTTAATTACTTATATCAAGTTATCTATTCCTTTGATTAACTTGAAATTTTCAGATATTGTTTTCAAGACATCATACTTTAAGAAAATACAAATTCAAAAAATCGAATATTTAAAAATCCTGACTACTCCTAACCCCTAAGTTTTTCATTCAAAATTAAAAATAGGTGTCTTCTAAAACAATAAGACACATCACATTCACCAGTGGCTGATTTATGTACACAACTAATTTTCATGTCGACTAATAATAAGACAATTCCTATGCCTAGCTATTCTTTTTAATTTATTTTATTCATATATATATTGCCCCCTCTGTTTAGGACCTTTGTATCCGCCCTTGTGTGTAATTTAAAATAACGGATATCTTGTGTGTTATTTAATTGGAACATTAAAAATACTTTGCGACTGGCCCAAATTAATCGGGAACTTTTTTCCTTTAACCAGACACTTTTTTTCGCCGAGATGTACTTAATACATATTTTTTGGACCCTTCTACCCATAATGTCATGACGAAAATTGTACGTACATAAAATATATATATATACCTATATATATTGATACTACTATACTAGTAGATGCTCTGAGGTCAAAATTGGAAAAAATCACCATTAAATAATAAATGTTATGTTAATTTTTACTACATTTTGAAATTTTAACTTATTTTTTATGACTATCCTTTTTTGGTAATTAATTTGTTTTCATTTATTATATACCTACCTAATATATATTATATATATATATATATCACTTTCTTTTATATTGTATTTCGATTTGTTCTATATATATCTTATCGTGTATACCTGTGTCTTATTTTTTTATTTATGAGGAACTATTTTGTTAAAAATGAATTGTTAAAATTGTTATTGATTATTGTGATTGATTGTTATTCGTTAAAATTTTTTTTGCTAGCTATTTATTAGTTTAATAAAAACTAAGTTTCTGTCTTTACTCAACTAATGTTTACAAGTTTTTTTAAATTGTATTTTTATCTATTAATTATATACATGTTTTTTATCGATATTATAACTATTTCAGTGTTTTTTTATACAAAGTTGCACAAACACAAGTTCCGAGTAAATACTTAAATTCTTAAAATAGACGTTTCTAAGATCTACCTAATTATTATTATGAAATATATCAACGAACAGATAACAGACAACTTTATTTAAAACAACAAAAAAAGTTGTAGCGTACCATGTTAGAAGTCGAATAACATGTACAGTTATTGAGAGTTTTCCTTTATTTCCCCGCCCCTAAATGTTTCGTCCCCACTATGCCTTGACACGCTGACCTGTTTTTTTTTGGTTTTTCCTAAGGCTTACCCACCCCCCTCCCCAAATTTATCGTAGTCTATTCAAATAAGAAATCCCCAAAATTTAAAATCCTTAGCTCAAATCTCGAATACTTACATGAATTTTTATTTTTTTATTTGATTAAAACAAGGAACATTTTAATACCTAATTAACTTAAATAATTCTAATTTGAAAACTAATCAACATTTTTACAATATAAAAAAAAAGATTAAAACTGAAATATGATACTTCAATACTTGAAAATCCTTCTTATGCTATTTTGTAATAACATTTTTTTTGGCAAATTATGGAATATCGAATACCTAACGTGCTAAAAATAATTTGTATCCCGAAATATCAATAAAATGCACAAAGGTCACAGAGTCATTCGGCTCATATATTAAAAAATTTCTCTTATTTTTTAGACTTTTATTTCATTCCCTTGGTCCTCTGTTTGCACAACAAAATATGTAAACACTCAGCTGTGGCCGCCGGGCGCCGGTACGGCGTCGCCTCCGTGGGCCGGGCCGAGTGACAGTATACAGTTGATGTGCAAACGCCAAACAGGGATTAAGGGAATGAAATAAAAATCTGAGAAAATTAGAGAATTATATTTTAATATTTAGAGCCGAATGTCGGCCATCCAACGCCATACCAAATTTAAGGACTACCCTAATATATATATATATATATATATATATTAATTATTATGTATCTAGCTTGAATTGAGACAAAAATATATTGTATTAATCCTGAAATAAGTTCAATAGTTTTAGTATATGAAGCCTAAGTATACATTTTAAGCGGCCTTTATTATTAAAGTAGAAAGATTTGTGTGAATTATTGGACATTTTACAGATGACTTTATTTTTGTTTAGTTAAACAATTAATATTACATTACGCTTAGATTACAACCAAGTTACATTGTTAATAATATTGTTCATAAATATTGTATCATTTATAACGTAATAATATGATATTACTAATATTCTATATTATTCTACAGTAAAGTAGAATCAAAAACGAAACTCTTGTGGCGGGAACTCGGAAAGTCATGGCACTTTTAAGTATGTACGCTTTCCTCCATTGATATACTTTTTCATCCAAGAAGCAGCGTTCTTCCCCCACTCCTATCCGTTTTTATTCTCCCAACTCTCTAGCGCGTTTCGAACACGAGTACAAGCGGCATCATGATTACTGTCTTTCTCTCTACGTTTCAACTCGGCTCTTGCCTGGATGGTTGATATTATTTTCCAAGTAATTAATTTTTAGTTTTTAGGGACTACGCCATGGTAAGTTTATACTCGTTAATTATAATGTAGTATATGGTTACAAGGAGTAATTTTAAGTATTATTTGTTTGATTAATGTTAATTTTAAGCAACCAAAAACGTTAAGTTTGCTGGTCATGTTGCCACTTGCCATGTGGATTTTGTGTTTTATAACTTTCATAATTTGGTGCGAGATTCATGATTAGTGTTCGTGTTGTGTTTAGAATCGCTTCTTTCGTTTATAGAACTAATTTATAATCAACCTATGATGCTAAGTTATTACAAATTTTTAATACTAAAATATAATTTTCAATTCTAACCTCACTTTTTGTAACATGTATTTTCTACTAATTCTCTCTAGCATTAAATAAACTAGTTAACCATTATTAATCTTGGTATTTGTGACTAAATTAGTATTTATAATAATAAAGTTTTAATTTCTTTTAAGAAGTTCCACCAAATATTATACACCTATATTTTTCATGGAAATTATATTATTAGTATTATAATTTTGGATTCCGTTGCAAAAATTGTTTGTATTTGAAGTATGATGTACATTTAGGCTCTATCTACAGCTCGGCCGTTAGTTTCTGTATACAATGAGAAAAATGAGGAAACTGGAGAAACTGTTGCTCTCTCTTCAGTGTTTAGGGCACCAATCCGCCCAGACGTTGTCACTTTCGTTCACAACGAAGTTTCGAAAAACAGCAGACAACCTTATGCTGTGAGCAAATTAGCTGGTAAAAAAAATGTTTTTAATATTAATTTTTAAGGCTATTTTTGTATAATATATTATATTAAATAAGGTCATCAAACCAGTGCTGAATCATGGGGTACTGGACGTGCTGTTGCTCGTATACCTCGTGTCCGAGGTGGTGGTACCCATCGCAGTGGTCAAGGTGCGTTCGGTAACATGTGTCGAGGTGGACGTATGTTTGCACCAACTCGTGTATGGCGTCGTTGGCACAGGAAAGTTAATGTTACACAGAAACGGTATGCAACAGTATCGGCTATTGCTGCTTCAGGTGTGCCTGCCCTCGTGATGTCTAAAGGTAATTGAGTATTTTTAAAAAAAGGGAATTTCAATTTTTTATTATAATTCTATACTATTAAGTTACAATTTTATTGTATCAATTACGATTGAAGTATAACAGAATAATAGCTTTGCACCAAAAATGTCCACATATGAAATTAGAATAATGAGTTATGTATGTTTTGTTAATGTGTGCTAGATTAATTAATTTTTTAGCGTACTCTAGAAATAATGAAATATTTCTGGTGGTTCCAATTAAATTAGACAATTTGAAAAAAGATTTGTCAACAATACTTCAAATATTAAAAACTTAGCAAATTTTAAAGACCTGTAAACATTATGTACTTGTTGGAAATGATGATAAATGTTACCTTGAAAATGATGAGTAACTTAAAAAATATGCTTTGTTTTAATTTCTGATCCCACTAATAGAAGTTTTGAAAAAAAAAAAAAAATTGAGCAGTTTATTGCAAGTGCAAATTTTAGATAACGGTCATTTTGAGACATCTGATTGTATTGGGAAAGTGTCACAAATTTTAGTTGTATATCCTGCCCAAGCAGGGTTGCCAACTATCAAATTAAAAATAACCGGCTTTAAATTAATTTTATATATTAAATATAAAATATTTTTAACTTACATTGGTTATAACATTTAGAAATAACAAAATTATTATCATACAAATAAAATGTATACCTAATCATTATTATTTTGTCATTATCAAATATTATTTATGAATAATGGACATGTACGTCTGGAATCAGCTGCTGTCAGTCGGCAGCTCGGCACTGGGCAGTCGTGCAGTGCTACCCTATGACAACCATATGACAACAAAAAAGGTTATTGCATTAACAACTTGGTAGTAAAGTATAATGATAAATCATTGACAACATACATTTATTTATGAAAAATAAAATAACTGGCCTTTTTATATGGCCGGTTTGATGCAAAACTGGCAGCCGACCTAGGTATTAAAAAACCGGTTAGGCTGGCCAAAAACCGGTCGGTTGGCAACCCTGTGCCCAAGGCATGTAGACTTTAACTTAACATTCATTTTTGAAGTTCAGCCAGTTCAGTTTATTTTATTGCATTTTGTACAAAACGTTTCCTCAATAAAATATACTGCAAATTTGGTTTGACATATTTTACTTAGCTAATTTAAATAGATTTATGACGAAAATCTAACCTGGTAGTTTGAAAGAAAAATAAAAATTATATTATGTTGTAAAATGATGATTATGTATAGAGCATTGGGTTATGACACCTGTGATTACTTTTAACGTTGACAAAATCTGAGTGCACACCAAATATAGAAAAGCTTTTTAACAGAGATCAAAATGCTGATCTTAATTTTGTACTAATGTTTAAGAAATTGAGAAATGCTTTTAGCTTGACATTCATATCTACAATTTAAAAGGGACTGGTTATAGAGGTGTAACTGTATTTGAAAATGATGACATTAATGCAGAGCATTGGGTTATGATTTCTGTGATTACTTTTCACGTTGACACTGTCTGATTGAAATAACTAACTAAAAAAAAAATCCTATGCACATTAGTTAACTCGTCTGCATTAAATGCATTTGAGGAAACTATTTGATCGTTTAGTGCAAATATTATATCAGTACTTTCAGGCGTTGCCTCACTGAACTTCTATTTCAGCGGTGGCGGCAAAAGTGACTAACAGTTATTTTAAATTTACCCGTGTTTGGTCCTTGTATGTAGGTGAATTAATGAAAATGACCTAATTTTACACAATACAAAGATACATGTATATGTAGATTACAATGCAGGGATTAAAAATGTTTGCGGAAATATACAAGAATAAAACAAAAACTATTTTCCCTTTGAAAATTCTATAACTTTTTCAATATTTGTTGTATTGTCATATACTTGAGTAATGCAAATTACTATTTTATACAATTTTGTACTTTTCATTAATAGGCCATTTGGTTCAGGAGGTCCCTGAATTCCCCTTGGTTGTATCTGACAAAATTCAAGAATACACCAAGACGAAGCAAGCTACAATTTTTTTGCACCGTATCAAGGCTTGGAAAGATATTCAAAAGGTTTTATAACATATAATAAGTTAAATAATTATTATATGTTAAATTTTAGCAATTTATTTTCATTAGGTAATCAAATCTCGTCGTTTACGTGCCGGCAAAGGCAAGATGCGTAATCGCCGTCATGTTCAACGTAAAGGCCCATTAATAGTCTACAGTAAAGATCAAGTAAGTCACTTGGGAAGCTAAAATTTTATCTATTGAAAATTAAGTTAGTACTCATTACTATTGGCATAGATCAAACATAATAAAATAAATTTGAGCTTTGTAAGAACAAATTGTAAATTAAATATGTAAAATGATGTGCATTTTATTGTTATACGTATTTTTGGATTTTGTAGGATTCCTACATTTCTGAAGCTTTTTCAAAAATTTCTATAACTTTTATAAGAGATGTTGATTGTCCTCGTATGATCTTTGAAACTCATGTAAAATCCTGATTTAAGAACATATTTATGTTATCGATTGTTGCTTAATTATTGTATGATTTGATCTATGCTTTTGGTAATTATTTTTGATAATATGACACAAAGATCAACTTTGTTATAAAATAGATTTTACTTTTATAACAAAATTTTTGTGCCACATTGATGTGGTTTGATCTTTCCTAATCGGCTTGTGCTCGTATTGGGGACAAACTTTCCATACAAATGTGAACTAAGTATTAATTCAGCACATATTAATGTCCAACAATTGCCTTGTATTATTGTCAAAATGTTACCGTACGTGTGCAAAATAAAAAAAACTTCAAGGCGTACTCTTGGAATAGCTACTACTTCACTTGGGTTCCATTGAAGTCTAACATTTATTTATTTTATGCAAATATCTCATTGCTTCAAATATGTTGTTATTCATTAGTGGTCTTCTGTGAAATAATTTCTTACTTCAGTCGTTGCTTGAATTTTGTACTATTATTATCAACAGCGTTCTACAAAATAATAACATAATATAAAGAATTTTATATTGATCAACTTTTTTTTTATCTTTATTTTTAATAGTTTCAATATTTTATAAAAGATCCATATAATTAATTTAGGCACAATTTCACACTTTAAATATTTCATTATGAAATTTACGAGTGGTCTTTTTGTGCAAAATAAAATAGTATTTCACAGTCGCTGCTATAGTCATTATACATAGACAGCATCCTCCAAAATAATGACAATATAAAATTTTTAATATCATAAAATTTATCCATCTTTAATTCAATGACTTTGCATTGCATTACAAAGCTTGATTAAGATGGTTATAATTAAGCACAATTTCACACTAAAAATGTTTTATTGTAATGTTTACGAGTGGTCTTATTGTGCAAAATAAAATAGTATTTCACAGTCGCTGCTATAGTCATTATACATTGACAGCATCCTCCAAAATAATGACAATATAAAATTTTTAATATCATAAAATTTGTCCATCTTTAATTTAATGATTTTGCATTGCATTACAAAGCTTGATTAAGATGGTTATAATTAAGCACAATTTCACACTAAAAATGTTTTATTGTAATGTTTACGAGTGGTCTTATTGTGCAAAATAAAATAGTATTTCACAGTCGCTGCTATAGTCATTATACATTGACAGCATCCTCCAAAATAATGACAACTATATCTTCTAGCCCCATTTATTTGCTATAATTTCAGCTATGATATAAATTATAATCTATGTTTCAATATGCACATAATAATGTCCAACTTATTCCTACACGATTGGTTCTAATGTTACCTTACGTGTGCTAAATTAAGTTTAATCTCAAGGCGTACTCAAAAAAACTAACATTGTTTTATTTGGGTTCCATTGAGGTCGTCCATTTATTATTAAGCCCCATTTATTTGCTATAACTTCAGCCACAATATAAATTATGATTTATGTTTCAATATGCACATAATAATGTCCAACATATACCTACACAATTGGTTCTAATGTTACCTTACGTGTGCTACATTAAGTTTAATCTCAAGGCGTACTCATAAAACTAACATTGTTTTATTTGGGTTCCATTGAGGTCGACCATTTATTAACCCATTTGAGACGAGACTTTAACATAAAGGAAAAATCTTTCGTTACATATTCTTGTTAAAATTGTGATATCTATAATCGGTAGTCATAGCACAATTACAGGTCACGCTAAATCAGTTTTTTTGATTTTGAACGTTAAATATTGTGCTTAAATTATAGGAATCTCCCCGTATGCATATGGTAAATACTTAGCCATTGTTGCTTCCCTTAAGAATCCAATATTGTTTTAATAATAACATAGTTTAAAATAGTTTTTATTTTTGCTTCACGTTTAATAAATTCTCAACTAACATTTTTTTTTTTTTTGCTAGGGACTTAGGAAAGCTTTCCGGAACATTCCTGGTGTAGATTTGATCAACATCAGGAAATTAAATTTGTTACAATTGGCTCCTGGTGGTCATGTTGGACGTTTCATCATCTGGACTCAATCTGCTTTCCAAAAGTTGGATGATTTGTACGGAACATGGGATAAAAAAGCAACTTTGAAAAGCGGTTACAATCTTCCATTCCCCAAAATGTCGAACACAGATTTAACTAGGATTTTCAAATCTGATGAACTCAAGAAATACTTACCACCGAAGAGGTAAGAAAATGTTCTTTGTACTAATTTAGGAAATTTTGAGGTTAAATAAATTTGTGTTCCTTATTGGGAGATAGTATTAGTATGGTCACTTGAAAATTAAGACAAAGAAATATTTTTAGATTTTTTTTTTTTTTTAGAACTGATTTGTAATTTCGTATAAGGTATAATCAGTCAACTGACTTGCACTAACAACTAGACTCAACTATATATATTTTTTTTTATTCTGTAACATCACGTAATTCCCTGAGTAGCTCTTTTGTCATGTAATGACCTACATAAGTACTCTTCTAAAATTTTGCCAAATCATTCTTTTATTCACCAACTAGGCTTTTTTTTTTTATAAAATATGAAAAAAATTATTGCATAACTGAAAATTGGATGTGATGAGAAAATTCTTGGTCCGTGTTACTGATGTCGAATGATCGTACTTAACTATATTTTCTGATCCAAATTAGAGTTACTTTGAAAGGTTTTTTAAATTCATTAGATGTGATGATTAAGTTTGGTCCGTGTTGTTGATATGATATGATAATAAAAATGCTATTTACACACAACTGATCTAATGAATAATATATTCCTTATATGTTTTATAAAAAAAACTATTTAGTTTTATTGCACATAAATATTTTCAAGTTATATATAAGTTGTTGTATATTATGTGTGCATTGATTTGATTTTTTATAGCAATTGCAAAAACATGATGAGATAAATACTTGGTCCGTGTTATTGATGTTGAATGATAACAATTTTTAAACTTAGTTTAACTCTGATGAAATATTATTTTTTTTACTCTAAATTCATTGTTAAAAATATTTTCAATTTTAAGTATACATAAGTGTTCTATTTTTAAGTAGTTGAAAGTTGATTGTTGTTAAAGAATCTCGATGTACATATCAAAACATTATTTAAATGGGAAAAGTTTTTACACTATTTATAGTGGTTGAGTAGTTTGGTAGACATAATACTACTCAAGTGGGAGTAACCGCAAGTTGTGTGACAAATGTGTATAATAATATTGATAAATTTAAAATGTTTCTTACAGTCTTAAACAAGTGATTACAAATATATTTTCTTAGACTAATGGTCAATAATTAAAAATGGAATTGTTGTTTTGTGTGAAAACTTAGGAAAGCTACAATATCTGATAAACTTAAACCCAATTTCAGTTCTAGAGTTGTTTTTATCTTTTAGTGTATTCAACACAATTTTAATTTGTGTTTCTTGTTTATGATAATGCAGTTTTACTATTATTAAAATGGAGATGATGAAAATATATTTTTGTTGAAGTTCTTTGATTTTAAAAAATATGCTTTGTTTTAATTTCTGATCCATTTTGATTATAACCAATTATTATTATTTTTTTTTTTCATTTAATGTTTTAAGTTAGTCATACTTTGTTTTATACTGCTATAATCATTAATATTTGACTGAATGATTATTGGTTTTATAAAATTTAACGCATTATTTAATACATTTTTTTTTTAGAACTGGTTCTCTACGTCGTACACGCAAGTTGAATCCGTTGAAACATGTGCGAACTATGTTGAGATTGAATCCTTACATTTGCGTCCAGAAACGTGTGGCTAGTAAGGAAAACAAACTGAGGCAATTAGCTCGTGAAACTTACTTGGCAAAGAAAGAAGGCGTAAGTAAATATAATAATCATAAATTTGAAAGCAACCGTTATTTAATAGTAGTTTGGTTTATGATTTTAGAAACCAACAACTGAAAAGGGTGAAAAAGTATTAAAACGTTTCATCAATGAAAAGAAATTGTTGAAGGCAGCCAAGATCAAGGCAAAGAAGGTGATTGCTGTCAAAGGCTTGCGAGACATTCATGAAAAGAAACTAGAAGCATACAGGAAGCGACTTGCTGCACGTGGAGGTGCTCCACCGACGAAGAGGTCAAAGAAAAATTTGCCCAAACCAAAACCTAAGACAAAAGATGCATCTAAGCAAAAACCCAAGGCAGGAAAGGCAAAGGCTGCAACAGAAAAGCCAAAGGCTGCTGCTAAAGCTAAACCTTCAGCGCCTAAAACGAGTACTAAATGAAAGGACTAATAAAACAATATTATATACTTGATTTGTTTTTATTCCTCCTTTGTTGTCATAATTTATCTTCACTTTAGTGGTGAATTCAATCATCGTAATTAAATGAAAAACTTGTTACAAATCAGAAATTTGGATAAAGTTTTGTCTACATCATCAAAGACTAGATCTCACGAGGGTAGAAATTAACATTGATATTCTTTTGGCAGGCTGCGTAAAAGGGCTCGCATTGATATTTGTATATATATTAAACATTATAATAAAGGTCAATGAAAATCTTGACAACGAACTGATGTTAATTAATAAGGATCGTCATATTCCAAAAATAATTTTTCGTTGTGACAATGTATCTTTTGTGGTCACTTGTATAAAACCATTATATAACCTGGTGTTACTTGAACAGCGAGGCTCAACATCGTTAAAACAATCAACTCTTATTCAAAATAAGTTCGATCTGTTTTAAAGAAAATATACATCTTTTAATTTTTGTAAACATGGGTACCAAAATACCATATTCAACATTAAAAAAAAAAGTTTCACGTTAGTAAAAGTTAAAGATGGACTATTAAATACTTAAATGAAAAAAAAATAGATAAATATATGTACTATTCTGGTCTCATCCATTACCTAATACTTTTTTATGTGCAATTTTAATACTACTGTTCATTTCGATAGTAAAATATTAAGGTTCGGTGGTGTTAACCATTATTGACGCTCTAGGAAAATAATGTTTGGCACTTTAATTTAACATTGATTTGAAATTTTATATATAACAGTGACGTTGTATCCAAGGTGATTTTAAGGTACCTATACCTAATTTTTTTGTGTTAAAAAAACGGTACGTTGACTGCCAACGTACAACATTTCGGCTCGGATAAACAAAGACATGAAGTTAGAGTGGGAGTTCTCATTAAAGTTGGTAGTTTGCATAAGGAGCGTCGCTTCAAAGGCGTATTGTATAGGCAATTTTTTTAACTAAACAGTAGGCTAAAATTTGTAATAACACAACAAAGGCTTTTATTTAGATTTAATTTAACTTTTACCATTTTTGAAAGAAATGTTTTACTTTCAACAGGAATCAGTAGTATGTATATATATATTTATATTTTAAACCATCCATTAATACTATTAATAGTGTTTTTAATGAAAAATAATTTCTTTATTAAAAGTAAGCACGAAAGAAAAATTATTCTAGTATTATCATACATTATGTATGATACAAAATACAGTATATATATTATGTAGAACAAAATACATACAGTGCGTTGCCAAGGTAACAAAATCATATACAAATCTACAGGAATGAAGATAATATTATGTAAGTTGTAAACAATTAGATGCCGTTCATCTATATGTTGATTTGTAATAATGGAAGACTATAAAATTTTAGATAGGATAGGAGAAGGAACTCACGGACAAGTTGTTCAAGCTCTACAGCGATCTTCTGGTAAAATGGTAGCGTTGAAATGCGTTCGTTCGGTAGAAAGAACGCCAAAACATGTACTGCGTGAAATCGAATCGTTAAAAGCGTTGCACTCTGATTATGTCTGTAATTTTAGGAGTATAATTCGTACACAGGCAACTTGACTATAATATAATAAAACTTCCCATTTTAGATTATCAAAATATTGGAACATTTTTGTCATAGCTTCAGTTTCTACTTGGTCTTGGAGTATATGGTGTCGGGATTGTCGGAAATGTTGCACGACGAAACCATCAATTTGAACGATTCTCATCTGAAATCGTATGCTCGTATGCTCATTCGTGGCATACAGCATATACATTCATTGAACATTATGCATAGGGTATGTATCTAGTCGAGTCTGAATTCCTACACCTAATAGTAGTATTAAAAAAAAAAATTGTATGCAATATTGTGAGAAAAAAAAAATGTTAAACCGTTATTTCTAGGATCTTAAACCGGCTAATTTGCTAATAAGCTCTAAAGGTGTACTGAAAATAGCGGATTTTAGTTTAAGCCGTTTACTATGGACCGATGTCGACAATGATTCAGTAGATTGTTGTTATACAAGGCAAGTGGCAACAAGGCGGTATCGTGCTCCAGAACTTCTGTTTGGATCCATTTATTACAACCGGTCTATTGACATGTGGTCCGTTGGTTGCATATTAGCTGAAATGTATACAAGAACTTCGTTATTTCTAGTCGGTTTGGTTTTCTCTCTTGGGTTCAATAACACGTATTAACAAGGAAAAAAACATTTTAGGGCGACTCCGATATGGAGCAAATTGCTATTGTAGTACATTACTTGGGTACACCTACAGACAAGAATTGGCCAAAAAGAAAAGAAATGCCAGATTATAACAAACTTCAATTTATCGATTGCAATTCAATTCCAATGGACAGTCTATTGCCCGATGTCGATAAACAATTGGTTGATTTGGTAGCAAAATTAATTTTGTACGATGCAGATAAAAGACTAAACGCAGAAGAGGTAATCAGTTCACATGTTGCGTTATGATATCGAGTAATTGGAGTATCTAAAATGTATACAAATTAAAAATATGTATTTATTTTATAGGCATTGTTGCATTCTTACTTTTTCAATGAACCGTTACCTTGTCTTGAACATAGAATGCCTATACCACCTCAAAATCATAGACAAAAGATAATACCCAAACAAACACGAGTGATCGACAATATAGAACAAAACTTCAGTGACTTGTATAAAATAATTCAAGAGTCATTTTAACATCTTATATAACATAAAATGTATATTAAATTGAATTAACTTATAAATTGTAAAGGGAAGTATTTTGTTTGATTTTAGAAAGAATATAACTTATAATAGACAATAGTTATAATTTGTATTTATGAACACTTTACTTTCACACATTTAGTTTTATTATAAAATGTTTGTATATAATACGATTTGATAAGTTTATACTAGAATAACACTGTTCGCATAAAATTAGCATTATAAATATATTAGAAAAATAAATGTAGATTTGTTTTTTTAAATAAAAAATGTCTACTGATTATTTAAAAGAAATTAATCACAGATAAAAACAAAAAATTATAATAATAAAGAAAGATACTTCACTCTTAAAAGACATGCTTTGTATTATTATTGTATAGTTAATTCAAACCGTTAACCAAAAAGTGTTAATTATAATAAGATTTTCCATTTTAGTTTTTTTTATGAAAGTGCTTAAAATAAGACATAAGTTTTGGTTAATAAACTATAATATAAATAAATAAAAAAATAAATAAATTAGAATATGTAAAATGCAGCCTTTTCACTTAGATTGGAGTAACATTCCAGATTTTTGTATTGCAATCTTGTCCAACGGACACAATAGTTTCTTCATCCAACCACAACACACGTGTGATTTGACTTTGCGGGTGAGCATCTGAATAATAATAATAAAAAATAGAATTTATACATATTTTTTTTTTTTTAGGAATAGCCTCATTAAATTGTCCATTAAATTGGGTTTTGTCGAATAACTTTACTCCAGGAGATAAAATGTTAGTAATTGACAGAAAAAAAAACCACAACATTTTTTTGTCATACCACAATCCCATTCTGTACCATTGACCTGGCCCAATTTAACAGACAGTCTGTCTTGTAAGTAACATTTGAACAAACTTTTAATTATTGTATGCTTGTTTGGCGAAGTGACACTCCAAACAATAATAGTAGTGTCCAAACTGCCACTGGCCACCTGTTTAGAATTTGGAGACCAAGCGACACAATTTACACGTGCGTTGTGAAAACCCCAATCTTGCTTATGAGCCATCTAAAACAGAACATTCGAGATTATAAACAAATAAGTCATTTTAAATACTTACAAGTTAAAATGTTCTTACCGACTATCCATACAATAAAGTAAGCATTTTAAATAAAATAAATATTAATTATTAATGTGTGATTTGATTTTGTCAGCAAACGATTAATAAAATACGATAATTATTAATTAAGACATATATTTGTGACATTTAAAAAAAAACGAACAACCAAATATTTAATAAATATATTTCATAATTAACACAGAAGTAATATTGTAAGGGGAAGATAAAGACAAACTATGTTAATAAACGAGTTACTTACAGTGAATTCTGGCACTTTGTATAGTATAACTTTACGATTTGAATCGCTTGCTGCTAAGTACTCTCCATTGGGAGAGAATGCACAATCAGTAATCGCACCTAAATGGTCACATTCACTTGCATGTTCCAACAAACTTCCGTTAAATTTGTACACATGTACCTATGAGGTATCGCAACATTATAATATATATATATGTATGTTATTCTGAATACTAATTAATTTTTAAACACTTACTTTGTTGTCCAAAGCACCTCCAACCGCAACATAAGAGGCATCGGAGTTAATAGCTACGGCTGACGGTTCATAATCCACCGGCAGAGTAAATATTTTTTTTTCATTCTTTAAAACAATTATCTAAAAAAAACAAATAATAATTAAACAATTTAAAACAATGTGATAGGTAAATAACTGTTAACATACATCTTTTACTGTTACTGTAACAAGAACACTATTGTTGAAGTCCATTGCTTTGGGTTGGGAATTCAATTTAACTTGAAGATCAGTGTACGTATTAGTTTTGGTATCCACTTGTCTAAGGCTGTCGTCGATGCCACAAGTATATAAGTAATCACTATCCAATTTCATGCCATTGATTTGATTCCCATGACCCGAACCTTGTATTCTATCATTTTCGCCTAGTTTTAAATTTTTCTTTGAATAAAAAATTGTTGTTTACAATCAAAATATTTTTAAATATCCTATCTACCTGTTTTTGCGTTCCAATTAGTAATGTTACCATCGTGCGAACCAGTGTAAATTGTGCTATGATCGGGACTTAAAGCCAATACTGTAATAGGCTTGTTGTGCCCCTGTTAAATATGATTATCTTTTTAATATAACATTTTTCTAAACAATATTTTTAAATCTTCAACTACTAACGTCCTACTGTGAAATGTTCACTTTGATTATACTATTAAGCGTTCAGATAATTACTTCTGGTCATAACTCAAATTTCACACTTAAATTGATATAAAAAACTAATATAATATATGATTTGTTCCGGTGAGAATAACTCGGGTTAAAAATATTTTTTTGTAAACTCTTTTTTTTTTTTTTTTTTTTAATGAGTAAATGATAGTACAGCTTGGAAAAGCGTACATTATTTTAAACTTTTACTTTGTATTATTTATTTTATCCGATTGCCAAATTAATAAAATTGTATTAAATCATGAATATAGTTTTTATTATAAAATATTATTATTTACCTTTATAACTCTGATTGGTTTATCTGGGTTGTTGATATCGAGATATGTAATAAAACCACTTAAAGAAACAGTTAGTAAATAGTTTCCTTGCCACAAACAAGACACCTATATAATAGTTTTAATTTAGTAAATATATATATATATATATACATACATATATATAAACAATGCAAAACGTCAACCTGTTGATCTTCCACTTGATTTCCTATTACAAATTCGCTAACAACAGATTTGGTTTCGACGTCCCACAATTTACAAGTTTTATCGCCAGATGAAGTTAACAATCTAGTACTATCTGCATTCCAGGCAACCTATAAACAAAGTATCAAATTAGTAAAACATTTAGAAAAACCTCCTCAAAGGAGGAGGAAAGATAGCTCTCGATTGAGCTATTAAACTAAAAATAAATAATTACTTACTCCATATACACCTCCTTTATGTGCTGGGCTACCCAACTCCGATACTAAATCTGCACTTGCACCATCATATAAAAATACCTTTCCATCAAATCCTCCGGAAGCAAATAAATTACCATTGGGTGAAAAACGGACAGCTTGAACAAATCTTGAATGTTCCTAGATAATTAAGTATACATAAGTTTTATATAATTTAGTATTATTAAGGGGAAGCCTGGTTAACAAAGCTTATAAACAGGTATACTTTATGCATTTTTTCCATACTAAAATGTAATCTGTATTTTTTGAAATTTTAACACAAGTTTTAAGTCTACACTAAGAATATTGACAAAAAACGTTTTTTATAAATAATTATTTTTGTCAATGTTGTAGGTATATTAGATATGTATTGTAGGTATATTATTTGTCAACAATTTTTAGTACTGTGATTAATTGATGAACAAAAATTGTTTCCAACATTTTTAAAAAATTTGACATAGTATATAAGACATTGACAAGGAAAAATTTTTTTTTTAATTTATTAACTAATTGGAGTCTACATTTTCTTTCATGTGAATAAAAGTTCTTGAAATTTAATATATTTAGTTTTTTTAAAAGTTCTATCCAATTGACTATTTTTTTTATAGATGCACAATATCACATTTTATACATTTAAAATATGAACTTACTTAAAACATTTTTAAATCTACTTTATTCTAATTAAAATATACAATATTTGTAGTAAAAAAAAAAAATTTACTTGTTTAGTCATTTTGAACTTGAAGGGTGGTCCTTCAAACACGCCAACCGTGTTATCCTCGCTACCTGTTACAATTCTAAACGGACGAGTAGGCCGGAAATCACACGAGTTTATCGGTTTTGACTGGCCTGATATTTCTCCTACAGATGTACCGGTCTCCGACATAAAGACGTGTCCAAATCTAAACACATAATAATGATGAATAATTAATAAATGGAAGAATTTAACTTAGTTTACCTTTCACGGCCTTCACCAACTGCTACCATCCTTTGATTGTCTGGTGACCAAGAAATATCTTTAATCGGTCCGCCGAATGGATGGAACTCATTTTTTAAAATGTGTTCCTTGTTCACGGTATCCCAAATCCTAATTTTCCCTGACTGATCTAATAATAATTAGTATATTTTTAGGTTTTATTTAAAACAATAATAATAATAAAATTAAAATATTTCGTAAATATTATTTAATATTTTTCATACCACCAGATGCAATATAGAAACCACTTGGAGAATATTTGGCAACATTCACAACACAAGAATGTTCAGTGTAAATATCAGATATAGCAGGATTCTGCAAGTCAAATAAACAAACAATTGTTTGATTTTTTTAATCAAAGAAAACTATAATATTACACAATATACTTTACCTCAATATCACGTATGATGACACTATTACCATTAGTGTACAAAAAGTTTTTTCCTTTGGGGTCACCGCCGAGTACAATGGGTTGACCTCGTGCCGTTCTCGGTAAGGTGGCATAAATATATTCTGAAATTAGAAAAAAAATTATTAACATTAATTTTATTGATTCCGCGTCGTAAAAAAGCTCTACGAAGGAAAATAATCCAATATTTACTATTAGAGTAAGCAGACATGGTTTTTGATTCAATAGTTAGCCTAAAGTAAATAAGAAAGTATAATATTTTTAATTAAAATATATTTATATGTAAAAATATATTATAACAAGAATACTATTTTGGTATTTTAACTATATAAAGAACGCGTAAAAAGTAGAAACTCAGGATTTTTTTTTATAAAAAACAAACGAGAAACTTGATACGTGCACGGTGCAACATCTAAATGCTGATAAGCACAATGTGATAACTACAACTCAGGATTGCCATATATGGACGATCAAACCCAAGATTTATTGTTGATATGCATATTTTTAATAACATTTCAAAAATGTATTATACCTAACCATTCGTCGGTAAGGCGTAATAATTATTACTACATAGTGGTAATTTTCCATGCGATTAAAAAAAAAACCCGATAAAAGGAAGTAAAATGTGTATAGTTTTATTATCCTATTTTATATTATCCTTTTAAATGTTCGTTTTATTGGATTAAATTATCCACAACATTACTTTTTTTTAAATCATTACTACCGATATGTTTATACTTCAAATTCCACGTCATCTTTTAAACTTTATCACCGAGGAATACTTCATTAAATTTACTCAAATCACTTATATTTCCACATTAATTTTTATCTTTTCATTCCAAAATCTACTAGGTATACCTAGGCTCTTTTATTCAAGTCAATAAAACACATTTCAATAACACACAATTGATTTTATTACATTTATTAAATACGTCAAAACTAACAAATAAAAAAAAAAATACAATAATTACTATTAACATTTTTTTAACACTTATGTTTTAAACGTTTAACATAATTATTAAAACGAAAATTGAATTACTTACTTACTTTTGAAGTTATAAGTAAAAATTATTTTTTTTTTTTAAACTGTTATTATGACAAAAATTAAATTAGGTATTCTGTACAATTACAAAAGATAGTTCGAACATTTGAGAAAACTAAGAATCGCTAACAGAGCACTGTGGAATGGAATTCTGTCTAGAACAAGTTTGTCGTGTAAATTATAAATCTGCTCAAATGAACACAACAATTTAAGTATAGCATGCGCATCGGAATTAATGATATTTTTTGACAATCTTCTGATAAATATATTCTTTCTGCATTCCGTTACTGTATACGTCGTTAACCAGAGGAAGTCAATAATTTTCTGTCGTAACCACATGATCACATCCCAATCAATATAGGAATTATTTAAAATTTTACGACTGTCGATTGTCCAACTTTTTAAAATAAATTCCTTTTATCCACCATACCCACGTGGGTGTTCATCGTATTGAACCACGTCATCCCTTGCCAATTCTGTTCTTTCCATAGAAAGTTTACCTGAGCAAGCTCGGCTTCGCTTAAATTGTTTCTTATGAGTGTTACGACTAACGCAATTAAAATATTAACCATGAAGTGATAATCCATGATAAATCGTTTGTAACTTTACCTACACTTAAAAATGTTTATGAGTAAACGTCTTGTTAAATATGTAGGTGTAAGCTAAATATTAGTAAAAAAACCTCTGTGGTTTATGTCTATAAGAATTATTATAACTATTGTAATTATAATTAAAATATATATATGCTTAAAACTGATTTTTTACTATTTAAGTGGATACTACTAGAATTGATTGTCGGTCTATACTCTATATTAATAACTGTTGTTACTTAGTAGTGTATAGTGATTAATAATACTACTTATTTCTTACTTGTTTTTACGTTTGAAAGCAGTCTTCGGTTTTGCTCGGATCTGGATAATGACCATATTATACTATAGATTTGTTTAAAACATTTTGGCCGAGGGTTCGATAAAAAAATAGCTAATAATTACAGCAGCAGCATAAGACGTGTCGACCGACTACTCTTAGCCGCCGGCCGATTGTGCTTTTTTGGAACGTTGCCAGAAGCTTAACTGATCGACTTGATTTTCAATGATTTGCATTATTGACACTATTGATTATTAGCTGTTGCTGCCATTGGGACTTGGTAAACAAAAAGACTCGAGTCTTGCCAGAAAGAGGATTCGATACCGACCGTGTTTAAGGAGTTTCGTATAGGCAATAATTTTTTTTTCGTACGAAAGTGTAGATTGTTGTGTTAGCAGTAGGGTCTCCAGGAGCTATGCAATTATTGACCACTAACTGAATGCCATTTTTTAGTCAAATTCTTTGTTAAACCGCTTAGTGTAAACTCAAGAATAATTAAAATATAATTTTTAACAAAAACATACCATATAGTTGTTATGTAATATTAAAAAAATATCGTATCGTACTTTATCGTTAGATAATGATTAATAAATAAATTCTGTGGTGTTCGGGCAAAAGGGGATAAGTGTAAAATCGCAACTTTTGGAATCACTGAAACTAAATCACTTCAGTTACATTTAATCCCATTTTTCACGTGTGAATACTAATATAAAAATATCATCCTATGACTTATCCCGTTATGCCCAAACGTAATGAATATTTTAATGGGATTAAATGTAACTGAAGTGATTTAGTTTCAGTGATTCCAAAAGTTGCGATTTTACACTTATCCCCCTTTGCCCGAACACCACAGAATTGTAATAGACTATACTTAAAAAAACTGTTTAATTAAAAATAAATATTTAGAAACTCATCCATATTTTTCTATATTCTATTTTGGTAACGTGGTAATGTTATAAAACATTGCCCGATTTAACTTCATTCCGTTCAAAATTACTACTCGAATATACAAAAACTGGGCCATTCAAGCATATTGGTATTGACAATGCCCTTATTAAGTGAAGGGGGAGGGAGTATCCTAGGTTTGATCACAAGGCACTCGACACAATAATAACTATTTTTATTATTTTCAAAAAGTATAAAAATGATTTCTATTAAAGTCAATAGCCGCCATTCTTTGGGATTTACTCAACATAAAAAAATTGTGACCACAGATTTTATTGGAGTAGCTGTTCCTTTCCATAGTCAAATTAATGTTGGCCATAACCTTATACAGATTATAGGCATTTCAGTTAATCGACGTCTACTGAATTGTTATAAGCAATAGTAACCGCCAAGTGGACTTCCACGTCTAGCAATTTTTCATGTTAAATGACAAATTTCTACCAATCTAAGCAATATTATGTCACACCGAATTTTGAAATCATTTTTTTCAAATTATATTATTATTATTATAACAATATTATTGAATCAAATTATACATCCAGATTATTGTTTTTTTTTATACTGACACCACTTAGTAAGGTGACAGCAGAACAATTCATTCACACTATTTATAAATAACTATTAGGAGAAAAAAAAAACTTTAAACATCATTTTACATCCATTTATATTATATTACATATATATATATATATATATATAGGAATTCTTACAACTCGCTTAGCAGTAAATCTACACGATAATACAAAAATTATTATTATTATTATAAAACCTAATGGAAGCACTTGATAAGAATATAGTGTGCTAAAATTATAATTATAAGTACAATAAATATTGTGACCAGGTTAAATGTTAAAAAATGATTTAAATTGCGATCTCCTTAAAGCCTATTCAACATTTTGTAATGGAAAAAATATAAAATAAAAACAATACAATTAAGGATACAAAAATAAAATCAAGCCAGTAACCAAATACTTGTAAAACATAACTAGGTATTGAGATTTGAAATGAAACGTTTACACAGTAATTATTTCAGTTTTTCAGTGTTTAAACAAATTAATTGTTAGTGAAAATAGTAACTTTAAAAAAGACTAGCCATGATGCAATACTTATAGTCCTTTATTCGAATACACGACAGCCGGTGGGTTCTTGCAATTGTTTACTATGTCACAGTAAGCAGCATTTTCATACTTTTCCAATGTACTTAATTTTATGGGGCTAGAATAATTTTAAGAAAATATATACACACACACACGTATATTTAGTTAATAAGTTACTTTAAATCAGTGAAAAAACATACCAGAACTGAGGAAAAAGTGCACAGGCAGTAGGAACCATTCCAACGAGACTAAACGAATTCAAATACAAATTGATGTACCACATATTTTACATTAAATATTTGCTTGATCTAAGTAAAAATTATTATACTAACAAACATCCAACGGCGAGTGTCTGGAAAGGAGCGTGTATCCATGTACTCCGCTTAAACCATGCACTTTTGGATTCGAGTTTTTCCATGATTACAGGAAGCAACACTAAATAGTAAACAATAGTTTTCATTAAAAGGTGCGACTTTTTAACAATGCTAGTATTATCAATTTACCCATTCCTGGGGCACACATAACAATCCTAGATAAAATCACTTGCGAAATCCCTTTGGCGGCAGCCAACTAGAACGTTTTTAGGAATAATATTTATTCACGGTAAATGGACTCATACGTTTTGAAAAAAAAACTACATACTTTGGAACAACCGACTCTGTTTTTATCAGCATCGAAAACATCTACTCCTGTAAGCAACTCGTTTTGACGCATTAATGGTATGTTGACAAAATTTGCTGCTGCCACTGCGGCGAATGGAACGTATCTCTAAAGTAGTTACATACATTTTACAGTGTAATGTAACCTTCTTTAATTTTTAATATCTCTAAATAAATACTAGCCATTGAGCTACAAAATATATAAAAATTATATAAAAAAAAAAACTTCTCTATTAGTATATTGGTCACATATAAAATAAACTTTGCACCCAATATATGAAACTGGGTGAATTTTTCAATTGATTATTAAAATTATTTTATTGATTAAGATTTTAAGTGCCTACCTGAAAAAATGGTGTGGTATTTCGTGTTAAATATTGTTTGAATTGAATAGAAGTAATGCAAGCGGCTACTGTAGCCGAAACATAAGCTACTCCCATTTGATTTTGACTAAGAGGAGAGTTAGCGTTGCGATTAGTGTAATTTACCAACGCATTGAATGACTGATTAATCCATTGCCAAAAAACTATAGCCGGCACAGTTCTGAGAAAATATTTGAAGACAAATCACACTGATCATTGAGTAAAAATAGTGTATTTATCTTAAAAAGCATAAATAGGTAATAAAATCTTACTTGTAGAAAGACAACATTGCTCCGGTAATTGCCATTCCGCCAGGCACTTGAAAACCCATACGACCAAATACATTTTGTTTTTGGGCAGTATCTGGATGAAATGAACTCTCGTAAATACGTTTAGCTGCTAATAGTTGTTCATCAGTGGTACCGGTTGGAACAGTTCCACTTCTATTTAGATGTATTAACAAATTAAAGCATAAGTTACATATTCATTTAAAACAAGTGTATATTGTTGTTTACAAGTATGAGAAGCGCAAAGCTTTGGCTTCTTCTAGTTCTTTATCTGTTTTCAAGCATAACATAGGGTTAGTAATCCAAAAATAGTAATTCCATCGGCCAGAAAATGTGTTTTGGTCCCACGGACATTTTTCAAAGTCAAATTTGTTTAATTCCATAATTGTTCACTCCTTTATAACAGCTGAAAATAATCATCAAGTAAATAAATGCTACTTACGAACGGATAAAAAAAAATGCGTAACACTGACAATCTTTTCCTCTATACTCCGTTCACCGAGAGAATATGGTTGCACAGAAATTAAAATGCATTACTGTACTATGCGCCTATAAAGGCAAGAGTAATGCATTATTGTATCTGCGCAACCATATTCTCTTGGTGAACAGAGTATAAGAGAACCTATTTGATGGATGATAAAAGCTGATGATTGGCTATAATACTAAACTTCACAAAACCAAAAACACTATCTCAGCTTGTCCTGTGAGAAAATGTATTGAACAAAAAATAAAGATAAATTAACATACATGTATTAACCTTGTAATTATCTTGACAAAAATTATGTTTTACAAACTGAACATTTATTTTATTTATATAAAATTATTTTCAATTGAACTACAATTAAAGATTTAATTAGAAGACAAATAAATTATGTTAGCATAATAAATAAGAATTGAAATGTTACCTTATCACAATTATTATTAAATACAATTTCAGTAACAATATGTTATCAAAAAAAAATTACTTAGTAAATAATTTACAAGTTTAATTGTTTTAATTATTCTTTAAAATGTGTCTTTTGTAATAAGAAAAATTATTTAACTCAATACACTGATACTACATAAAATCTACAATAATGTAATTTGTATCATGTTTTATTTAATTTTAAAATTACATCACTTAACTAAATTTAAATCAAGTTATATTATATACTATCACTCAATGACTCAAAGTTAAACAAATTGTATTTTAATGAGAAAATTATTTTAACACATTTTCGAAAAACAATAAGAAATCAAAGGTTTGAACAGATTTTTTTTAAATTTATGAACAACTGTTTGTTCTTTTATCTATGATCATATATTTTTTTTAATTATTTTGAAAATTCCAAAAATCAAATAATTTTTTTATCTCTAAATAAAAATGTTTGTCTATTAAGTATTAATACTGGTTAAAATATGATTGACAGTGACCCCGTTGTCCTTTTCGTAAATATAAACCAATATGAAAACTGGCAATACATCAACACAAAGTATTGTAAGGATAACTATTTACCTGTCGGTTATAGCAACGAGTCAAAACAACAACAATTAATTTCAACGCTGGTTTTGATAATCAAGTAATATTGTACTGTAAACTTCAGAGTGTAGGCTATAATACTGTGTAGGCTATAATAATTTCTGATAACAATTTAAACGACTAGGTCAGAATGAAAACCGTGGTCTAGGATGAATGATCGAAAAAAATTATGATGGTACAGAAAAAATAATTTTATTGATATTACATTACGGTAGACAGAATATAATTTTGAAAAACAATAATAATTAATATTAGTCGTAAATACATAATATGCAGGCGGTTCACCGTAAGAAGCGTCTCTACGATAATATAAATTATATTTGATAATATTTTGTTTATCCAACAAAAATATGTTGAAGAAATTCATGGCATAAAATAATTAGCGGGATTGAATTATCGATCGACGACGTTTTCGTAATTATTATTTAACGGGGAGAAAATGGAAGAGTAAATGTCTTTAATTCTCATTATACATTAATTAGATTAAAAACAATTATAATTTATAATGTTGTATTTACTCTACCAGTATACGTTTTGAATTAATAAACCTAGATCATTGATTGATAACGTTGTACAGTGTTATTATAAGAAAAGATGCATTTTTGAGTTAAAATGCCGCTATAGAAATTATTCCGTTTCTTTTTAATGCTTACAAAGCACAGCTTAAACAATTGCTAGATAACCGATAACGGTCAATTTAAAATCATTTTAAATTTTAGAAAAATTAAAGTAATGATTTTTAGTGAATTACTTTTGAAAAAGATTATTAAAACAATATACTATAAAATACTAAATTTTTTAATTCAATTACGGATAATTAATAAAATAATGATTATTAAAGTCATCTGCGTGAATAAAAAATATTGTCTGTTGTCAATTTATTAAGCTGGCTACATTTTTTGTTTTATGATAAATTATTATGTTGTATAATGAACATTGTACCCAACAGTTCAGTGCTCAAAAATGTAATCCTCCCACAGTGAGTTCACGTAACGGTTATATGTTGAGTTTATTTATATAAATTTATGTATTTGTACTTTAAATATTAAATTATATATTTAGAATGTTTTAGTTAACAATTTCAAATTTTACGAGTGGCTTATAATTTTTTTTTGTTTAATGTTAAAAACTAGTGTTGGAACATTTATTTGTAATTTTTTAATATTTATCCAATACTTTAATTAACATTGATTAAATATAATGTTTTGAATGCATTTATGTAATCAATGATATTAACCATTTATAATATTCATTATTTATTAAGATTAATTTTATCATATCAATTAAAATTAAATTATTTTAACCGAGCAAATTTTACGAAAATTAAAAATTTTGAATTTAAACCGTTTTTATAGAACAAACAAATAAACTAATAGCCATGACTAAAATATACTTTTATTTAAATCATGCTAATAACTATTTAATTTTTACATGGGTTCTTAAGGTAAGAGATAAAATCATGCCCGGACTCTTGAAATTGATCGAGAAATGAATAGTGCTGGTAGGCGTAGGGAAGTTCTCATTTTTCGTTTATTTCGGCTTAACTGTTCACTCAACAAATGCGGAAATTGGAGACGACATTGTTGTCCGTAGTCCGTGTATGACATTTAATAAATGAATAGTGCTGTGGCGACGGACCATGTATGTTTAATAAAAATTAAAAAAAGGAAATATCAGCGTTCTGGCATAACTGCCTATTTCTCAATATGTCCACAATTATTATATATTATTTTTAATCGTGAACTGTATTTTGATATACTCTACGATTCCCTTCTGTTTATTCCGCCGCACAGATATATATAATAAACTAGATTGCTAACTGCCGATAAGAATTAAAGCCGACGGTCCGCCATTCTGGTGGGATTTATGTGTGTTATCAATGCATATAATATATATTATATCTGTATATATATTATTATATCAATATTATATATATATGTGATTGTTATAAGCATATATTATTCTCGCGTGTAAGGTTCTAATTCCCACCCAGATGGCGGAAAGTGGCTGCTACAATATTCTCTATTGGTGGCACGTACAGTTAGCAATCTAGTTTATTATATATCTATGTTCCGCCGTTACTGGAAGAATTTTGTGTTTCTTTTCCATGACAATTGTTATCAAAGTATAAAGTTATTCCCAAATCTATTCTGTGATGCGATCTTTGTTCTGATGACTATTTGAATATCAGTTTTAACCGAAAAACGGATTCAGCACAGAGTTTTGGAAAAAATCCATACATTAATTGTTTGAATCTAGGATCGTAACCCGTTTGTGAAAGTGACTTATTTGTCAACAACTGATCAGCGTTTAGGTATTTATTTAATTTTTGTTATCAACAATTACCTTATTTTTGTTATTATTTTGTATTGCTTTAGTTTAATAATTACGGTCGTTACTCGTTAGTCCAAATTACTATGCAAAAATAACAATAATAAAATTACATTTATAAAATAATTCAATTCAATAGTATGAAGTAATAACATAATCTTAGGAAACAAAAATATATTGACATACAAATAGTACATGATAGTTAATGGTCAAAGAAGACAAAACAGTTACATAAATAAATTTGCATTATAAGTAAGGTGACACTGGTTTTACTGGTCTATTGCATAGTATTTATAGAGAACATGCTAAATTACTTTTACTTTTAAGAAATAAAATAAAAGATCTTTGTTTTTCATATGTGATGATTTATTTTGGAACAAATCCACAATACCACCCCATGCACGAAGCTGTAACTTTAAAACTAGGCGCTTCTGCAAACATTTTTTTTGCACCATCGTTTCTTCTGCAATGAAAAAGAATTTGAAATTCGGGCTTAGGGTGGTAAAGTTGATTTAAGCCTTTATTTATAAGGAAATGAGGCTAAGTAGGAAGGATTATTAGAGATCTATTCTGGAATACATTTCAGATATGAAGTCTTCACGGTCAGCTTCATCACAAAATTCCAGAAGAAATGCAAGAAAAATAGTTTCTGATTCGTCAGAAACAGAAAACAGTGATAATGAAATTGAAAATAAATCATTTAACAATATGGATAGTGCTAAAGCAGAAAGATTATTCTCTCGCCGCAGACATATCAAGCCTTTGGAAAGAACTTTATTTAATGTGTCTGCTACATCTGGTACAGACACTTCACTACAAGGGTATGTTATGAATTTGTATTTCAACCAATAGTTAATATCATATGAAAATTACAATAACACCACAAATTAGATAAAACCTAGTTTTTAATTTTTAATTTTGTTTAATCTGAGATAACACCATGTTTATTTTGACAAACCATCGGAAAGGTTGTGCTCTCCACAGACAATGTGTGTATGCCTGGAATAATTTAATTTTATATTAAACGGTCTCTCATATTGATTTCCAATTCCCTCACAAAATAATAACTAATCTTCTAAAACGCTAGCCTGATTACTGATACTGCTTTTTAAGTGGTCACTGACTTAATGGAGATCAGAGGTGTAACTTTTGAAATGCATGTACACACACAGTGTCCAGGAAGCTTTAACTTTTGCGATGTCTGGAAAAAATGCCAATTTCTAAGAATTATTTATTACTGAATAGAAATACTATGCAAACTGAAGACGAGGTATCCATTCATGAAAACTCAAAAAGTACAATAGCTACTAATGTATGTTATAATTTGTTTTAAACTATCTTATTTTATTATAAATTGTATAGTCTAAATAATGTTTAATGTATATTAATTAGATGTCTAATGATATTTCTTCAAATGAAAGCGAAGTTGAATGTAATGACAATAGTTATGAAGTAGATGAGGAATCAATAGACGACAAATCAAAAAGTACCATTTCTAATGTATGTTATACATTTTATTTTAATATAAATCTTATAGTACAATAGAAATAATTTGTAATGTATATTAATTAGATTTCTAATGATATATCTTCGAATGATGATGAAACAAAAGTAATGAGTGACAATAGTTATAAAGTAGATGAAAAAGATATAACTAATAATATAGCATTGGAAAATACAGTTGCTAATGAATCCATTCTCATGACTCCAAAATGGCGTTCAAATAAAAAGCAATTATTTTTAGACTCGAGTGATGATGAAGAAGAAGAAAAAACAAGTTCTGTCGACGAGGTAATATTTTTGTAAATTTATTGTGGTTGATTTAAATGAATAATGTACTACTGTTCAATTTATATTTTAGAAAAGCCGTACAATTTTAGTGTCTGAATCAGATGATGATATTATAAATTCATCGAACGAAATCATAAAAACACCAGTCAGTAGGCGATCTGAAAGAGAAGGGCAATTAAGCGATTTGTCTTTAGTCGAACCATCTATTTCTGATTTTGACATATCTAAAAATAAATCTACTATATCATCATCAATTAAAAATAGTCCATTTTTAGATGATCTGGAAGGTACTGTTAATAATTTGACAGTCTACAATCCAATATCTAATAGTACTATATTAGAACATCCACAGTCAAAAACTGAAAAGCATAAAATTCCAGTTGATCAAAATATTCAGGTTATCACTTTGGATGATGATAGTCCAATTAAATCCACATTAGATACATTACTTCAAAAAAATCAAATACCCACTTATGATTTAACAAATGAACCTGTTAATGAAAACCAGTCTGTGTCACTTTTTGCAAATTCCCAAGATACATCTAAGAAACTGACTAGTGAACGTTTTCAATCTTTACAAGTGGAAAAAAGAAGATTAGAAGAAATTATGCATAGATTTACAAAAAACATTGATAATATGAAGGTAAATCAAACTTATTTTATTTGTTCCTTTTTTAAACTTGTATATATTTTTAATTTTTGTTATTTAGAACACAATGGAAATTACAAACATAAAACTATTACCAGATGGTGGTCTTAAATTAAAAACTGCCATTATCAAAGAAGAAAATAAATTGAAAGATACAAAAGAACAATTTGAAAATGTACTTAAACAACTAAAATTGTTTAATGGTATATATTATTTATTTAAACATATTTATTACATACTATTTCATATTTATATTTTAATTTTAGATTCTCCAATAACAAAGTATGTCAAACAATCGCCAGTAAAAGCAGCTGAACCTACCAATCAACCAAATATAAAAGCAGCCCTAACCAAAAAAGCTGCTGCCAATATAGACATTGGTGCTATGGGTGACAAAGGTATTTAATTGTTTGTAGTATGAAACAAACCTGAGCATTTTTTTATTTAAATAAAAAATAATAATATAAAAACAATGAGTTACTTAAGATACATTTTGATTTACTATTTCAAGTAATATGTTACCTTAAATCCTTTTTTCAATAAATATTTATTTGTATTTGTTATTTTAACTTTCATTTTAATATTTTTTTTTAATCATTGTTTTCATTTTTATTTATATAAAAAATTATTTATGAACAATTTATTAAGTATTTAAATTTTGTTTTTGTATTTAAATTCTTTCAAATAAAATTACAATTTTGTTTAATACTTGATTTTTTATTGAAATACATTTTTATTTTTAATTATTATTTTTAAAATGCCCAGGTTTCTAATGGAATTAAAAAAAAATTATTTTTATGTGATAATATTTTTTATAGCTCTGAGCACTTATAGAGCACAACAAGCTATGACTTTAGATGTACTACATAGCTTACACAAATCTTTAAAATCGTGTCCAAGTACTGACATGTTAGCTGATGATCCTACAGGATTGAAAGTAACACTCATGCCGCATCAGAAGCATGCAATAGCTTGGCTATTATGGAGGGAAAACCAAAAACCACATGGTGGAATCTTAGGTAAGTTCAATACAGAGTCATTTAGGCTGGTGGTAAGTAGGTAAATGCCTACGGGGCCATTCTCATTCTAGTAGATGGTAAATTTTAGTAAATTATTGTATATTTGTGTCTGATGAGTCAGTCTATCACAAGCCAAATAGCTAGTTCATTTTTAATTTTGTGGGCCGCCTTTAAATTTGCACACTCGGCCAGTCGTCTGTCCAGTCCCCCCCTGGTTCAAAGCAATTATACTGTTATGAATAATAAAAAAATGTACATTATATTTTCTTGCAGCGGACGATATGGGTCTGGGTAAAACATTGACTATGATTTCGCTGATATTAAAAGCAAATGAAACTAATAAGCATAAAGATTCCGCTTCAGATTCAGATTCTGATATAGACAACCTGACTGATAATCCAAGAAATAGTAATTCTTATTATTTAACAATTTTTTTTTTTTATATAAGAAGTAGTATTTTACCCAAGTATGTATGTGTGTTTATACTTTAGCTATCAAAGGCGGAACACTTGTTGTTTGTCCATCATCGTTGATAAAACAATGGCAAAATGAAGTTAAAACTAAACTGCGCCCCAGAATGTTAGAAGTTCTAGAATATTATGGTCAAAATAGAAGAGATACTAATGCAAGAAAGGTGGCTAGAGTTGATATTGTAATTACAACTTATCATACTGTGATGTGGGATCAGAAAAATCATCCAAATACAGTAAATATAATATGTATTTTTGCTTAGCTATTTTTAGTCACTATATTTTAAGTTTCTCTATTTACAGTTAACTTTCAATATTTGAAATAACTCTTTTAGGATTTATCTTATGCATTATATCTAATAGTAATGTTTTAATAATAATAATATTTTTTCTAAATAGTCATTTAATAAGTAAGTTATTCAAATATTTATAGAGTCCGCTTTTTCAAGTCAAGTGGAATCGAATTATCTTGGATGAAGGCCATACAATTCGTAATTATAAAAGTCAAACATCCATAGCTGTTTGTGCATTACATAGTATAAACCGTTGGGTTTTATCAGGTACACCAATTCATAACAAAGAAGCTGATTTTTACGCCTTATTGCACTTTATAAAGTGTCGTCCATTCGATGATTGGGCTGTAAGTACAATTTGTATACATTAAATTAATGATATAATAATAGTTATACTATATCTCATCCTTTTTTCATGTTTGTTATGGGTCTAGGCCAAAATAGCAAAAAAAATAATAACCGACTTTAAAATATTTAAAAAAAATAGCAACAAATATTTTAGTGAATAATAAAACCCCTGATTGAAAATTTAGTGTGTAATTTAGTGGCTCACCTTTAGCTGAGAAGTGCCTATCCGTTCCCATATTTAATTATAATTTTAATTTATTATAATATAATTAACATAGAAATACTTAACCTTAACAATTCAGACCATTTATGCTGTACTCTCATAGATGCTATATTACCTAGGGTCGATCATAAAAAAGTAAAACTAAACAGTTATCTGCAGATAAGGTGAGCCACATGAAAATAGATAACGATAAACTCGTATCTTTGAAAGAAACTAAAATCCCTGTGAAGCTCATAACACTTACGATCTACTTAAAGGGTTTTTTTTGTATAATGTTTTTATATTTATAAAACTATCTTATTTAATTATTTTCATAACTTAAATCAACTTTTGTAACTCTAATGGCTAATTGTATAATTGGGCGCTAACCAGCCTTCAAACTATTATTTTTTATGTCATAAGTACTCGAAAGAATAAGCTGGAGTGCAGTGCTGGCGTATAAAATATATTAGAAATAACGGGTCAATTTTACACTTTTTTAATTGAGGTATTTACATTTGAGCAGTTGATTCTTAAACTAATAAGTATTAAAAACGTTCAAGTTGCCATTTTAGTTTCAATTAAATGTATTGATTTAAAAATACTAGATTATTTTGAGTATAATTGGTTTGAAAGACGGGCATTAAAGAGGAAAAGGCGATAGCACTTTTAGTCATACTTTGTGCACGTGTAACTTAATCATTTATTTATATTAGATACATTTTTTGCTATTTTTAGTATTGCTTATTTTTCACTAATATTACAAAGCTACTCATATACCGTTATTTTTCATTTTTTTTTTTTTGCATATCCCATTCTGACAAACTTTTTTTTTCTTCAAAAAGTGTCTGAATCAAATAACATTTGTATGTTTTTAGGTGTGGAAACGGTGGGTAGGAAATAATGACCTAGCTGGTAAAAACCGTCTCCAACTATTAGTTCAATCTTTAATGTTGAGGCGAACAAAGGCTGAACTTAGTGAAGGTACGTCGTTCAAATTACCGGATAAGAAATTTCACACAGTTCAGGTTGAACTTTTCAAAGAAGAAAAACAAGCCTATGAAAAAGTATTGGAATTTTCAAGGTAAGCAGTGTTAATAACTAAAATGTCGCCATAAGGTGTCTAGCATATAGTAAAAAAAATGTTAATCGGACCACATTCTAAGTAATTACATTTTTTATTTTGGTCAAAAATGTTAAAAAAAATTACCTTCTTACCTAGAGCATTGCAATAGTCAATAAAGTATATGATTGATTGTGTTAAAATTATTAGTTGTACGGTAATTTTATGCTAAACCATAGTAATTACATTTTTATTTTTCCAGCACACTTTTTGCAACATATTTATATGAAAAAGCTGAAAAGGAAAAAGCAGTTGACAGAGGTTTTCCTGTTAAAAATAAGACTAAATATGTTCATCGTATGTACTATTTATATCAATTTTCTATATGAATGTGCATATATTTTATTAATTAACACCTATTTTTATATTTTTAGAACAAGATTTACAAGATGATGTGTTTAAAGACCATCCCGAATTAGATCAATTATTTAAGAAATTAAAAGACAATAAAGATATCCAAGCGCACCATATTTTAGTATTGTTATTGAGGTTAAGACAGTTGTGTTGTCATCCATGTTTAATGAAAAATGTATGTATTTTTAAGTTTAAATGTAAAATAAGTGTTATCATATCACTAAATAGGCAAAAATATCCAGAGTAGTGTATATTATAATCTCTGCTTATTTTTAAAATTGAATTGTGTCAGAAAAATGTATTAAACAGCTGTTCTGGCCAGTCGGGGTTTAAAATTAAAATACAGCCAATTTTAAAATTACAAGATAACATATACTGAATGTTACGCCAAACAGGTCGGAACGTGAAAAGAATCTTTGAGGGCATAATTATTTTAATGTTTTTAAGTTTATGATATGTTCTAGTTTTATTATATTTTTAATTTTTCTTCTACTACAAAATTAGGCAAAATTTAATTAAAAAACAAATAACGGCTAAAACAAATCGAAAAACATAGTAACTAAAATAAAAAGATAATAATTTATTTGAGTACATGTTTTTATTGAATAATGCCTAACTTTGTACTGAACACTACTTTTCTTTTTCAATTTAAAAATGGTTCATATTATAATTGTTTTTTAAGATGTTAGAAAGTGACAACCTTAAGGCGGATGGAATACAAAATACTAATGACTTAGAGTTAATAGATCAAATGAGCCGAATGTCTATAGGCATACCTAGTCAAAGCCACACTCCATTAACCGAAAGTAATCCCATTTTCAATGAAACGTGGGTTAGTTCTAAGGTATGTATAATATTTATATTATTATTAAAAAAAGAAATATCTCATATCTATAATCATTGATTAGGTAATTCATAAAATAACAAATGAATATAATCATTGAATACTATAGTATGTGTTAATGACATAACATTAACACATATTTATTATATAATAAATGATTATTATTTAAACAAAAATGTTTAATTGTTTTTATAGACAAATAATATTGTCTTAGTTTTTCCACCAACTTATTTTCTTATCAAATCTGTTTAAAACTAACAATGATAGGTCCCATTTGGTAAATTATGGGTTTGGATAATTATTATAGAAATTATTTAACTTGACAAAATAAAAATACCCTTGTCTGATTTTTTGTCCAATATTTCTTATTTTTGGACACATGTAACTTTTTAATAAAAAATGGTTTATTCAAATCTGAAATCCGCTGACTGAAATTTCTTTATAAAGTGTACCTTTTATTAAATGATTGATAGAATAAATCAGTATTAATTGGTCAGTGATTATGCATCATATAGTTGTTGATTTAATAATATTTTTTATATTTACAAATATTTTCTGTTTCGTCTAGATCAAAAGTGTATGCGATTTGGTAAATGAAAAAGTTTTAAGTACCAATGACAAAGCAATTATAGTTTCTCAGTGGCCAAGTATGTTGCTGCTTATAGGTAATGAATTAGCCAAGTATAGAGTGAAGACAAAGCTGTTTTCTGGTTCAGTTCCAGTTTTACAACGAAATAAAATTGTTGAAGAATTCAACAACGATCAAAACGGTACCAAGGTAAATCATATATAAAAAATTAACCCATTTAATACAAATTTATTTATTGCTGTAAGACATTAATCATGATTATAATTTTTAATAGTTAAAATAAGAAAGGTATAAATGGATTATTATTCGATACTTAAATATTATCTATGACGAAATATAACTTATGTATTTTTTCATTCTAAGATAACAAAGAACTAACGGTTCCGTTATTTTAATTAGTAGAAAATTTATATAGATTGAATTTAATGATAAACAAAGACGAATGGGTAAGATGACAGTATGTTACCAGTACTATTATTCGGTCAAGCAGCTCTATTTTCTGAGTGGGAAACTGTATTGAAAAGAATCCACCACTTCAATGCTAATGTTTTTTAATTTAGAAGTATATGTTGTAGCCCAATTTGTATATTCAGTGTTTTCTCATGACTATTGTTTATTTGTTTTATTGTATTTTAGATCTTGTTGCTGTCATTAACAGCTGGGGGTGTGGGTCTTAATTTGGTCGCAGCTAATCACATGTTTTTGGTTGATGTTCATTGGAACCCTCAATTAGAGGCTCAAGCGTGTGATAGAATTTACAGAGTTGGCCAAACCAAAGCAGTTAATGTCTACAAATTTATTTGTTCAAACACAATAGAAACTTCAATCCAACGAATTCAGTCGAATAAACTGGAAATTGCTAGTAATCTTTTTGGTGGTTGTAGTACTGAAGCTACCAAGGTTACGTTAGATGACCTAAAGGAAATATTTAATATGAAATGATTTAATTAATGAATACAATTTTTTAAGGTATTTCATGTCTTCATAATGTTATGTATATTCGTTTTAGTTCTTAATATAAGTTTTCAAAGCTCAGTTGTATAAAATAATGTTTACATGTAAAGGTTTTATTAAACCAGTGATTATGTGTTGTATGACTATTAATATTTTAATGATTTATCTGTTTAATTATTTTATGTTTTGTTGAAAAATTAATAAAAATAAAACTATTTTGAGTTATAAAAATAAACTCATGTTTAATGTTTATTTGTAGATCAGCTATAAAAAAATATAATTATACTTATATTACATATAAATAAATATATTTATTTATTCGTATGAAAATAAATATATAATAGATATAAATAAAGCTAATACAAGAAATCTCTATTTTTGTAATTTCTAATTAGGTAAAAAAAAATATTGTTCTGGGACCATTGCAGCCTGAGTACTGTTAGAAGTCTTGAAAAAGCATGTTTTCATTGTGCGTCGCGAGTGCATTTACAAAGCGGTATCTTAATATTTAAGAACTTTTTGTATATTATTCTTTTTTAGAAATGATTCTCGACTCATTTAATTGATAAAAAGACACATAGTTAGAACATATAGGTTCGGATCTTTAAGAACTATTAACCGAGATTGATGATCATTTAAAAAAAAAAATGGCAAATATTCTTTAGCTATTTATTTTGATTTGAGCGTACAAATTTATAAATTGTTTTCAAATACTGTAATTTTTTTGTTTTTGAAGAAAAACAAAATAAGTCGTGGGACTACAGATAACATAGTAATAACCGGTTTATACTCGGTGTTTGTATTAACAAAATGCGATTTGTTATGCGTTCTGCAGAAAGAAAGCCTTTATTGGTGTTAAATTTTACTGCTTTTAAACACAAGTAGGTTTCATGTGTTTTTATTTCAAGACTCAAGTGTTAAATGTTAGAACTTACTGATAAAAATTAACACAGGGATGACACTAATCACACAAAAACGCGGCTTTTTAAGGCTAAACCTCTAAAATTGTATATCTGTAAATTATTATTGTTTGTTGTGTATAAATGTAACATATAATAACTGGTCCGTTACAAAATGGCCGTCACTTTTTTGCTTACATTGAAAGTGACCCTTCTACTTTCATCTATTCTGTAGAACTTATCTTAAGCCAGTTCTACACTGTCACGCAAAACGTTAGCGAAAATATTCGCTGAAATTTTCTGTGCTCTATAAGAAACATCAAACCCCAAGAAATGTTCGTGGGAACGTTCACATCCACGTGCCCAAAAACCCATGTAATTTACACCTCGCTAGCTCATTCAATGTAAAAAAAAAATTACAAGCCTTTTGCGTAATTTATCAATTAAATTATGTTGGCTACACTACCTCGTTTAACATTTCTAAAGGTTAAAATTGATTTATCAATGCTTGGTAATGTTATCAAAACTTGAAAAATCAGATGTACCTATGATACTACCAGATCAAGCCCAAGGTAAGGTCAGCTACTGATTTTCTAGTTTCAATAATTCAACTCCTCTTTCTAAATTCTTACAGTAAGGTTTAAGGTAATTGCTTTGTTTCACTTTTGTTATTTTATAATTTTTTTTTTTTTAATTCTAGTTACGCCATGTATCGAAATTTTCAACTTAACGGGAGTTTCTCCAATGTGCTCAAGGGGTGTACCGAAGTTGTATCTGCATCGTCAACCAAGACACCGCAAGCCGTTAAGTCATCATCAGTCAAACAAATTACACCATCTGAACCTATTCATTTAAATAATTATACTATGCAAAGTAGTTTGTTATCAAAGAAGATCCTGACATCAGTTGTTGCTACTCAGATTCGGTTGGCTCATACTGATATTAAGTATCCTGATTATTCAGCATATCGCCGTGATTCAGTAAAAAGTCCAACGGCGTCTAATCGAGATACCTATGAAAGTCGTAACGCTTTTACTTACATGGTTCTTGGAACCGCTGTTACTGGTACAGTATTTTGTGCCAAAGCTGTAGTTCATAAATTTGTCTTGTCGATGGCACCAGCTGCTGATGTTTTAGCTTTAGCGTCAATAGAGGTTAATCTCAATGAAATACCCGAAGGCAAGAATGCAACAATTAAATGGAGAGGAAAACCGTTATTTGTGAGACATCGTACAGCAGCAGAAATTCAAACTGAACAGAACACAAATGTGGCAGAGTTAAGAGATCCAGAGGATGATTCAGTAAGAGTGCAAAGACCCGACTGGCTTGTCATTGTGGGTGTGTGCACGCATCTTGGATGTGTACCTATTGCTAATGCTGGGGATTGGGGTGGATACTACTGTCCGTGCCATGGATCACATTATGATGCTGCAGGCAGAATTCGTAAGGGCCCTGCACCAACAAACATGGAAGTCCCACCTTACAAATTCATAGATGATAATACACTTGTCGTTGGTTAGTAAAGCGTTGCAGAAGTATTGTGTCCTTTAGATTGCACATATGTTATTAAATACTTGTCAAAATAAACCCTGTATCCTGCTGCTGTAAGTTAATTATTATAAAAATGTATTGTTAATTTATTACTCGGTTTGATTTTTAAATTAAACATTTCATGTAACCTATACCAATTCTCGGAATTACTTCAAACACAAATACAGCTTTGTTTTATTAAACATGATTAAGAAAATAAAAATAATTCATTTGTCTATTATTTTTGTGGTTTAAAGATAAAACAAAGGAATTAGTAGTATTGAAATCAAATGGCTACTTTAGTGTTAAGGACTTGGTTTATACTAAAATCAATTGAAGGAGTATTGTAATTGTTTTTTTTATGTCAAAAACTCAAGGTAATTATTATTAAAATATCCATAAAAAATAAACCATACCATGGATTTCCTCAATAAATTAGTTAGTAGAAAATAAAGTTTTTTTTATAATTATTAGTATACCAGATAATATTATATAAATTTCAGCTGTACATATTGTAGGGATCGTTATTAATATAGGTAGTAGGAAAAAAATAATATGTAGATATTCTAACTTGCACGCTGGTGTTGAATATTTTACTTTATTATTATATAATACATCTATGCAGTTTTTTTCAAAATCTAGGTGTTCACTATTACTGCACAGTGTTATAGTGGCAATCATTTGTAGTACTCATAGTTTTATTCATATATTAAAATTAATATAATTAAATCAAGGTAATAAACTTGACATGGAAGTGTAGACTGTAAGTTATAATTTTTCAGGGTAGAGCAGTGGCCGGCTGGGTCGGAGGACAAGAAAGTGATAGCCTGCAAAGCCTCTAAGGTTTTGGACTACTTGAGCTCATTAGATTCATTATTTTATACAAACTAACCGAGAAAAGATGAACTTATTATAATTATTGAGCAAAATCTGTTCTCTAATTATTCGACGGCTCTATATTTTACCCCAGTCCATCCCTAGGGAAATAGGATATTAATGTCAATTATTAAAAATTTTAATTCTTCAATTTTGGTATTTCAAATAAATTTTACGGAAGTAATTTGCTGACGTTAGTCGATTTACCCGTCAATGACAATTACGTTTTACAACTATTATTGTTTGTTTTTATACTTTGTGTTTCAACATTTCTTATATAATGTTAATTCAATGCTAACCTAATTATTTGTCTAAATGGTTAACTTATTGACATTCTGAATAGAATAAATGCTAGTTTTTTTTTTAATTAAAGAAAAAATGACCCAATGGTTACCGGTAATCGAACATAAAAATTATAGGGTACTAATAATAGTATTAATATTACTTTATAATAATAGATAACGTAAATTGTCTATTTCTAATTTCATTACCAACAATTACAGTTATATTTGTAACAGACAAATAAACTTGGGCATTTAACTATTTAGCTGTGTATAGCAAGCATAACACACACATACATGTTACCTACGAAAATTTAAGAGAAAAATAGTTTTGAAGGACAAAAATTAATAGTGTGGCGTTAGTCGTTTCGTAACCCGAAGGCAGAAAATGGAATTTATAAATATTTCAACTTACAATATATTTTTATGGATGATGATTATCAGTTTGTTTTATAATCCCTCAAAAATTAAGAAAAATTTTAAATAATTACAGGTAGTAGGATATTATTGACAAATAATGTATAACCAAAACCTTGTTTTTAAGAAAGGGTCACTTGTACCTAAAAAATTCACTTTACTAGGTGTCAGTTATAAAGTTTAACATCTTCTCTACAGGAGCTAAAATACCGATTGTATAGTTTGTGTTTTTGCGTTTAGTAATGAGAGTTGAGACTAAAATGTTTTATATTTTTATCCATGGTTGAAATATACAGATGATATTCGTCTCGAATTGTTATCTTCAGAAATAAAATGGCAGCGTAAGGAGATATCAATTTTACTATAATGTACTTTACTATTCCTATATATTTGACTGTGTAATTATATCACAGACTAGACTAGACTGAATCTATTCTGTGCTTATATACTTGACTTTGATTCCCTAGCCTTTACTGCTGACATATTTGTATTTATCATAGAATATTTGATGAAGAAGTATATGTGCAATAACCTTGTATATTTCAATCATGGTTTTACCGTTAAATCTAACAAATTTTCTGATAACTTAATAATCCAAACTAGAAAGTGACTTGTACCAGTAATTTCTTTTTTAAGCTACGCCATAACTCGAAAAAAATAGGTTACTTTAAAAGTTTTGTACCTAAATATACTTAATAATAATTTATTCAATCATTAATTTAATCATTTATCCGTAAATTAGTTGTCATATTTAAAATGGTTCCTAAAATCAATTTATGTCAAGTATCACCTCTTTTGCCACTTAATTCCATTTCCTTTAAGCAGGATTAATTTTCTTTTAATACTCTTAAAGTCAAAGGACAAACACGTCGTATATAGTTTATTTTATTTTCATTAATTTTAATTTTATCATAAGTTCAGGTATTATACACAATATTTGATTTATAAAATCTTAATCTAAGAGCACTTAGCCACGTAAGGAAAGTACATTTGAGGAGGAGCGGACTGCCACAATGAGACCGGCCTGTGAAAATGTTTGATATGTAAATAAGTAAATCCCTTGTATAAATTGTTAAGAATTAATTTGTATAAATTCGAACTTAAAGAACGCATTGTGGAGTTCTATTGGAATTAAAATGAGTCGTATTAATAGTACACATTTAACATCTTGGAAAATTACATTGGATCTATGTTATACTGTTTATCGGTGGCAGAAGACGAACGTATAATATTCAACGTTAGCATTCTCTAAAATAACCATTAAAATATTATTACCAATAAAATAAAAAATACAGATGGGGTACGGGTTACGATCGGGTGACGGGACACAAGCCGCGATAACAATATTGTTATTTGTTATTCTACCTATAAAAATTACAAGGAAATACGAGAGAAATGACTCTAGTGTCTAGATAATATAGGATAAACGTAAATGCGTGTGTCAAATAATATTGTATTTTTGATGACTAATAAACATCAATAATATTATGTAGATTTTAGATTTTAAACAACAAGTAAACATTTGAAATGAACCAATCAGCAAGATTTATGTTGAACAGTATAATATCGTTAGTATTTACTTATGAATAATGGACGCTAGGGTGGACCAAAAAAAATTGTTTTTTTTATTCTTCTCTTGACATTATTTCTCTTTATACAAAAAACAAGTTTTGAATATATATATATATATATTTATAATATATAATAGGCAATAGCTGACCGCTGTGCAATCATATTACCAAAAAAGTATTTTAGAGTACTATTATGGGTATATATATATATATATATATATATATATATATATATATCAATGTTTTCGTAAATTTTACATTCTAAGCCTAAATTAGTTGGATAGTAGTTTTTTTTGTAAAAAAAAAAAAAATACTGGTTTATTCCTCTTTTTCTAGTGATGATTTTATATACAAGTAACATCTGTTTAAAATTTATACCTTAAAAAATTAAAAACTAAAAAAATATTGGAAAACTGATGCTCGCAATCTCTAAAAATAATTTTAAAAATCTGAAAAAAATAGGGAAATATTATTTTACCCCAAGGAACATAATGTCAAGAGAAGAACAAAAAAAAACAATAAAAAATTGTTTTTGGTCATTACTAAACTAGGACCGATACAACTGATTTGATGATGAAGTGGCCCGATTACAGACCCGGTATACCTATAAAAATGACAAGTATATTATCTGCAATAATAGTATTTGAATATTTGGTGTTTAATGGCAATGCCATAAAAACAATTTATAAAATGATTTCAAATTATTTAAACGTTATTACAAAATATTATGTTGTGTAATACAAAATACTACTTCACGTAACTACATTTCATTATTGGTTAATAATGGAATGGTATAAGGATTGCTTGAACGGGAATTTGTCATGTTTTTCTAGAGGCAATACTGTTTTTAAGTTTTAACAATTAACAATAAAAATTCGCGTTTTAATGTATAAAAAAATGCTGTTATCTTGTGGATATAGTCAATTGTCGTCTACAACCATTTAATATAGTAAAACTTACTCGATACTATGGTTTTTTTTTCGTTCTATATTATGTGAATGTCAAGTAACCCACCACTCTACGGTCTATACCATATTATGTTGTAATATTATATACCAATTGGTGTTCCTGTTAAACCAATTAAATTCAATTGTAACTGAATACTGATAAGATAGCGGCAAGGCAACGTTACAGCATTTATTATATACAGTAATAATATTATACTCCCGGTTAATAGTTCCATGTTTATATAGTTTAAACATTTCCACAGAAGAGTTTGTAGTGTACACATCGATAAAAATTGAAAATGGCAAGTAGCTTTCGGCTTTACTAGTATTTGACAATAGTTGTTTTATTAAAATATGCAAATGTTGTATGGCTCCTCTACATTGTTATGCATTATCATAATTTAATTAATTAATTTTTTAAGTGAGCGTTTTAAATAAGTCGTTTAATCCTTGAAGCTGCATTCGAATCGGCAATGGAAATATTTTAGCTAACTTATACTTGCAATAGTATACTGGTATGTACTTCAATATTTTATATTATAAATAGTATGATTAATTAATTTCTATTATACTCGATAGATTACGAAAAAAATGTTAATTGTATTAATGTGTATGGGCTTATTTATTGTAGCTATCATACGCTCTCATTACATTTAACTATCTCTGACAATTTATTGTAATAAGTTTTAGTGGTGGCTAATAAGTGGCAGTTCAAAAAATGACCCTCACATCCTTTAAACTAAAGAAAAATAAATACGAATTTAAAATGCATTTTTAATATTATGTTTTAAATAGGCGTCTGTTATAGTAAGTTAAATATTTGTCTGTAATCCAAAAGAAACACGATGAGCATACTTTACGCTTTGGATGTTTAATAAAACAATATGACCCAACCTAATAACCCCCTGTTGGGCTTTTCTAGGAAAATGATTTGACAATGCCACTGTAAATGACTAGATGTTATTAGGAAATAATATCAATTTGTATGAAATCATACATTATTTATATAAAAAAATTTGAAATAAGACCTTTACTTTTTAAATAATATAATATTATAGTTATTACAAATTTTATACTGTAATTTTTTTAAATTTAATAATAGCTCAAGCTAAGAAACTTTCAATTGAAATCTTAATTATACCTCAATCTTAATATAAGTAGCTTTTGATGTTCAAGTTAAGAATATTATTTTTAAGGGTAGTTTTAGATATACTACGGCCACCGGAAGAACGCTACTGGGCTAGTACTTGATTGGGAAAAACCAAGTAGAGGAATCGAAATCATATTTTTAATTTGCGCTCAAAACATAAAATTATTGACAAATAATTACAGACAATAGGGTCCTTACCCACATTCAAAATTATATTATGTATTATTTTTTCCATTCTGATTCGTACACCCAGATAATTTGATTATCCATATTTTTCCCATCTTCATTATTCATACAGTGAACCATAGAACTACTATGAATAAACAGAACAACCAGGGGATGCGTGACTGCCCTTAATTTTGATCTCCTTCTTTTAATATTGTACCATAGATATTTCACTTAAGTAATAGTAATGTCAGGTCGTTGGATGTTTAACGTCCTGTGATTGGTCCATTATATTTTAATTAATCCTTTTATATAATGAAATTTTGTTTATAGTGCAACCCGGGATAAGACTTATTTTAAGTTTTAGTTCTGTTCATACAAAAACAATTTCTAATATATACTATTAATTTTTTTCAGATTTTATCAACAAGCTATCCATAAAGTAAAACATGTATAAAAAATGAATCAAAATGAAAAGTGGTATGCAAATATTATATTATTATTAAAAACATTTTTGATTTTATTATATCTAAATGGTTCATGGAAAATAATTTTTTTTTTTAACGTCAATGATTATAATCTTGTTGAAATTACTGAGATAATTGTTTTATTTAAAATGATGTAATTTCTATCTAAGTGCAAACTTAATATCTATAATATAGCAATTAATATTTGTTTTAGAAAAATAGGTGTACTTAATACTAACCAACAAAATTGTTGTATATAGTAAAGAAATGACAAGTATTTTGAAAGATACATTTCTAAAGTGAAATCATGAATGTTTGCTTTGTTTTATATTTTATTAATCTATAATGGTTTGCATTACATAAATGATTTTTTTTTAATTTTCATCAAATCGGTGCATAAAAATCTAATTAGAAAACAGACACCTTATATTATGTTGAACAACAGTAAATTTAAAGCTTGTGTTTCTTTATTATCTTTATTCAATTGTATTTGACACCTGCAGTTTTTTTAATGAAATATGAGCAATATATTTTTTTTCAATTTGACATAATATATGCACTTATTGTTAATTGTTTATTTATTGTGAAATATGAATGGCTATGCAATTTTATTCATTTTGTTTCAAATAAAACAGCTGATAAATCAATTCGTTTATAAATTCAGATATGTCGTATGTCCGATTAAACCGTCAGGATATAAGTCAACAAGTGAAACGGATTTATCCTTCCAGAATCAGAGGTAGTAAATCAATAGTTGTTATTTTTAAAAAAAATAATAAACTATTGCAATTAAAAAATAATTTAAATTATATATTGTTTCATAAAAATAATCAAAACCGAAGGAATAACTTAACACATAATATTATTTTAATGAATAAGCATTTTACAAATTTAATAGTTTTGGTAACATTTATATGTTATGCACTATATAACTATAAACAATGGCTTACTATTTTTTTGTGGCAACAAAATATAATTACAACTACAATGTTGAACCCTTATATGCAAAATCATGAGAAAATACCATAGGTAGTGACGTGCTTAGCATGCACTTACGGTTAAACAAGATAATGATTAATTTGTTAATTAATTATTAAGGGTTAGCACCCTTCCCTCCCTACTGTCTTGTTACTAACCAATAGGACAATGATTGTTAATGATTTTTTTCTTTACTGGTTGATAGTTGTTGAAATTATAAAAATATTTTTTGAAGTTTAATTTACTAAAAATACTAATGATTCTTTATTTTACTGATGGTGTATTGATTTACAGTTTGTTAAGTTTAAGATTCATTAAATTGACTAAAATATTGAAATTCAAAGTGTAATAATTTCTATTCAAATTTAATAGAAACTCTATGTATTATTTTCTGTAAAAGAGTTGTAGAAACAGTAGGTATTTCAATTTTCATTGCTTTAGTTTACATTAACTATCTTAAGATAAAAATGATCACTTTTTGAATGTATGCATATTGCATAAGTTAAATAATTAAATTTTTATAGTGTTTTTACAATTACTTACAATCGCGTAATTTGAACAACAGTTTTTGCCAAACCAATATGTTTTTTATACTCCATAATCTAATAAGTTTTATGTACACTTTGTATACTAGTTTTTGTACTCTTCAATTTAAAAATAATCAATTTGGACGTGTATTTTTTTCAGATATTTTACATTTTAGTAGACCTGGGGTAAACAAAAACTCTCTTTTAACTTTTTTGATTGGTGTCATATTTGGTTTATTTTTTGCCTACACTGCAATATCTGTCACTGAATGTCATTTTAAAGATATTGCTATATTTCCATCGAAATATTCTTACGGGTTTAGTGATCATGCGAAAAAGCACAAAGATGCTCATTCTCATGACCATAATGACGATGAAAATATGATTGGTGATGATGTTGAAGTAAAACCTCATGGAGAAAACGAAACATTACACTTCCGTAAGTCAAATTTAAAAATAATTTAAGTTGGCCAAAAAAATAGTATAAAATATGAAAAGTAAATTTTTATCTTTAATTGGTTGCTCAGGTTTTCTTTGTTAATTGGATTAAACATTTTCTTTTACAAACATTTGTATTTATTTTATTATTTTATGTATCGGAAAATATTTTTGAATGAAAATGTATATAAATATTCTAATTATTTTATAATTAAATAAATCATAAATATTAGATATGCCTCTTTTTTTTTATAACAAACACATTAAATTCTCTTGAAAGGCCACCCCCTCAAACTTCTTCATAATACGATTTTGATTTACTATTCAAGTTTAGCCATACATGTTAAAACAAAAGAATATGACTGCCTATGATTTATGATCCAATTGAATTGTATTTTTATGTAAATATATTTGGTCCAGAAGTAAATATTGTAAAATACAAACAAATAAGTAATTGTTAAAAAAAATTCTTTTTAGATGAAGACACTGTGGCTCAAGAACTTAAAAAAAGAGTTCGAGTACTTTGTTGGGTAATGACAAATCCCAGTAATCACATGAAAAAAGCGAGGCATGTCAAAGCTACATGGGGAAAACGATGTAATACATTATTGTTTATGAGTACTGCTAAAGGTTATACAATTTTCTTTTGTTATAATTTAAAATTGTGTTTTTTTTTATTAAAAATTTTTTTTTTTTTTATTATTGTAGAAGAGAGTTTACCAACTATTGTTTTGCCTGTAAAAGAAGGACGAAATCATTTATGGGGGAAAACTAAAGAAGCTTTCAAGTACATTTATAACAACTACGATGATTATGATTTTGTTCTTAAAGCAGATGACGATACGTAAGTTATATTATTATAACCCATGTTTTAACATTTTTAACAATGATTTTTTACTTTATGTTTTATAATCTTAAGATCAAGGGTAAATACATATTGTTTTGTTATTACATCCTTGAAGGGTACACGAAAAAAAACAGATGTCATTTTTTTAAAAATTACTATTTTATTGTTATAAAATTAGTATTTGATACGAAACGAATATGTTCTTTATTTTTAAACACAATTAACAACAAAAACTGAACATTTTTTAAAAGTTTCGCTTTTTACATTTTAAAACATTTTTTTAAGTATTATTTAAACATGTTTTTCTTAGATTTAATAAAAATTACTTTCTTGGTTTTTTTCCTGTTCCATTTGGTTTGAGCTGATTGTTGGTTCATTAATGTTATTATAATGATATTTTAAGTATACTTTGTTTGTTTTTAGGTATGTTATAGTTGAAAACTTAAGATATTTACTTATGTCATATGATCCAAACTCGCCTATCTATTTAGGGTGTAGGTTTAAGCCTTACGTGAAACAGGGCTATATGAGTGGTGGTGCAGGTAATATAAATATGTTATTCTCAACCCAATTATTTGTTTTTAGCTTTAATATTTTTAGTGTGTCATTATTATTATTATTGTTGTGTGTGTGGTTTTGAGAAGGACAAATGACCATATGGATAAGGTGGCAGTGTGTTAGCGCTTCCTGTCATGCTATAACTTGGGGAAAAACGATCTGACCGAGTCAAAATTTGTATAAAAAATGTATTAGGCATGTCCTTATTCATAAATTGCCTCAAATCGAAATTTTGTCTAACCCCCCACTTTTTCTCGGGTTAGGTTATATTAAGGGTTGGAATTTTTTTTAAAAAAAATTTTCTTATAAAAAAACCTAGTAAAATTATAATTGTAAATTTTGAAGGCTATTTTGAGCTTAAAAACTTGAAATTTAGTATATGACCTATCTTTAAATACTTCAAAAATACACAAAAGCAACTGAAAGGTATGTTATTTAGTAAAAAAAAAACAAACTGTAACTTAAGGAAAAATCAGGAATACTAGATATTAATAAAAACTTGTGAAAACACAACATTTTTATAGCCTATATTTTCTTTAAAGTAATTATTATAAACATTTTTAACGTTAAAATAAAAAATTTTTTAGGTTATTTATTAAGTAAATATGCAGTAAGAAAGTTTGTGGAAGAAGCAATACCTAATGAGCGGTGTCGTCAAGATACTGGTGGTGCTGAAGACGTTGAAATTGGTAGATAAACTATTTGAATATCAGGGTCAATGGAAACTCATTTGTCTTTTTTTCAGGAATATGTCTACAATTAGTAGGTGTAAAAGCTGGTGACACTAGAGATAGTTTGGGCCGTGGCCGATTCTTTCCGTTTGTACCGGAACACCACCTCATACCTGGACATACTACACCAGATTTTTGGTACTGGCAGTATTTATACTACCCTGGTGTAGAGGTAAAATAGATTTATTGTAAATTTAAATACTATTTATTATATTATATTATATATTCTATAATATTTGTTGTTAATGTCAAGGGCATGGACTGCTGTTCGGACACTGCGATTTCATTCCATTATGTTTCTCCCAATAGCATGTACGTACTGGAGTATTTGATTTACCACTTGCGACCATACGGAGTGTCACAGAACTTAGATATCGCCGTCTCTAAAACGATTAACGCCGACGAACATAATAAATATATCAAGACTGATCAACTGACGAATAAAACATTAAATGATTTAACATAAACGTGTGTTTTACATATCATCAGGGGAAGGCTATTTATTTGGAATTCTACTTTTTACTATTAAAAATACTACTATGGTATACAAATAGAGACTATCCATTTTGTGCCATTTATCTGCTAATTTTAGCAAACCATACCTACTTACATAACTTTACCATTTAATATTTTATTTCAAAAATTCTAGTCAATTTGCTCATTGGAGCTCTGAACAAACGTTACTAGAGCTTAAATTTAATAATATTATTTGTCGATAAAATTATAATTATGTATAATTAATAATATTTTCTTGGTGTTCATAAAAAAAAAAAAAAATAAATAATAAGATCAAATTCCTTCAAATATGTTAATAATATAATAATTATTACATTGATTAACTATTATTATTGATTATTTAAGATCTTCTAAATCTTGTCAGTTTAACCAAAGATATTGTAGTAAAATAAAATGTATAATTTAATATATTTTTCCATGTCATTAATTAGTGTTTATCGTGATTATTTATATTTATATTATCTATACTTTTTTTCAACATTTATATACATTCAAACTGTGTTAAATAAAGTTATCCTCATTTAGTTGATAGATATTTAACTATTGAGAAACTACTGTGATTTGTTATACAGCTAATCCATTACAAAATTGGTTCTACTCTTAGTACTATTATAAATGTGATTAAAATATTCCAAATATTGAAAGATGCTTCGGGTATTTATTTATTTTTTATTTATAGTGTTGCCTAAAAATAATTGTATCAATTTTTTTAAAATATATAATTAAACTTCTTGTATTTTTAAATTACTAAAGTATTTATTATAAATTTAATATGTTTTAGTTATGGACCAACTGAGATTAATAGGACTTGTAAATTTTAAATCACTTACATTTTACATGTTTATTTAAACATTTTCAAAATATAAAAATATAATGTAATCTTTTAATTATTTTAAATTGTTGTTTGTTGTAATTTTTGATCTAGTAAAATATTTCTTAGTACAAGATAATAGTTAACTTTTATTATTATTATTATTATTATTATTATTATAAGTACAAGTTTTATTCAAAAAAGTTATTGAATGAATCCATCATTGATCATGGGTAAAATGTTTGTTTATAAAATTATTAAAATGTAAAACACTCTTGATGGTTTTGCGTGAATAAAAACGCTTAGAAAAAGAGGTAGAAATTCATAAAAAAAAAACGGAAAATTACCTTATTTTTACACATTTACACTATTTTGAATACTGTGTACATATTCCCCTGTTTTTTCAACTTTTTGTGTCATTAATTAAGTATTTATCGTGATTTTTTTATATTGATATTATCTATACTATTACTTTAATTTACATTTTCTTTGTTTTTGTTAAATTTAGGAAATAGATATTTACAATTTTTCGTACTTAAAACTTGAAATTACTTCATTTGAATGGCTTTTTTTTCAGCCTTCGGAAACAAATCGATTAGTTTTAGAATGGATAACTCAATGAAAATCATATTTTAAATTTGTAGTTTTAAGGATAAAATGTTAAATCGGTGTGTAGTAACTGCAAATACTTTGAAGTTAGAACTTATATATTCTACAACTATTCTAATAGATACGGCTTTTCAAGGAAAAATATATAGGTATGACAGCAACTTTCACAACATGGCGGCCAATGTTCTCCCGTTAGAAATATGCGGCATCTATTTTGTGGTTATCACAAGCAGCTGTTGCTGTCATTCGTGTGACCCATTAACTATTTACCTCCACGGTCCCATCATGTTCGTTTATTGTACCACGGTTATAACTTTTAGATAATATCGATGACCGTGTTCATCCACATATTGTGTCATAATGATATTATTACGCTGCCATTTTACTTTTGAAGATAATAATTCAAGACGATGTCCAATAACCTATATATTTCTACCATGGTAGAGACTAGTGAGTAGTGAGATCCGAGGTTGAATCTTATATTATTTACCTATGCTGTCGGTCGTTATATTTACAGACGCATTACACGCTATATAATTGTTTTAATTTTCTTTTATTGCATCGAGTTGGATACCATTTAAGAATGTTGAAGACGGTCGTCGTTTTGAATGGAATGTGCGCCATGACGTAGTTCCAACTTCCAGCGAGCCGTCATGACTGCGCTGACAGCGGGACCTGGTGACGTCACCAAGTCTACTACTCATGCGCATTTGAGTTCCCAGTTGGGTATTATATACGTATATGTGTATGCATATTATACGACAATAGCCGTGCTCGTACTACCCGCCCGCCACTAGTAGTATAAGGTAATAAAGTAGTACAAGTAATAAATTATGGAAATTTTTGGTTACTGCTAGTCTCTGGAGGATAAAATACAAATATTTGTTCGTTCCATGATCTCATATTTGACAGTGTAATCTCGTCGTGTTGCCATATTTTGGCAAAATTTCTAAATGTTAATATACATGCAGTCAGCTATATCATAGTCTGGTGATGAGATGAGAATATTGAAATACTCTGTTAGTACTCGACGGCGAATTTGGCTCCAAATGTTCAAACGGGTTTTGTGCGTGCTGATCCGAATTTTCGCCTGTTAATGGTTTGATCATGACGTTTTACCTTGCCCTTCCTTGACAAACAAAAACTGTTAAAATCGTTTGGATATTGTTGGGACGTTCTTATTATGTACAATATTATGGCTGCGTGTGATCCGGGAACTGAACCATACGAAAGCTGGGAAGCTCTGGACGATCCTTCTGTAAGTATTATTCATAAGTAAAACCAATTGCCCAAACTTTGGGTTCTATTGTAAAGTATTCTCCTAATTATTCTTATAGTCTTGTCTCGCAACATTGTAATGTGAAGTAAAACTATTGTGATAACATTATATCTTGTGTAAACCCAATAATTGTTGCAAGATATTATGCTTGAGGCTGATTAGCTGATATTAGATTTTCGTAGTCTACTTTTGTATTGTATTTATTTACATTTACGTTTGGTTTTAGGTTCTGAGTACACAAATTAAAAAAATGCAGTTGGCTTCGGCATCGAAAAACGAGAAGTAACTTCCAATTATAATATAATATTATTTACTCTATGGATAGAAATCATTTTCGTTTAATTTTCATTCTAGCAATAGTAATGTTGTGATATCATTACCACCTGGATTGCAATTGTCCTACAACCACCATCAACAAATGACAATACCTCAACAGCCAACTGTAAAAATTTTAAAACGACCACCAAAAGTAGATGTTGCCAATGAATCAGCTGATAAGCCTAAATTGCTTGTGAAGTCTTTAGAGCAAGTATGAATCGTTATAATTTTACTAATAAGAATTGATATGAATTTACTTTACTAGGAATTTTTTTTTTGTGGTTTGAAAATAAAATTGCTAAAGAACATTGTGCTCCAGTATTATGTCTTAATTTAAGGAGGAGGAGTGGTTGAGTGGGTAAGGCGGCAGTGTGTTAGCGCTCACTGTTGCTGGTTCGACACTCGGTTACGGGCGCTTTGTTTGCTGGGCGAGCAATCGTCCAGTGAAAAGGAGCAGCTATCCCCCTATATCCGGCAATGGACTGACGATCCGTCCCGGATAGCGAATTCGTAAAATAACCATCTCATGATGGCAGCGTTGGGCCTTCTTGACTCGTTAAGCTACATAATGATGATGATTATGTCTTAATTTACTCCTTGCCCTGTATGACTTTTTTTTTTGTTCAATTAAAAAAAATGGATTTGTATTTTGCTTAAAACAATATTATTATTTGCCTGTAATCTTAAATGAAAATTAACAACACCGCTCCGATGTGGTGGTGGGGAACCTTGTAGACATCTCGCGCATAATATACTCACATACTTATGTGTTGATAATTCTTAAAGTTTAAGAAGTTTTTGAACTAGTGAAGTCTGCGGATTTCTGACTTAGAATAATAAAAATAAACTATAATTTAGTAAAAAAAAAAAACAAAAAAATTATGCTTAGTAAAGTAAATTTGTTTCTAAGAATTTCATAATAAAAATACGATAATGTGTAATTATTTTCTTTTAGAGAAAACAGGAATACGCGGAAGCAAGATTACGAATAATGGGAGAAGAGTTAGGTGATGAAAATGTCGACGATGAAGGGTAAATTATATTTTTGTGTTACAATAAAAACGTAATAACACATGATTTACAATTAAAGTTTTTAAGACATGTTTTTATAAGAACCCAAAGTTTTAATATAACAATATAAATTGGTAAATTAAAATCATAAGATAAGGTGATTTACACTCATCTTTCCTAAATAAAGTAGATGATTAGTTAAATAGGCTGTATGAATGTAGTTCAATTAAAATAACAAAACTATTGCACTGGTAAAAATTAACTACATGAAAACGAGCTATTACAGTGGAAATAAGTTATAACACATTTGTTTGTTGTAAGCAATGTTTTATTAGAAGTTATTTTGCTTTGTTACAAAGTCGCTCGCTAGGACTATATTTTGTTTTTGATTACCACTAACTTTTTAATGAGTAATTTTCATTGTATACTAAATACATTTTATACAACAAAATTGATATTATGATACATCCATATGTAATAAAATATTTTTTTGTTAAATAAAAAAACTGATACATGCCAAAAGTAAATTTATTCTATAGAGTAATAACTAAAATAACTTATCTAACACTTGTAAACATTAACAATAATTACTAATATTTACATATCAAAATGGTAATCTTATCATTCATTATTTTAATTTTTATTACAAGCCTACTTTCGATAATTTGATAAACAAAATGTTATACAAATTAAAATTATTAAGAACATTTATACAGCATGTATTAATTCAATTTTGAACTGTCCTCTATTTTATGAAAACACCTCGCTACTGATTATTTTATATTAATATAACTGTGGACACAGAATCAACTTATCGATTTAATTTTTATTATTTCAGGGCTAGTTCTTCTGGTAGCACAAAGTTTGAAGTACTTCGTCAACCATTAGTCCGCACGCTAGTCGAAGACAATGTGATTCGGCAACCGCGTGGGCCTGACAACACCAAAGGTTTTAACCATCGTAGCTAACCCTATTGATTTACAAACTAAATATATTAACTTTTTGAATCGCCGGTTTTCAAATAAAATAAATAAATAATCTATATTATACTTTAAAAACAAAATCATTTAGTTGTAAATATTAAGGCTTATAATAATTAATTATTAATAATACCTCTTGATACTGAATAATTTTTGGGAATGGATGAGATGAGATTTAGGTCTCCATTGGTGGGCGCCTGAAGTGCTGTGTTAATGACAAAATCTAGTCAGATGGAACCGCTCCAGTACTAATAAATTCTTCCGTTTATGTTTTAAGTATCAGAGTTTTTTTTAATCGCTGTATATTGTATTGTAAATAAGATAAATGTGTGTCTGATTTCTCACATTATATTTTGTTAAATGGTTTAATTTTAGCATTTTTAATAACGAATACATATATATATATAGTGTCCATAACTTGTTATGGTGTTCTTTCTTTTAAAATTGATTAGTGAAATTTAACGAATAATGTGTCAACAAAATATTATTTTAAAACTTAATTAGGAAAAATAAACAAACGATTTTGATTTGTATATTTTTGTAATTGATTTGTTTTTTTATTCTTCAAACATTGTTATTTTTGTTCAAGTTTAACAAAAAAGTTAATTAAAATTATTGTAATTTTAGCCTGATGTAAAATAATTTTTTTTTTTTTAATTTACTGTTGTAAATTGATGCGGTGAAGGAGTTAAAACATTAGACAAACATAGGTTATCCGTTATACGTTGATGTATTTTTTTTATTATACATACTACAAGAAAATGAATATATAATTATTTCAACAATATTATCAAAATATTTTTTTAATTATTTGGTCTAATATGTTTAGACCAATATGCCAACTCAGATGCATATTAAAACAAATGTTTTTAATGCAATTTTCCTTACTACGTAGATTGTAAAACATGATAAATATAATATTAATTCTTTTTAATTGAATGTTTAATATACATTGGTTTTATTAACTCGAGTTAGTCAGTACTATAACTATGATTGAAGCGCTAATTTTACTTTTATATGTCTAGGATATATGAATATTTTTATTATATATTTAACTCTATAACTGTTTTTGGACTATGTAAACACATGTCGTCTTGGAGGCGGCGGTGTTAATCCAACTGGACACCAGGACTTGGCACAAAGTTGATTTGGTACACCTTGAGGATTACACATGCACAAATTGCAAAATCCCACAAACACTAATTCTCCTGGTTCACACGGACCTAAAATATGCATCAATTTTTTCTAAATGATTTTAAAAAATATTTGCAGCATTATTTAATCATTGTTTAAACTCTACTTTTTAATAAATGTATATTTTGGGTGTTGTTAATTTTTAATTTGTTTAAAGCACTTACTTTATGGATAAATAGATAAGGTTTTAAACAAATTCTTTTTTTTTTAAATCAACAAGTGTTATCGGGTGGTATTGTTATATTTTGTTTAAGCAAACAAAAAAGCATATATAGGTGTGTCCGTCGGTGTTTGGACATAACAAAATCTAACAAATCTAATCTGTAGTTTTCGATAGACAACCCGTTAATTAAGAAAACAAGACGTTTAACTTAAACTAACAAGTGTGCACTTTATAGAGCATGAACTTCTTGGTCCTGATAATAAGTTACAATACGTCTTGGTTAAGTGTACTGAATAAGTAAAATTCCTCTCTTCCTTCACCTCCCATCTTTCGGTTGACGGTGGAAATCGGTTTGTACTCTTAATTGGAATTATATTACAATGTAATATGTATAAGCCAATTATTTAAAAAAATACATTTAAATTTGTTCACCTATCAGAATAGGTATTCTATAATAGTAACGGCTCATCACGTACCTTCAGGTTTGATGTTTCTCAGTCCGTGTGCTGAACAAACAATTAGGAGTAAACTCAACGTTTTGGAAATTAGCATTTTTCTGTTGACGCAGTTGTTAAGAAGTTAGAACAATAATAATAATACATTCCTGTATAATAGTATTTAATATCATATATGTATATATAAATCACCTTTTATTATATAAACCGCAGGACCTCGATTAGGTTTATTAATCTGTTAACCTTTACATATTATAGTGACCTGTTTTTTAACTGTACAGTGAACTGCTATTAATATTGAATGCATTATGTAAGTGCATAGGTAGGTATTACCTACCTATTAGTAATCGCGCTATAATAATTAATATGTTCTAGAATATTGAATAGCTAAAGCCTAAACTTCAATGCATTACAATTGACAAAATAAAACTATGAGGTGGTACGCGGCACGACTGATTTAAACAATTATTGATACAAAACTGGTGTAAAATACCAATTCATAACATATTTAAATCATCTTCGAGATAAACGTACCGCAAATAATAGTGCCTATTACATATGTATTTATCTGAATAAACTTTACACCGCAGCATTCCGTTGAATTATATGATAGTTTTTTTTTATAACAAGTAAATCTAATCTTATCTGATATTGTTGTAAAAATATAGTTATTAAATAATCGGTAATTATTTTTGTTCCACCGCAGCTACCTATTTAAAACCACTGCCTACTTATTACTACATTATACTTCATTTACTTAATGGCTCTTGCTATTCCCTATATTCAAATGCGATAATCTATATAATAGAATCTTAGGCGTAGGAGTGAGGGGTTGAGTAGTGTATAATCTAAATTGTATACAGGGCCAACCGTGATCTAATGTATTTCCTTCAAAAGAAAAACGGTTTTTGTTTTTGAGCATGGTTGTGTTTCGGGTCTCCGCCTAGTGTTGATAATTTATCTAAAAGGTTTGAATGACAGATCTATAAAAATGTAATTTACGTAACACGGATACGTCTTCGGTCTTGTAATGCAATCATGAGAGAAGACTGTCAAACCGATAGTTTAGGTAAATATACAAGTGTTATTATAGAATATGATATATTTTTCCAACCACGATTGTGGCATAACGTAAAAAGTATATAAATATATAATATACATTTTGCATCATATACAGACGAGTTAGCACAATCCTAAAAAAGAAAAAAAATAGGTACCTTTGATTTATGTGACTGGTTTGTCTAGACATGGGGGTGTAGTATGTAAAATTATTTTCTAAAAATCCAAAATAAATACAATTAAAAACTTAGACGGTTGAACGATACCGAAGCTCTAATGAAGGGTTTTCGTTGATATTATTAGCTACCTACGCGTGACTGAAGCCTTAAGGTTGGGATAAGTAGGCATAATATTGTATGAGGCCGGCAAGTATAATGGGGATATTAATCTGAAAAAGCAACGACGGTTAGTCGATTAAGTCGCCCCAAGTCAAGAGTCCCACCGTAAGGGTTGCTATTGTTGCCCACGGATGAAAAATTATGTACAATATATAGTCGAACAAGGGGATATACTATAATAATAATATAATATATGATCAACTCTTTGACATGTAGATGTAGGTAACATTTTTCATATTGATGAGATTGTTAGTCTGTGATGAACTTTGATTGGTATATTGTATTATTATTATCTTTGTGGATCGTTGATAAAATGTCAAGGTCCGATTTTCTTCAAGTGCAGAAATATTCGATTTATCCTAACTGTCGGTCGCTTTTTACACATCTGTATTGATTACATTACCTACCTTGAGATTTGATAATTATTGTAGTTTATATTAATCAAAAGCTTTAATTATACATGATTTTTGTATTATATATATATATATATATATATAAAACGCCCGTTTATGATTTTTAAATGTTTGGCATTGCTAAAATATTATTTTGACTTTAAACGGAAATATATTGGTTTTTCGGGAGTTAGTATATATAGGTAGGTTAGGTATCTCTAAAGCACTACATTATAATGTTTTAGACTTTGATCGTGCACAGGTCCGTTTGTACACTATAGAGACCGCAGGCGTGCAGCTGTATATTTTGTGGTTTTAGTAAGGTAATAATACTCTGTAAGAAGGCATATTTTGTAGTTTATACAGCTCTACAAATTGTAGAGGTATGACTTTAATATTAAACATAGTGTTTATCTTGTTATGGACACCCAAAAAATTCTCAAGTACCTGCCTACTGCTTATGGTATGGCACACGTTTTATTTTTATTAGCCACGTAAATCATTTAAACGACCGGGGTACGCGAATAGTTGATAGGTGTAATACACCTATACTTGGGAACAAAAGGACCCACGAGTGTCTGTGCTGTTTGACAAACCCCGGATCAAGGTGGAGTAGGCATGTTTTCACATTTAACCACAAAGTAAAGGGTTTACTACGAGGGTCCGAAGTCGACTCCGGTTAAAATTATATCATTTCACACATAAACTTAAAAAAATAAAAATATATACTTATTATTATAACCAGTCTTATATCAAGTGTGTTTTTTGTGAGATAAAGTAAGTAGTTTCGTTGGTAATGTCAGATCGGGTGGTCCTATATGAATTTTGTAACCATATTTGAATTCATAATAAAGTCATATGTGTATCTACTATTTTACTACATAATATGTAGTGTAGTTCTTACACATAAATACAGTATAATAATATACTTACACATAATCATTTTTTTATAGTTAAAAAATGGTTATAAGTAATGTGTTTATTTGCTATTGCTGGTGTTTTATTTAAATATAAAAACGAGTATTTAGTTCAGTATTTTATTTAGTTGGTTTTATGATTTTTCTTATTTAATTTTATATATTCATACATTCTTTAATCATAGCGGTTTGTTCAATAAACAGTATCATTTAAATCTTCAATGTTTACTTAATGGCTTTGCAAAAATTGTGATTTGTGAATAATGTCTACAACAGCTGTAGATTAATTAATTATGTTGATTTAACCTACCGTCGCGGTTATATTTTGACAATATTTTATGTTATTTCGACTTCCCTACTTAAATGTACTTACATTTGAACGCAAATGGTAATTTATCTAAATAAAGAAAAAATTATCATATCTAATAATGATTATGGTAGTACGGAATATTTAGTTAGCTAAACAATTTTAATAGGTGCACCCTGCTGTCGAAGTCCTTTGTAAATAAAAGAAAATAAGTTAATTTAGGAATACAATCGATACACCTACAAAAAGACATTTAGAGGTTTTGTATTTTTGATGATGTAACCATATAGAGTTGTGAAAGGTTTATACTGATGTGTTGTATAGACCCACGACGACATTTTTAAACTTTTTAAATAATATTCATATATATAGCCTAAAGGCCAGATATCTTATCGTATACCGAATGTACTATTTAGAGTCAGAATTTGAAAAAAGCGCATCCATCAAAATCGAGAAAAACCCACTTGAGTTTTTTTTAACATTCAACTTTACACGTTTTAACATTGTGCAAAATGTAATAGTATAAATTTCCAAGTCGTTCTGGCGAGGTATTTTTTAAATGTCGCTTTGTCGGACCATTGTAAAAAAACAAGGAAAATATTTTAACAATTTTCGTTGAAAGGGCTGGCTGGAAGTTTCCGGTTTATTTTTCTTGTTAGCTCCAATACTTATTGCATTATATTATTTACAGGTGGTGATTTAACTAGTGTTAAAAAAACAAAAAAGTCTAAACAATTTCCAGCGGTTTCTCAGGGCTGCTCCGTTTCCATTGTTTCCATTATTTCTCCAATAGCATGACACGTCGACGGTATTGCAATTATTATTTGCTATGACATGTGCACTGTGCCGTTTTATGTAAGTAATATTCGCAAGAAACCTTATTTAAGAGGACATATTGAACCCCGAAGCGGAAAACATATTTA